TGGTATAAAGTAGTTCGGTTTTATTCTTTTAATGTGGCTATCAGGTTTTCCCAGCATCATTTTTTAAAGACTTTCATCTTTTCAATATATCTTGGAGTTAACTGATCCCGTAAGTGTGGGTTTTCTCTTCCTCTGAGCGATGTCTCTGTTCTTCTATCAATGGCATATAGTTTTGATCGAAAGACTGTATGGCATTGATATAGTTTGAAAAATGCTATAACCATATAGTTTGAAAAATTATAACGGTTTATTAATTTTGTTGGGTGTTTTTTGAGGGGGGTGTCACAGCCGGGAGTGCTCAGATGTTACTTCTGGCTCTGCACTCAGGAATTACTCCTGGTGGTGGTCAGGGGACCATATGGGATGTCCGGGCTGGAGCCCAGTAAGGCAAATACCCTACTCCCCTCCCTGGTTGTACTATTTATTGCTCTGGCCCTACTATGGCACTTTAGTATAGTTTGAAATCTGGTCAGTATCATGCTCTCATCTTTGTACTTAACTCTCAAATTGCTACAATTATTTGGGCCCTTCAGTGATTCCTGCAAATTTGAGGACTATTTGCTCTGCTTCTAAGAAACATTGAATCTGCAGATTGTATCAGATAGTGTGAACATTGGTAGGGGGGGCAGTGTGAGGCTCAGGGACCCCCACAGGGATTCTCTACTTAGGAAGTGAGAGGTTCAGCGCAAGGGCCAGAGGTGCCTTTCTGGCCTGAGTGCTGAGGGACACTGGCCACCCTGCCAGCGTTGGGGGAACTCCAGAGCTGCCCTGGAAATGCTGAGGGGACACTCAGCGTGGTTCGCTTATCCTGTACAAGGGCTGGAGAGATAGAAGGATTGAGGTGCCTTCATAGCACACTATTGACCCAGGTTTGATCCCTGGCATTCCTGAGCACAAGCCAGGAGTAAGCCCTGAGCAGTGGGAGTATGATCCAACCCCCCAAATTATCCTGTGTAGAACTTACAAAATGAAGCTATATCAATAATTTTTTTTTAGATTTTGTGTGTGTGGATGAGATTACTTGCTCTTAGTATTTTCTTTATAGGTAGGCAGAAGGCAACTTTCTCCTTTTAGCCCAAGTGACAATATTGTAAGAGAAAGGCTCATTTAAATGGAAGTTATAGAAAATTGGACCGTGTATCATTAAAGATTATGTATCTTTTGAGAACCACCACCTAAACTCTAGGTAGAAGCTGAAACAGGACAGCAAGAATGAAAGTTCCAGGTGTGGGACCAAGGCAAGGCCAGGAAGGAAGATTTCTTTGACTGGCGCATTTGGGGGAGACACTCCAGGGGAACTCTGTGGGGCAACCATGGTGCTTTTTTTTCTCCTTCTTGTTACTGTCCTGAAGCTCTTTGGGACGTCACCATTCCACTGGGGTTTCTTTACAGAGGTTGCATTAGCCACTGATAGGCGTGGATGGGAGGTTGGTTCCACGGCCACAGAATGGAGGTGGCCATTAAGCGTGCAAGATTCTAGAAAATATATTAATTAATGTGGTTAGGGCAGGTGAGGTGTACTAAGAAAAGCTGTGAACTTGATTTTGTGGGTTAAACAAAGCCAGATGATGAAGATGTGATTTATTTATAGTCTGTTTAAAAAAAAAAAGATGGCTTGTTTTTGGTTTCTAGCTGATGGTTTGTTTTTGGTTCCTATGTCTTTATCAACTGTTGAATTCATATCAATGTATGTAATACTATATAGAGCTTTAATGCATTGCGTGTGTATATGCACACACATGTGGGAGCCAGGGATGAACCTCAAGTCTGGCACATGAGCAGCATGGATTCCACCACCAAGTTGAGGGCCCTGTCCAATAGTGCATACCCAAATAGGAAAAGAAATTCAGTCCCTTTTATAATAAAAGAAACACAAGCCAAGTGAAGTGAAATAGCATATATATATTTTTTAGTTTCAGAGGAGCAAAAAGGAATGATAACTCATTATGTTGTTGATAGGAATATTTGGTTATAGATGATTTCATGAAAACTACTAATTTATAAAGTAGTGTGATTCCTATGTAGTGCAATTCGGTAATAGCTATTAAATGGAAATGCATATTATTTTAAATGTAGTATTAACTTTTAATAACTTTCAGTGCCTTCAGTTTAGTGTTTTTTTAGCAAGGCCATGCACATTGTTAGATTAGCCTTTGCTTGTCAAGGTCCTTGTTCATGTTTATCAACCTTTAGCTACTGCCTGAGGCACTCTCTTCACCTGGTTTTCAGCACACTTCACTGTGTCTTGGATTTAGTCTTTCCTCTTTGGTGTTCTTTCTCTCTCCAGCCTTTAAGTGTTGCAGTGCCTTCAGTTCAGTTTATAGCCACTCCTTGGTTTCTTTATAGTCCTGTGGTCTTCAGTATCATGAAAATGCTGGTGGCTCAAAATTTATATATCAAACCTGGATCTCTCTCCTCTACTCCAGATATGAATACCTAATTTTCACACGCTCACTGATAGAGTCATAGTTTTTTCTCACCTAATTTCCCTGCATTCCACCCTTCAGTTTATTCCTTTTTTTTTCCCTTTTTGAGTCACACCCAGCGATGTTCAGGAGTTACTCCTGACTCTGCACTCAGGAATTACTTCTGGAGGTACTCAGGGCACCATATCGGATGCTGGGAATCCAACACAGGTCAGCCATGTGCAAGGCAAATGCCCTACCTAACCGCTGTGCAATAGCTCCAGCCCCCCCTTTAGTTTAATCTTTATTTTTTGAAATAACAGCTTTTTGAGATAGATTTCTCACACCAGTTCAATTGCTTAGCATGAAGAGCAAATGTTCTTTAATATACTCCCAGAATTGTACAGCCACTACCCCCAACCAAGTTATAGTATTTTTTTTGTCTTAAAAGAAATCCCATACACATTAGTAGCTATTCTGCATTTATTATTATTTTTTTAACCCTCATGCCAACCCCTCACCCCTAAGCTCCCAGCCCTATATAACCTCATGTCTACTTTTTTGTTTGGATAGATTTGTTGGTACTTCATATGCATGGAATCATACAGTTGGTTGTCTTTGTGACAAGACTGCTATAATTTAACATAGTGGTGTTAAACTAAATATTTCATGGTATGGATTTGGGGTTGGAGCGATAGCACAGCACGTAGGGCATTTGCCTTGCACGTGGCCCATCTGGCCGACCCAGGTTCGATTATTCCACACCTCTCGGAGAGACCGGCAAGCTACCTAGAGTATCTCTCCTGCACGGCAAAGCCTGGCGAGCGTGATGTACTCGATATGCCAAACACAGTAACAAGTGTCACAATGAAGACATTACTGGGCCTGCTTGAGCAAATCGATGAACAACGGGAGGGCAGTGACAGTGATGGATTTGAAAAGTTGTCATCACATTTGAATTTTCCATTCTTCATTGATGGGCATTTGAGAAATTTCTCCCCCCTCCCTTTTTGGGGGGGAGGAGTTTATTTTTAATACACCATACTATAGTAAGTTTGTTAAAAACAGAAGTCAATTCATGAATGACTTACAAGCACGAACAGATTGTACATGTGTTGGTCTTTATTTTTTCCACCCAACCAAGATGGATTCCCTATTTTCACACATGCTTAATTCCTGCAACAGGCCTGATGCTGTGAGGACCTTTACTAATGACTCAAATTTTATATATCAAACCTGGATCTCTCTCATGTAGCTATCTGGGGTGATTTTTTTTCACCCCAGATAGCTACATGACTTGCTTCCTCACTTTTCTCAGGTGTTTTTCTTGGATGTTATCTCATTGAGGCCTTCTTCTATAAAATATCCACCTTCCCATACCCCTTACATAGTCTGTCAGACTTCCTGCATTATTTTTCTTTATGGCACATATCACTAATATATTTAATCTGTTTCTCTAGTTTAATTACATAACTATAATATAAGGTCCAGAAAGAACAGAATTTTGTCTACTCCAGTAACCAAAAAGTGTCTGGTGGACATTCAGTATATATTTTGAGTGAAGGAATAAATAACACTATCTCTGAGGTGGAAACTGGTTGACTCGATAACAGAGTTGAATATATTTTATTGCATATCATTTAAAGTTCTTAATGTTTGATCATATGTATATGTAATATATTAAAGAGTTAAAATTATTAATTATGATAAAAGAGGTGTTTAATTAATACCTGTTTCTTGACCTATTCAAGAAAAGTTAAATTTGTGAATTTAATTGCACTGTCAAGGCAGTAGATTAGTAGATATTAAACAAAAAAACAAAAAACAAATACAAACAAAGAGCTTTAACTTAATTCCCTCCTGATTCTTTAACGTTTCCCTGTAAATAAAGGTAAAAGTTTTGGCATGTGTACTCAACAGTGACAAAATATATTTTATTATTTGCTATAAAGTCTCATACCATTATTATAAATTTAATGTGTTCTAACAAATTGTAATAGAAGTTAATTTTTATCCTGAACAGAGAAGAAAGAAAAGTTTTCACTTTTGTTCACCATTTAGATTTTCTTTGTGCTTTCAGAGACACCTGTTTCAGAATGTCCGTTTTTCCAATCTCTGAGTAAACTTTGTGTCCCACTATCTTAAATATATATATATATATATATATATATATATATATCAGAATGAGTGAGGGGAGAAATAATACAGTAGACAGGGCACTTGTCGTGCATCCAACTAACCTGGGTCTCTGTCCCTAAACCTCCATATGATCCTCCAGGCCCACCCTCCCGGAGCAAACACTAAGCACAGAGCCAGGAGTAGGTTCTAGACAAACACACAAGTATCAGGGTAAAGCCAGGGCTAAAATTACCCCAAAATACCTTTTAGATACTCCATGTAAGCGAGTCACTATTTCCTTCCAGGTTGGTTCATAGCCATTTAGCTTCTGGGGTTCACATACCTGAGCTTCACCTGAGAGAACAGCAGAGTTCTTAGCTGTGAAGGGGAACAGACTTTACCTCTATAAGTAAGAGAACATAAACCTGCAAATAATAAAGTGCGTGCGCTTGTGTGCGTGTGTGTTTTCTGATGCAGGGTGAGGGAGATGATTCCTCCAAGGCCACATCTTACCCGTCGAGCAGGAGGCGCTCAGAAGGCAAGTGTCGAAGCCAAAGCCAAACTATAAATAAAGTATGAAATAAAGTATGAAGGTGGCTAGAACTGTGTCTCCCAGGGGGTGGGGAAGTTGTAGTTTTGCCAAACCCTTCCTGGCTTTCTGTATAACTAGTAGCATACTAGTAACTCACAGTTAACAGTGTCTAATCTTTCCTGTGATCTCTGATCTAGAAAGAAAAGGGCAATTTATGCCTCAAGTATTTCTAGTTCAGGCTTCTGCTCCATGTCTCAGCCTCTGTGAGGGCTCCTTACCAGGTAATTTGTATTTTCTCAGGCAGTAAGTGACTATCACACACAGATCAAGAGCATTTCTAGAGCCGTTCTGGATGCGTACCATGCTATGTTTGGGAAAGAAGCAGCCAGGCAGGGGCGTGCCATAGATAGCGAAACCCTGGAGGAGCAGAAGTGTCAGCTCAACTATGAACTGAACTTTTCTGGAAAATATTTTGCTTTCAAGGAACAACTCAAGGTAAAAAGATAATTCTTTATTTAATTGTTCCATTTTTTAAAAATGAAGCATCTTCTCTGTGTATCCAATGATCATTTTTTCCCTCTGGTTATGTTTAGTTTTCTTCCATCTTTCTTGTTTGTTGGTGCAAAGGACTACGTTCCAGTAACAATATCAGGAGAAACTCAACTTCTGCAGAACCTTGAAATGACTCGGTATTCATTCTGAGTGTGCACTGTTAAGAAACTCATTCTTGAAGCTAGGGCAGGTTTGGGACCAGGTTTCCTGTTGCTCTAGCAGGCAGAAACTATAAGCAACACTGATTCTATGACTAACTACCTCTGTCTCCCATCTTTCCTTATTATACTCAGATTTGATAATTATTTACATAGTAGTAATTTCTCAAACAATGGATAATATTTATTGAATATTTGATGTATACCAGAAAATTTTAATTAATTAATTAATTTGGGGAGGAACCGTTCTCAGGGCTTAATCCTCACTCTGTGATAAAGGATCACTCCTGGCAGTACTTGAGGACCATATGGGGACCATATCAGGGATTGAACCCAGGTCAGCTGTGTGCAAGGCAAATATCCTACCCACTGTACTTTTACTCCAGGCACTACCAGATAATTTTTAAAGTAAAACCAAGTAGTTGGATTTAGGAAGAAATAATAAGGGGAGTGGAAAGAAGAGGGGGAAGTGGAGAATAGAAACCCTAAGAGAAAGAAATTACACATCCCAAGTGTAGATGTGGGCAATTCTAGAGTGGGATGCCAATATAGTTTTGTAATACTTCATGCTTTACTTAATTATTGCAACAACTCTGTGAAGTCAGGGCTACCCAGTTATCAGATGGAGAAATACGACAGTAGTGAGTTAAGCAATATTTCCAAAGTCTCAGAGCTAGTAGATGTCAAAGATCATACGAAGAAAGCACAGAAGTAACAAAGCGGAAAACAAGTGACAAGACTTCTCAATAGATGCATTATCACACCTCAGTTTGACTCCTGGTCCTGCTATTATCAGGCAGATGACAGTGGTTCAGGGTCTTTTCCTGAACCTCAGTTTCTTTGCCTAATGAAAACAGTTTTCCACAGGATCATTATATAATGTAATGCATGGAAAGTATAACTCTTTAGAGAATAATGTTAACGATGGAGAAAACAAAAATGAAAAGAAGCTGTCCAGGTCAGTATATAGTATAGTATGACTTTCAATACCTATTATTTCTCCTCCTCAGTTGTCTTCTGAAGTAAGATGATGATATGTGTGGTATACATCAATTTAACAAATGAGGAAGCTCATCCCCCAGACATTCAAATGAGGCCTTTCTTCCTTTCTGTTGAGTCATGTGAACACCAACAGAGAGAAAATGCATAGACCCCCTGCTGAGGCTCTCTTTAGCTTTATGACCCTTCATATACAGGAGTTCTGAGTTTACTGTATTACTGATGATGACAATGACATCAAGAAAAGACATTAAGGGCCAGGACAGCAGTGTGGCACACCCCTAGTATGCACCTGATCCAGGTTTGATTCTTGGCACTATGTGGTCCCTTGAGTATCTGGGTTCAGTCTTGGAGGCCCCAGAGTGTCACCAGGTGACCCAGGTGGCCCTGTCACCGCTGGACTTGAGCAGTACTTAAGCTGTTAGTTTTGCTAGCTGAGAATGGCAGATGGGGCTCCCAGGCTCCTTAGCACAGTGAGGGAGGGCTCTATTTTTAAAAAGAAGGCAAAAGGAAAAGTCATACAGAGTGTATTTGGGGGGCAGGAGAAATCAGAGCTCACAGTTTATCTGTAACCAAGGGAGAAATGAATCATCTTCTTAAGTTCTGTTTCACTTTAGACTAGAAGCTCAGGAGAGATGTGTGCTTTGAGCGTGGTGCAGGGCTGTGTCTCCGCAGTCTGCCACGACACCAGGCGGGCTCTCTGTCTCTGCAGCATGCGGTGGTAAAGGTGGTGAGAGAGAAGTACTTGAGGACGACGTCCTTTGAAAGCCAGGAGGAACTGCAGACTTTCATCAGTGAACTCTATGTGTTCTTGGTGGACCAGATGCACGTGGCCTTAAACCAGGTAGCTACGCAAGAGCTCAGAGCTCTTCTCCTTTTCTCTGTAAGGAATCAAAGTCTTGTCATCCCTGTCATGCCTCCTTCATTCCATATTTATCTTTTTCTCCCTGTGAGGCACTGAAAACACGTCTGAATACGAAACTACCTAACTTATAGGAGTAATTTGGGGGAGAAAGAGTATATTTTTGCAACTTCCTAGATAATTTATTTCTGATCATGCATGTAATAGATAAAAATTTAAGGTGGGGGTTGGGGTCTGGAGAGATAGTACAGTGGTCAAAGTGCTTGTCTTGCATGCAGCTGACCCAGGTTCTATTCCATATGGTCTCCTGAGCCCCCCATCAGGAGTTATTCCTGAGCACAGAGTCAGGACTAAGTCTTGAGTATTGCCCGGTGTGGTCCTGAAACAAAACAAAACAAAAATTAAATTGGCAATGTAAATTGTGTAATCAAAATTACCATATGTGGTAAAATTTTATGAATGTGTGGTATCCTTATTTTTTCCCCAAGATACACAAGGAAAACCTTAAAGTTTTTAGATACCATGCTCAGTGACAGTGACATTTCAAATGTGCTTTTTATATTTGTCTGATCTCTGTGGACATTTGTATTTGCACAGCTTTGTGTTTTGCCTTCTCTGCTCAGTTTTCAATGTGTGCAGCTTTAGGTCTTTTGTTTACCTGTTTTGTGTGCTATGTACAGCCTCACACTTATAGGGCATATGCCCAGCTGCTATGCTGCCTTCATATTGCTGCATTTACGGTTTATTGGAAAAGGACAAGTGCGTAGAGTGCTGAGAGTACACTGGCTTCCAGCATGAGGGACGGGCAGAAGACCAGCAGCTCAGACTGCTGCGGAGCTTTTCTCTGGCGCAGGCAGTGGTACCTACTGAAGAATGACGTCAGAGAACTGTTTTATGGAGACTGAGAGAGACAAGGGCAGATAGTTTGGAATATTGGTTTGGATAGTGAGATTTTAGCATTTCTGATGAAAGCATGGAATTTTAATAGCTGGAGAGATTTGAAGGTCATTATCATCAAAACTAAAATGAACAAAGAACAGAGGCACTAATCAATAATAAGAAGCTCTCTTTAGCACTTCTCGAATTTTGCTTTATGCTCCACATTTCTTAGCAACTATACTTGTTAAGTAGGTAATCTTATTTCTCCCTGTGTATCTAGGGATATGTGTGTGTGTGTGTGTGTGTGTGTGTGTGTGTGTGTGTGTGTGTACAAGGATCGACCTATTTTTACTTCTAAAGAAAAATTGGTGGGAACTGTTCTTCCTTAACATAGAGTATGACCTAGGAGATTATTTATTACAACAGAACTTCTTTCCTATCTGGGTGAATAGACAATATTACCTTTCTAGGTCCCCTCTGACCTTTCGTCCTTTTTCTAAAATATCTCCTATGTGGGATCCGTTTGTCTCTGTCTTGTTAATAGTATAGATCTGGCTTCCACAGTTTCTTCCTACTCCTGACTGCTGTGTCTGTCTTTGTCTGTCGTTCTCTCTCTACATTTGTTTCTTCCTCATCATCTTTTTTCTCCCTTTCTCCTCCTCTTTTTTCTTCTTTCTTATCTTTCTCTATTCTTCATTAACTTTTTATTAATAAAAACTAAAAGCTAAATTCAGGAAATTGTTTTGTAGTACCTTAGTTAACTATACATTGGAGAAGTAAAAAGTTAAGGCTTAGGAAAGAACTGTCAGTATACCAGTTTCATAAAGTAGGCCATATTGGAATGCCTACTAAATTGGATAAATAAAATTAAAGAAAAAAATTAAATATCAAAAATTATAGTCTAGTTCCTTGCAGATATCACAATATCTCCTTTATAGTCTTTAATTCAACTAATGTGCAATCACAAAAAATTCATGTAGCTTAGTGATATAGTTTATCCCCAAAGGGAAAAAGCTGAGGGAACTCAAGGGCAATTTTCATAGCTTCATTGTAAATTCCAAGATTGAAAAGATGACATTATTTTTAAATTGAACGTAAACTGTGTGGATAATACTTACTTTTCTAATGACTTCCATGAATCCAGAGTTGTTTTGTTTTCATCAAGGGTGTCCTTTTATTCTTTCTCCCATATTTTTTGTTTGTTTGATTATTTGTTTTCTTGTTTTGTTTTTTGGGGCCACCTCCAGCAATGCTCAGGGGTTACTCCTGGCTCTGCACTCAAGAATTACTCCTGGTGGTGCTCGGCGATCATGTAGGATGCTAGGGATCGAACCCAAGTTGGCCCCATGCTAGGCAAGCCCCCAACAGCCTCCCTTTTTACATCTTGCAGAATATTTTCTTGGGCGGATGGTTGGATCTTTCCCAGCCTCTACCCATGGATGGGGGGTGCGTGCTGGTACTGATGTGCCACCACACAATCCCCAGTCATCGTGAGTGGGATGATGACAGCCTACCATGTCTCCTTCTGCAAGGTCTGCACATGCTCAGCGCTTGCTAACATCTTTCAGCTCCTGGGACCTAAAAGGTCATGATATTTTTCCTATACACAAGAGAAAGTGAGGGAAACTACGATCAGAGGAGGCTTGCTCTTACATTCCAACTGTCCTGAGAGATTGAGGAGAACGATTTTGTCCTAAGAAATTTTTACTCAATTCCATGAACTCAGACTGTTGACATTCAAGTAACTGCACTTCAGGGGTCAGAGTTAGTACAGGGGGTAAGGCACTTTCCTTGTCCTGTAGACCCCAGTTTGAATACCTGGCACCACGTATGATCTGTGATCCTCCAGCTCCTGAGTGCCACTCCCTCCACCCCCCGCTCCCCATATCTACACTTCTGTCTCCTTCAATATTCCTTTCTTGGTTCACTCACCCTCTTACAGTACTGTAAGATGCCTGTATTATTTTAGCCCTCATTGTTGCAATGTCCTATCTGATCTATTGGGAGAAAGCCTCTCACTTAAAATTGTTTCCTTTTGCTTGCTTCCCACCTTGATGTTGACAAGGCCATGCTAGATGATATCCAAGGTTCTGTTCCGACTATTGAACCAAGCATTGATCAGCTTCGACTCTTTGCATTTGAAGCAGAAGTCAGCGAGAACTATGAAGCAGCAAGATTGTATTATGAAGAGGTGACAGACCTTCCTGGTGGCAGTGGGGGGGCTATTATTTGTATCATATACTCATTTGGGGCTGTTTAATACTAACTAATTATGGAAAGGGTCAACAATAAATCAGTCTAAAAATAGACCCATGGGGGCCAGAGTGTGAGTACAGTGGGTAGGGTCTTTACCTTGCAGGTGGCCAACTTGGGTTCGATCCCCTGCTCCCCATAGGGTCTCCCAGGAGCTCCGTCAGGAGTGATCCCTGAGTGTTAAGGCCTGATCACCACTTTGTGTGACTGCCCCCAATAAAAAAAAGAGAAACCCCACCAAAAAAGGCTCCCCCAAATTAAAAATTCTATATTACATATATTCATATAGTATATAAATATAAAGAGAGAGAAATGTATTGTGACTTACAGTACTGTTCATGATAAGTTTCCTGCATATACCATCCCAACACCACACCCACTACTGGGTGCCTACTTCCCTCCACCAGTGTCTGAAATGCCCTCCCCTCCAGCTCTCCCCACCATGCCCCCTGGAAATTCACTTCTGCAGGCCAACTCTCCAGTTCTGTTGCCTAAGGTCATTTGTTCCTCCCACACTGTGTGTCTTTACCTCTCACATGTAGGAGGTGTCTTTCTGTACCTGTCTCTCCTTCAGGCTGCCTTCACTTAGCATGATGCCCTCTAATTCCACCTCTATAGCAGCAAATCGCATGACTTCACCCTTTTTATACCTATATTATGTTCCATTTTGTAAATAGATAGATAGATAGACAGAAAATCTATACAGGCACTTTCTGGGTAAGGAACTTTCTAACATTTCCAGGGGGGTGGGGCTAGTCCCTGGCACTGCATCCTCAAGCTTTCACACTGACCCACCTTGTTTGGCCAAGAATCATGTGAAGGGACCCACCCTCAGGCCCCTGAGTGTCTTTTTGGGAAGTCTCTACCCAAATGAAAAAGTTATAATTCATATAAACTATATTATGAGTATAAATTCTAACTCAATTAAAGGAAAATACCACATTTCCAAATGAGTAACAATTACAGAATCCACTTCTATTGCATTCATTTTTTTTTTACAAAAAGAAAACTTTTTGGGGGCTGGAGCAATAGCACAGCGGGCAGGGCATTTGCCTTGCACGCAGGCGACCCGGGTTTGATTCCCAGCATCCCATATGGTCCCCTGAGCACCGCCAGGAGGAATTCCTGAGTGCAGAACCAGGAATAACCCCTGTGCATTGCCGGGTATGACCCAAAAGGGAAAAAAATGTTTCTCAAGAAGAATTAGAAAAGTTTGAATATTTTATTTTTATTTATTTATTTTGGTTTGTCTTGGGCCCACACCCTGTGGTATTCAGGAGTACTCCTGACTGCACTCAGAAATTACTATTGGTGGTGCTCAGGAGCCCATATGGGATGCCACGGATCGACCCTGGGTTGACCTTGTGTAAGACAAGTACCCTACCAGTTGCACTATCACTCCTGCCCTATTTTGAAATATTTTAAACAATTTTAGAGAGAAATTCATAAATGCTTTTTTGGTCCTGTTTTGCTTGACAGTGCGAGAAGGCTACGTTCCCCAACCCCTGCCCCTCACATGGTGCTGGAGTGCCCACAGATGAAGCCAGGCCTCTGAACTATCTCCCCAGCTCAAATATGATCAAATCAGTCATCTAAGTTTTTACTTTAAGAATCCAGAAAAGAATACAATAAATGTTTTAGCAGAAAAAAATGTAAAAGGAAATTTAAAAGCAAGAATCAGCAAAATTAAAAGCAGAAAAGCAGTAGTGAAATGTCAATGAAACAAAAAAAATTCTTGGTTTGTCCACTCCCTGGTTTGTCCACTTAGAGCTTACTCCTGTTTCTATACTCAGCAATCACTCCTGGTAGGTCACAGCTATCAAACCTGGACTCACCAGGGTTGCAAAGCAAGCACCTTATCAGCTGTGCTATCTCTCTGGCCCCTATACCAAAAGACCTTTAAGAGGTCAATAAAATGATAACACACACACACACACACACACACACACACACACACACACACACTGAAAGTGAATAGCACAGCAGGTAGGGCACATGCCTTGCATGCAACCAACCTGACTAGGTTTGGTCCCCAGCATAACCTATGGTCAGATTCTAGCAGGAGTGATCCCTGAGTGCAGAGTCAGGAGTACGCACCAGGCACCACCAGGTGTGGCCAAAAACAGGCAGAGAAATCAGTTTCTGTTTTAATGAGAGCTTATAGTATTTATGGAGTGTTTTCTGTATAGTGTTGTATATATGAAAAACATGTTATAATGTCACAATAGCTTTCATCCTCTTGATGATTCATTTTCTAGAGGTTGGTTCGTGAGACACAGAACCTGGAACACTGGCTAGATTATGGTGCCTTTTGTCTCCTAGTTGAGGACAACATCAAAGCACAGGAGTGTTTTCGGAAAGCTCTTTCCCTCAACCAGAGTCATATCCAAAGGTAGTCTTAAAAGGGACGAGAAGAGGCGTGGAGCGGATGCATTTTCATGTGGAACTGATGGTCTCGTGATTGGACGTGGGATCCTGGTATTCATCATGCTGCTGGTCTCTTTTCAGCTTGTTGCTCTGTGGTGTCTTAGCTGTCCTGCTGGAGAACTTTGAGCAGGCGGAAATTTTCTTTGAGGATGCTACTTGCTTAGAACCAACTAATGTTGTAGCTTGGACTTTACTTGGTATGGTATTTCCTGTGACATCAATGTATTTCCTTCCATAACAAAATGCTTTTCACATTTTGTTTGGTTTGGTTTGGGAGCCACCCTTGGCAGTGTTGGGGGCCCTTCCTAGCTGTGCTCAGAGGTTACTCCCAGAGGTGCGCAGGAGGACCCTACTATGCTGGAATTGAACCCAGGCTTCCTACATGGAAAGCATGGACTTGGTGCACTGAGCTATTTATTTCCCTGGCCCTGTCTCCACATTTTATTGGCTCAAACATTCTTAGATGCTGATAAAAATGTGGAAACTGAAAGTGAAACGTTGGAATTCTTCAGTACATGATGACGTGAAATTGATCGGGTTTATTTCCGCCCCTTTCTTCAGGTTTGTTCTATGAAATTCAAAACAATGATATTCGCATGGAAATGGCGTTTCACGAGGCATCCAAGCAACTTCAGTCCCGTTTGCACCAGGGGCGGGTGACAAAGCAGAAGAGCATTGTTAATGTTGACAACGAAGATGTGGGGAACTTAGAGCTGAATTTCGGGCAGGGGGTAGTGGCTGCCAATACGTCTTCTATGGTAACACTCAAGGTGGAAGGCCCACCAGGTATGAATGAACATGATAAGATGCTATTGGGGAAAAAAATCACTGGCCTCTTAGATAGCTTTGGCAAATAATTGATGGCTAGAATATTTGTTAAGTGAATAGGTAAGGATTTGAGTTGTTTTGGAAACATCAGTAAAAACTTCTAAATATCTCCTTTATTCATACATTTATTATTATATTCATATTGAGTCTAAAACTTCTACTGTTGTTATTCATTTTTTTATTCTGAAGGAATTTACTATCCCTGTGTATTCTTAAAAGGAGTATAATTCTAGTAGAGGAAACTTTTATTATTAAAAAATTTTGATTTAGTTTTATTGAGATAACTTTGATTTAAGCATACAAATTATATTTGTTCCTGAATATAAATCATAGTTGACAAGTACTATATCATAGTGACCACCAAAAAGTCTGGTTCTCATCCTTTACCACACACTTGATCCCCCTAAACTGATGATTTGCTCAATCCCTTCCCTATTCTTAGAACCTAAAAATTTGTTTTTGCTTTATTTTGTTTATTCATTAGTTCTCTTACCATCTACATATAAGTGAAATAATAGAGTGATCGTCTTTCTCTGACTCAATTCATTTAACATAATAACATCTAAAGTCATGGTCTCATAATATCCAATGTAGGAAGTTGGGTTTTTTTTTCATAAATTTCAATGTATTTAGGACCTGCAGCTCAAGTACCCGTTCTGGATGAATTTGTTGAAGAATCTTTCAAAGTACAGTCTGAGTCACAAGAACCTGTTTTACTTACACAATATCTGGATCCATCATCTGCTCGAAAATTGTCTAACAACAATGTCAAAGAGGTGGTAGGAAAAAAAGGTAAATTTTTCTACTTGATAGAGAGGCGTAAAATAAGTTAGACAATGATGAAAATTCTTGTTATTACCAAAATGGAGATCTTAACTTTCTTGGAGTTGGCTAGTTAAAATTTCCTTTTTATTATGCCACACTCTGAAATCCAAACTGGTGGTTCAACTCTTACAATAAAAAATTATATTAGCAAAGAGAAGTATTAAACTATAGTCCTTTAGCTCTGTAATTATTCTTCATTTTCAGGCTATCTTCAAAAATTACATTTCACAGAAACTCACCTTATCACATTTTATCTCCTAAGTCTTGACATCCATCCAGAATCTCCCTACATTTCTACACACCCCAATGACTTCATATAGTTCCAGTTTGGGGTTTACATTTGTTTAGCTTTAGTTGTCCTACAATAGTACTGATACAGCTTTATTTCACCATAGATCTTAAAACCATCAAAACTTATTTTGCTGGAGGAGCGTTGTCAATTATATAGTTTTTAATAATAATGCATATCAAAGGCTATCAGCATCTATCTCCTATGTTGCCTTCTTTCTTACTTCATTATCTCATTTGCTCATAACATACTATGTGACTTCCATAAACATTGCAAACTAGTGTCTTAACGAGGGTATTTTTACTTGCTTTTTTTTCTGCCTGATAGATCTAATCTTAATTCTTAATTGAAAGAGTTATTAATTTTCAGCAAATTATTTTTATGTTTTAAAAAACTTGATTCTTTATAATTTTATATTTAATGCAGACAAAAATTTTAATAACATATATTATATATACACTCAAGATGGGAGAAATATGGGTGTCAAGATAAAAAGATTTTGCAGTAAAATGTAGACAAATGGCCAGAAAGAGAGTAGAAAGTAGGGCACTTGCCTTACTGTATCTGACCCAGGTTTTGTACCCTGCACCTCATATGGTCAGCTGGTTACCATCAGGAGTGATGTCTGAGCACACAACAGAGTAAACCCTGAAACAAAACATAACAGACAAGAGGCCAGAGAAATTGTACAGTGGGTACAGCACTTGTCTTGTATTCAGCTAACTCAGATTTGAACCTGGGCATCCCATAAGGCTCCCCAGCCATGCCAGGAGTGATCCCTGAGCACAGAGCCAAGAATAAGCCCTAAGCATAGCTAGGGCTGGAGTGATAGCACAGCGGTAGGGCGTTTGCCTTGCACGCAGCCAACATGGCCGACCCGAGTTCGATTCCTTCGCCCCTCTCGGAGAGCCTGGCAAGCTACCGAGAGTATCTCGCCCGCACGGCAGAGCCTGGCAAGCTCCCCGTGACGTATTCGATATGCCAAACACAGTAACAACAAAGTCTCCAATGGAGACGTTACTGGGCCTGCTCGAGCAAATCGATGATCAACAGGAGGGCCTTTACCTTTTTACCTTTACCTATAGCTAGGTATGGCCCCAAAGCAAAAAACAGAACTAAACTTATACACACACACACACACACACAAACACAAACCCATCCACAACAAAACCCAAAATAAAGTAGACAAGCCATACAAAAATAGTTCTTATATTAAGAATAATTTGAACAATTTTGGTTGAGATTTGCATTTGGCCCACCAACATACTAACGCTGTGATAGTTCAGCCTTCTCTTTAGGGTCTGTTGTCCGAGAGGAATCTGTTGTTTTTATATTTTTATTTCAGATGTAAGAATACCCCCTGTTACATAGTATATATGAAGGGCTAACATTTTTCTTTCAATCTAATCATCTGTTTTCTTACTATAATATTGCCAGAAGCACCAAAAAGTCAAGATTCGAGTTTGCTACGTACCTGCCCTTATGGAGTTTCCCAAACTACCACCATTTTCATGGAGACCATTCGCTTCTTGATGAAGGTCAATGCTGTGCAGGTTAGAATGTCTGGAAAAGGCTGGCTAGATAGAAATATGATCTTGAACAACTTGCCCTACATATAAAGCAAATGATGCTTTTGAGCTCACTGTAGACCCAGTGAGGTTAACATATAAACATGAAGTGCTCTCCACATCGAGCATTCACATCTGCTCCTGGTAGGAGCCTTTCTGTACTGCACTGTCCTGCTGTTGTTCATTGATTTGCTCGAGCTGGTATCAGTGACGTCTCCATTGTGAGACTTGTTGTTACTGTTTTTGGCATATCGAATATGTCACGGGTAGCTTGCCAGGCTTTGCCAAGGAGAATTCCTCCTGGTAGGCTACAATGAAAAATCACGTATGTATCTAGGGCGCTGTCACCTTGTTATGGATATGCTGAGTGTGTTACCTTTCTTCCCTTCAAGGTTCTAAACCAAGCAGAAATAGATGTGCAGTGCCATATGGGGGTGTGGGAGAGTGTTTAAGAAGTATTTTATTGTGGAGTCAGACAAAATACAGGAACTAAGGCATTGATTATGCATTTGGCTATGTCTTCGCGGCCGCGCGACATCTTATTATCTCATTCCTACTTTGGACAAACTTGCAGGCTATCGAATGTAGCCTGCCCACAGGGCAGAGTCTGGCAAACTCCCCGTGGCCTACCAAATATGCCAAATACCAGTAACAATGATGGGTCTCATTCTCCTAAAGAGCCGTGAATATAATCTCAGGGCTAGGATGAAAGAGACGTTACTGGGGCCTGCTCGAGGCAATCGACGATTAACAGGATGATGAAATGAAATGAAAATGTCTGTGTATGGTGGTGATGTGCTGAATGCTCATTAATTCTCATCTAACTATGACTTGGATCATCATTGCACCCCGTGGCTCATTCATTCGGGAGTGGTGCAGTCACTGCCGTAAACCTCACAGTTGTGTCCTTCGTCAGTATGTACACAGAGTGCTTGCACATGAGCTGTTATGCCCACAAGGAGGCCCCAGCTGTGAATATTACTTGGTGCTGGCCCAGACACATCTTCTCAAAAAGGACTTTGCCAAAGCAGAGGAATACCTTCAACAAGCAGCTCAGATGGATTATCTGGTAATCATTTTCTCCAGACCCTCTGGGGTTAAGTTTGGAAAACAGGATCAGGCTTTTCTAAGGGGGGTGGAGGTGGGTGATGCCACAGAATGGGTAGGATTCTGGCTACTGTGGGTAAGATTAGTATTTCTGGTTATTAGAGGTAAAGTGTCAGTAAACATCTTTTGTTTGGGGGCCACACTTGGCAGTGCTCAGTGTTTATTCCTGGCTTTGCAGTCAGGTGTTACAGCTGGAGATGCTCAAGGGACCATATGTGGTGCCAGGGACTGAATCCTGGTTGGGCTCAAGCAAGGCAAGACCCACTGTCCTATCTTCTGGCCCAAACATCTTTTTTTTTCATGATTTTTTCCTTTAGTAAGTATAAGTTTTGCAAAAGGCAAAGGAGGAGGAGGATAAGGACAGCTCTTTGGTAGTATTTGATTAAATTCCTGTTTTCTGAACCTCTCTTTTCTCACTGGGAACTCTATAATGGTTAAACCTGAATGGTCTTCTTACTGTTTTATCCCAAAGAAAAAATACAACAAAGGAAGAGGACTGACTAGGAAAAATATCCTCCAGTGAAACTGAATGGCCTTCTTTCCTGTTTTTGCTTTGGGGCCACCCCTGTGGATATTCAGGCAGGGTACAAGACAAGTACCCTCCCAGCTATACTACTGCTCTGGCCCCAAATCTTCCTTTCCAAAAGTAACAGACTTAAACTAAATGTAAATTTAAACAGTGTAAATGTGAAAAATACCCTCACATTTGTATTTTGCTCTCTCAGAACCCTAACGTCTGGGGTGTAAAGGGCCATCTCCATTTTCTGCGTGGAAATCATGCTGAGGCCAAGGCATGCTATGAACGAACCGTTAGTTTTGTAGTAGATGCTTCTGACATGCACTTCATCTTTCTACGATTGGGGCACATCTATCTGGAGGAGAAAGAGGTGAGGGGCAGGTAGGAAGTGATGACGTAAATCAGATTTGGTCTGAAACTTGATTAGAGTTTCAAGCACTAACATTCATCTGTATGGACTGAAAATAGGAATATTATAATGACACATTGTAGTAGGTGAAAGAATAATCTGTGGTAGATCCAGATAATAGAATTTTGCTCACTGCTTAAAAGGAGATGTCATTAAACATTGAAAAAAATATAAAGTAACCTTAAAATAAACCTTTATAAAATATAAAGCATAACTACTAAAGGAAAGAAGTCAATCTGAGTCTGCTATGTACTACATGATCCCAACTATGTGACATTCTGGAAAAGACAAAACCATGGGGTCAATAAAAGGTCACTGGTTTCCAGGAATGACAGAAATGGGAGCAACGGATAGGTGAACTTTTAGGGCAGTGAAAATATTCTATGTAATACTATAAGGACACATACGTGTGTGGACATGAACTGTATGCTCAGATTCATAGAATGCTCAAGAGCAAGAGTTATCTTTTTTTGTTTTCTTTTTTTCATTTGGGGGTCACCCCCAGTGATCCTCAAGGATAACACTTGGCTCTGTACTCAGGAATTGCTCCTGACAGTGCTCTGGGGGTCATAGGGGGTGCTAGGGATCAAACCCAGGTCAGTCATGTGCAAGGCAAATGCCCTGCCCACTGTACTATCACTCAGACCCTCCCAAGAGGCATCCTTAAGGTAAACTGAACTTTGGGTGATGATGATGTGTTAATGAAAATTACAACATTAGGGCTAGGGAGACAAAGCTGGAGCACATGCTTTGCATTAAAAAATAAAGCACTGGCGGTGGGATTGGTACTGAAATATTGCATAATTAAAACTCAACCACCAATAACTTTATAAATAAAAGTTCTTTAAATAAAAAATTATTTTTAAAAAACTGGGACTGGAGGGAAAGTAGAGTGCATGGGGCATTTGCCTTGCACACAGTCGAGCCAGTTTCAATCCCCAGCATCCCACATGGTCCTCCAAGGACCACCAGGAGTAGTAATTCCTGAGTATAGAGCCAGGAATAACCCCTGAGCATCACCAGGTGTGGCCTTCAAAACAAACAAAACAAAAAATATTTTGAAAAATTAGAGAGGGAAGAAGGAAGGAATGAAGGAAGAAAATGGAGGGAGGGAGAGAGAGAGGGAGGGAAGGAGGGAGGGAGGGAGAGAGAGGGAGGGAGGGAGGGAGGGAGGGAGGGAGGGAGGGAGGGAGAAAAATTATATCACAAAGGTCCCACTGTGGCAAGGCATGTTGACGTCAGGGGAGGTTGTCCTGCATGGGATTGAACGGCACATGGGGATTCTGTTTTCCTCTTAGTTTTGTTATCAACTTAAAACTGTTCTTAAAAAATGGGCTTTAACAGAATCTGGAAAAAACCTGAGTGCCCGAGAACAGATGACTGGTTAAAGAAACTTTGGTACATTTACACAATGGAGTACTATGCAGCTGTTAGAAAAGATGAAGTCATGAAATTTACATACAAGTGGTACTACATGGAAAGTATCATGTTAAGCGAAATGAGTCAGAAAGAGCAGGGTAGACATAGAAAGATTGCATTCATCTGGGGAACATAACAAAATAGGAGACTAACACCCAAGAATGCCAAGACTAGTACCAGGAATTTTGCTCCATGGCTTGGAGGCCAGCCACACATGCTAGGGGAAAAGGGAGCTCAGATAGAGAAGGGAGCACCAAATAAAGGGTGTTGGGAGGATCCTCCCAGGGTGGGAGAAGCATGCTGAAAGTAGACTATAGACTAAGCATGATTGCCACTCAATGCCTCTTTTGCAAACCACAACACCCAAAAGGAGAGAGAGAACAAAGGGGAATGCCCTGCCACAGAGGCAGGGTGGGTTGGGGGGGTGGGGGGTGGGAGAGATACTGGGATTCATGGTGGTGGGAAATGGGCACTGGTGGAGGGATGGGTATTTGATCATTGTATAATTGAAACCCAAGCACAAAATTTGTAAGTCTACAACTGTACCTCATGGTGTCTCACTAATAAATTTTTTTTAAAAAAATGGGCTTTAAGTAATATAAAATCCAAGCACTCATTAGATTCTTCTGTAGTACATCTGCAGAATCTCCACAGTTCTCCTAGCAGTGCAGTTTGAATAGTGATGTTTTTTTCTCTACAGTATGAAAAGGCAAAGAGAACCTACATGCAGGTCTGTAAGAGGTCACCATCATGCCTTACCTGGCTAGGTCTGGGGATTGCCTGTTACCGGGTAAGAGGATAAGACTTGAAGATTATTCTTATTCCATTAGATCAAAATATGCTTTTAAAAATGAAACTCATATATGAAGCTGAAATTTTGGTGGAGGGTGTGGTGTTGGAATGTTTTATGCATGAAACCCTGCCATTAGTAATACTGTAAACCATGACTCCTAAAGTAATTGTTTTAAAAGACTATTTTTTGTGGTGCTGATTTTGTTTTCTTGACTGTTTTGAGGCCACACCCAGTGCTCAGGGGCTGTTTGCAGTGCAGTGCTCAGGGATTCTCCCTCCGGTGCTCCGGAACACCTGATCAAAGTGAAGGATGCTGCACGCAGCGCATGAGCCCCAGCCCTTTGGGCCGTCTTCCCATCCTCCCTTGCCCCATGATATGTTTTTATTATGGAAATGCTGCTTCATTATCGGAACATTTGTGAGTTTGAATTTTCATTTTGTTTTATTTGGGCTTTTCTGTTTTGTTTGGGAGCCAGACCTGGCAGTGCTCAGGGCTTACTCCTGGCTCTGCTCTCAAGGATCACTCCTGGTGGGCTTGGGGAACTATATGGGATGCTGGAATCAGACCCTGGTGGGCTGCAAGGCAAGAGCCCTACCCACTGTACTATGTCTCCAGTCCCACATTTTTTTTTTATATATTTTACATGTTAGTGAGCTCTTTCAAGGCACGGTTTATATTTCAACTTTTGATTCTGTGTATGTAACACTCTCCTGGCAGTCAGTCTTTGGTAAGTAAAGGTTAATTGGATAATGAATAAGTTGACGATATTTGACATGTGATCCAAACAGGCATTAGGAAGTCATACTCTGTATTGTCTTGAGAATAGAAACCTGTGATTTTCTGATCTAAAACAAAATTGAAGAGACTGGAAAGATAGTGTAGAGGTAGGGAACCTGTCTTACATGTGACCAACCCAATTCAGTCCCTGGCACCACATATGGTCCATTGAACCTTGCCAGGAGTGTTCCTGAGTGGAGAGCCAGGATTTATCTCTGAGCACCACCAGGTGTGGCCCCAAAACAAAACAAAACAAAAAGAACAGGCTCCTTTTTAGGGAGAAGAGTGCTTTATTTTTTCCCTTGGGCTTTTTGCTTTACTAAGTAACCTCACAGTTCTCGGAAATAGCCATGATATCCCTATGCCTAGATTTCAGGGAGCGCCCTGCAGTCTCTGAATAGTGTGTTGATTGATCAATATGTATTGCATAATAGCACTGTAGCTCTGTCCATAGCACTGTCCTCCCATTGTTCATCGACTTGCTCGAGCGGGCCCAGTAACGTCTCCGTTGTGAGACTTGTTATTACTGTATTTGGCATATATAATATGTCTTGGGTAGCTTGGGCTGGAGCGATAGCACAGCGGTAGAGCGTTTGCCTTGCATGCAGCCAACATGGCCAACCCAAGTTCGATTCCTCCGCCTCTCTTGGAGAGCCTGGAAAGCTACCAAGAGTATCTTGCCCGCACAGTAGAGCCTGGCAAGCTACCCGTGACGTATTTAATATGCCTAACACAGTAACAACAAAGTCCCCAATGGAGACGTTACTGGGCCCGCTCGAGCAAATCGATGAACAACGGGAGAACCGTGACCGAACCGTGACCGTGGGTAGCTTGCCAGGCTTTGCTGTGCGGGTGAGATACTCTCGGTAGCTTGTCAGACTCTCCGAGAGGGGCGGGGGAATCAAACTCAGGTCAGCTGGGTTGGCCGCTTGCAAGGCATACGCCCTACCCACTGTGCTTAGTGCTAATGCAAAGGAACCTTTCTGAACAAGGTTAATAGGACATTCATCATTAAAAAGTAAGCACAATGTCAAGAGAAAAATACAGTTATATATCTGGAAGTCCCTAAGGGGTGGGGGGGGGGGATTACTGAAGATATGCACACTACGTAAAGCCTTCTGGCCTCCCAGCCCCAGCACCTGAAGCTCCCTGGCTCAGGATGCCCTAACGGGACTGCCTGCAAGGGAAGCAGGAGCTAGAAGCTAAGGGCTCACCAAGTGGAACTCCAAACTTCCCCACCTGGCTTTTGAACTCAAGAAGTTCCACACTGACCTGATGCATTTATTGGGTCACAACCTAAAAGTTGGAAGGAGACCGATGGCTAAAAATTTTAAACTTGAAACCTGTTGGTATAGGTCATGCACACCAGTGTTATCGGGACAAAGTGGTTTCCGCTGAACTTGACGTCAGCTGAAGCCTACCTTTCCTGGGACACTCACACGCCTTCTCTCTGTCCAGCTGGGGGAACTCACTGAAGCTGAGGATGCTCTCTCTGAAGCCAATGCCTTGAACAACCACAATGCTGAAGTATGGGCATACCTGGCTCTGGTCTGCCTGAAAGTGAGTATCACTGTATGCAGTGCCTTTCCAGGGCAAATTGGCGAGCGACCAAAGGGCAGCCATTAATTCATGCTCCCTTAACAAACTTCAGACCACTTTAATTATACTGATGAAGGAGAAGATAAGTCGGGATAGCCGCTACTTGGAATGTACTTGAAAATATACTCGGGGCTGGGGAAAGAAAGAACAGGTGGTAAGGCACTTGTTTTGCACACAGCTGGCCCCAGTTTTATCCCCAGCGCCATACTTGGTCTCTTGACCCCCACTGTAGTGATCCCTGAGCACAGAGCCAGGAGCAAACCCAGAGCACAGTTGGCTGCACAAGCACTGGCCCCGCACCAGAAAACTCCACAAAAGTGCTGCCAGCACCATATCGTATGTCCGAGCACCTAACCATCTCTTTTATCAATTTACCTTTAAGCTTTTTGAAAAGGAATTTTTTTGCCCACATCTATATTAGATTATTTTCTTTTTCTTCCTTTCATTTTCCTGTTTCCCCTCTGAATTCAGAGGTTATTTATTTGTCTTTATTGTTGATTTCTGGGCAACACACAGCAGTGCTCAGAGCTTACTCCTGGCTCTGTGCTCAGGGATCACTGCTGGAGGTTTTGGGGGACCATATAGGTGCTTAGGATCGAACCCAGGTTGGCCACATGCCAGCCAAGTACTTGTTCCAGTGTACCATCTCCTCATTCCCTGGAATTCAGAGGTTACTGACCAAGGTGTGGACTTGTCTGCTTCAGTTAGAGATGTGTGTGGCAGTGTACAGTTCCATCACGTTTGACATGCCATCACCAGCTGCTGTTCTGTTTTGTAGGCTAATCGGCAGCTGGAAGCTGAGCAGGCCTATAAGTACACACTGAAGGTAGGAAGCAAGTTTTCTGCTCTTTGTTCGGGGCGATGCTGGGAAACTGGGAGGAAGGAGCTGGCTTAATTTAAGTCTGAGAGCATTTCAAGTCAAAACTTGAGACCAAATTTTCGGGAGTTAAATTACCATAATGAAAATGCTGAGTTTGGAATAATAACCTTGGAGAATTGTCTGTTACCTTGGAGAATTGTCCCCCCACTTTTTGAGAGTCAAGTTGAAAGGGAACATAGATAACCTGAATTATTAACTTACTAGGTTCTCCTCTGGGCTTCATTTTCCTCATATGTAAAATAGAGCCTAGAGCCAGTATCAGCAAACTTTGTCCATAAGGGGAGGACTAGGAAATATTGCTATGGGCCAAATGTTTTCTACTGATAATATCCTCTATCTTCATAGTGCCAAAACACAGCACACAAACATGAATGAGTATGGCTGCGTTTCAATAAAAAAATTTTTGCTTATAAGAACAGGAAGTGTGCTGGGTTTGACTCACGAGAGCTTTACCAAACCCTGGTCTATTTCACCCATTATGCAGTGCTGATTTGAGGTGAAATGCTCAATGTAGATTTGTTTAGGTTTCTCAATGTATGAAATGTTCAAGGATGCCAGCACAGCTCCAGTTCTTTTCTTTCTGCGGAATCACGGCATGCCTTTCTGGTGCTCCAAGTTGCAAGGACACAGCCAGCCACTGTAGCTCTAGCCTCTGTGTCCATGTTTCAGACACAATCAAGAACAAAACTGGAGATTACCCGAGGCTGCCTCATATTTAAAAAGAAGGAAAAAGTGGTTTGGTGGGAGACAAAAAGGACAAAGGCAAAAAGAACCGAGGTGTTAGTTAACATTTCATGTCTCTTTAGAAGAGTTTAAATTTCTTTTTCTCTTTCTTTTGGCTTTTTGGGTCACACTTGGCAATGCTCAGGGGTTATTACTGGCTCTGCACTCAGAAATCATTCCTGGCGTTACTCAGGGGACCATATGGGATGCTGGGGATCAAACCTGTGTAGCTGGCAAGGCAACTGCCCTACCTGCTATACTATCAAAAGTGTAAATTTCACTGGTCACAGTTGGTCCTAAGACATCCCCCCACCCCCATCAGTAAAGGAAGCTGGAAATGTGGCTTTTTGGCCGGCTGAATTGCTAGCCTGAAATGGTAGGATTTCCTTAGTAATAAAGAGAGTATCCAGGGCCCAGAGAGAATATAGTGCAATAAGGCACTAGATTTACATGTGACCAACAAGGGTTGATCCCTGGCACTGCATATGGTCCCCTGCACCCAGACAGGAGTGATCCTTCAGCACAGAGCCAGGAGTATGCTCTGGGATACAGAGCCAGGTGTGGCCCCAAAACCAAATACATAAATGAGTATTCAGTAGGCAAAGTAAGTATGTGAATTCTAAAATTAACTCCACTTAACTACCTTGGTTCTTCTTTCTTCAATTTGTCACTTGCTAAATAAGAATAAGTAAAGCTATGTTTGGTGATACTGTAACTCTTATAAAACAAATAATAAAAGCAAATTCTGAGTTTTATACCACTTGATAAATTCCTACTGTGGAATCAGCAAAATATTATTGAGGTCTTTTAATGGGGTTACTCTGAAATTGGGAGTATGTGAAGAACCAGTTTCACGCCAAGAAACTATGTTCTTTAGCTCTGGCCCAGTGTTTGTGGGGCATCTACATGTGTGTATCAAATAAGATAAATGTCCTTCCTTTTATCTCTTGCAGTTGAAACTGAAGGACGAGGCTCTGTTGGCAGAGATCCGCATGGTACAGGAAACCGTGGGCTTTGGAAATCCTTCCTTTTGACTTCAGTCCAGCTGAAGAAATTACTCCCCGGAGATCTTGAGATCCTTCCCTTTCCCGAAAAATTAAACCCTGTAAGTTATATCCTAGTGAGATAGGGAAACGGGACACACCAGGCAGAAAGAGGTAAAATAGGAACCTCCAAAGCCAACAGTACTTACTACCCTACTTTATCACCTGAGAACACCTGACTACCAGTGTGCCACCGCCACCTCCGGACACCTGCAGGGGAAGGTCAGATCCAAAAAAACAAAGGCAGGAGAGTAAACAAAAACCAACTAAACTACAAATAGCCCATTAGATTCTAGTGGGGTGTCATGGGGGTGGTGGGTGGGGGAATAGAATAATTTCACCTTGGAGCTTCTGTTCTCCTGAGTTTCTTGCTGGATTCAAAATTAAACACACACACCCTCCCGCCCACCGCCCGCCATCCTCCTGTCTTTCTTCAGGACAAGCTTCTGCATGTTTTATCTGACATTAAAACAGCGTAATAAAAATATGGAAATGAGATTCAAATCTCACCACTGTGATTGGTGTGGTGTTGGAATTATGTACACGTGAAGCCATCATTAACAACACTGATTGAAATAATTCACAATGCTGCAACCAATAGATTAAAAAATAAAATCACAAAAACTAGGGGGGTGGGCAGGAGGAAAACTGAAGACACTGGTGGTGGGAAATGTGCGCTGGTGGAAGCACGGGTGTTGGAAAATGGGACTGAAACTCAGTCACGAGCAACTTAATTACTCAGTGATTCAATTAAAAAAATTTTAAACTACTAAAATGGGGGTTGGAAGATGAAATCTCCAGTGTGGTTCTGGAGTTAATCAAGGCATTCTGAATTAGATGTAAAAATACACATACATACACTACAAAGTGTATACAGTTATTTTAGTTACTGTTTACTAGTTGAGCAGGATCACTGTTTGAAAAAGCCACCTACCAAGGTCCCTAGTTAGGTTACCTTACTTAAACTTGGGGATCAGTCATCAGTTTCTAAGGTGGGCATAGAGAAAATCTGCAAGCGGGACCACTGCCTAGGGTAAAGGGGATGTTCGTTGTGAGCGGGCCCTTTGGATCCCACGGTGAAGCAAGAAGCTGAGCAATGGGGCATGGTGCCGCCAGCAGGTCAATCTGTACCTGTGAGGCAAGTGCATCAGCAGCCTGATGGTGCCTCAGATTTCTAGATACCCCCAAATTGCCTTTGCCAGACCCATGGGGTCAACAACATGGGGCCAAGTTTACCAAGAAAGTAAATGGCCAAAAGTTAGGTATGTGGGAGACACACCCACAGACCACCTCCAGCTCAGCTATATAATTGGAGGCAAGGCCTCTCTGGTTCCTGATCAAACTGCTTAATGGCCATGATCCCAGAGACTCAGAGACAAATCTCTGAACCCAGCGGCTTTTGGCAGAAATGTGTCAGATCCCTGTAGTAGGTTACTGATGCCGGACCACCCCAGGTGGAATAGGTATCGTGCATTGGTCTGCTCCCCCTGAGGCCTCCAGAGGCCACTGGACAGTCAGGTTTGGGCCCGCAGTGATGAGACATGCGAGACTCACAGGATGGGGGTGGAACCTGCCCTTTCCTCCCTGCCCCAATGAGACCCCGGGTCACTGCCCACGAACAGTGATCAAGCTGCTTAAGGCCATAATCCCAAAGACTCAAGAACAAATCTCGAAACCCAGCAGCTTTTGGCAGAAATCCCTCCAGATTCAGTTGTTAAAATTTTGGAATTCCAAAATCGCATGGCCACTGCTACAGCCACATAACATCATAATCAGCAACAGAAAACAAATTGTGCACGATTGCCTTTTCGGCAGATCTGAGTGTTGGGGTAAAATCCCAAATAATAATGGTGGGTCTGGTGTCAGAATATTTAATGTAATCAAAATAGAGAGAGTAATCATCTGCCCCACAGGTAGAGGGCGGTGAGGGATTGGGGGGGTATACTGTGGTTTTTCGTGGTGGAAAATGGGCACTGGTGAAGGGATGGGCGTTTCATCATTGTATGACCGAGACTTAAACCCGAAAGCTTTGTAACTGCTCTCACGGTGATTCAATAAATGAATTTATAAAAAGGGGGAAAAAAGTAAGGTGAAGTTCATGCCCAATTCAATCAGCCTAATCAATGGCTGAATAAATAGCAATACTCCTACATTAAATAGAAAAATAAAGAAGACGCTGAGCAGACAGGGCTTTGCTGAAGTGGTGCCCTGGGGAGTCTGATTCCTGCCCAGTAGGTACCTTCATGGGTCTAAACCTCAAGGGCTCCATGAAGGAGCATGTATCACTTCTGGTCCCTAGGTCAAATTTTTTTAAAAATTTTTATCAGTGAGACACCATGAGGTACAGTTGTAGACTTACAAATTGTGTGCTTGTGCTTCAATTATACAATGATCAATGATCCCTCCACCAGTGCCCATTTCCCACCACCACGGATCCCAGTATTCCTCCAACCCCTCATCCCTCCCATCCCCCCCTGCCTCTGTGGCAGGGCATTCCTTTTTGTTCTCTCTCTCCTTTGGGGTGTTGTGGTTTGCAAAAGAGGCAACGAGTGGCAATCATGTTTGGTCTATAGTCTACTTTCAGCATACTTCTCCCATCCTGTGAGGATCCTCCCAACACCCTTTATTTGGTGCTCCCTTCTCTATCTGAGCTCCCTTTTCCCCTAGCATGTGTGGCTGGCCTCCAAGCCATGGAGCAAAATTCCTGGTACTAATCTCGGCCATTCTTGGGTGTTAGTCTCCTATTTTGTTACTTTATGTTCTCCAGATGAATGCAATCTATGTCTATCCCTTTCTTTCTGACTCATTTCACTTAACATGATACTTTCCCTGTAGTACCACTTGTATGTAAATTTCATGACTTCATCTTTTCTAACAGCTACATAGTACTTCATTGTGTAAATGTACCAAAGTTTCTTTAACCAGTCATCTGTTCTCAGGCACTCAGGTTTTTTCAGATTCTGGCTATTGTAAAGAGTGCTGCGATGAACAAACAACTGCAGGTGTCACTTCGACTATACCTTTTTACCTCTCTGGGATATATTCCCAGGAGTGGTATTGCTGGGTCAAATGGGAGCTCAATTTCTAATTTTTTGAGAATCGTCCATACTGTTTTCCAAAAGGGCTGAACCAGTCGGCATTCCCACCAGCAGTGAAGGAGGGTCCCTTTCTCGCCACATCCACGCCACTACCGGTTGCTTTTGTTCCTATGGATGTGGACCAGTCTCTGTGGTGTGAAATGATATCTCATTGTGGTTTTGATCTGCATCTCCCTGATAATTAATGATGTGGAGCATTTTCTCATGTGCCTTTTAGCCATTCGGATCTCTCCTTTGAGAAAGTTTCTATTCATTTCATCGCCCCATTTTTTGATGGGGTTGGATGTTTTCTTCTTGTGGAGTTCAACCAGTACTTTGCATATCCTTGATATCAACCCCTTGTCGGATGTGTATTTGGCGAATATCCTTTCCCATTCTGTAGACTGTCTTTGTAATTTGGTCACTGTTTCTTTGGTGGTGCAGAAGCTTCTTAGTTTAAGCTAGTCCCATTTGTCTATCTCTGTTTTCACTTGTTTGGCCAGTTGCATGACATCTTTGAAGATACCATCAGCTTCAATGCCTAGGTCAGATTTTTAATTGACTTTTCCACTAGGACCCCCCACCTCCGCTCTTGATCAAATATTTTGGTTCACACCAGGGGGTGCTCAATAGGGCCCTGAGGCAGGGCTTACCTGCTGAGGGCCAACACCTTACCCCTGTACTTCTCTGTGGCCCTTCGTCTGCAGAACTGTTATGTGACCCCAGGTATCAAAGTGTATAAAACAAATGTACAAATCAAACATTCACTGATAAGAAATCATAAAGAAATTTCTCTTAAAACATCTTTTAAAGTACATATGCGCTGCAACCCAGCTTAGAAAAACGGTCTTAGATCACTGCACACCAAGTCTGGAGCAGGGCGCAGTTCAGAACAGGAGGGAGGTGGGAGGGGAAGGCATGAGGTTTTTTAGGAAAGTGGGGGAGGGGGGGTGGGAAGCGTGGAGGAGTCCGCCTTTCCTTCTGCGCCCCCAATTCCCTCTAGTTACTTTGGTGGAACTCAAGACTTCCCACCAGCTGAGCTTGCTGCGGGACAGGGACCGCACCTGCCCATCTTTGCCTGCCCAGGAGGGGTCCAAAAGCATCCCATCTGGTCCCCCGAGCACCGCCAGGAACAAGACCTGAGTGCAGAGCCAGGAGCAACTCCTGGGCACCCTCCCGCCCCACCCTTGCGAAGAACGATTCGCCCAGGTTAGGTCACTTCCACGCGCCCATGCGGGGTTCCCCCGACAACTCCCCTCAGCTCACATTCCCACGGCGACTGCCCGGCCGCGCAGACGCGGCGGTACTTTACGGCACTGCGCACGTCGCCGCGTTGCATCCCGGGAAGTGTGGCCAGGGGCGGAAGAGGCGGGGCGAGCTGCGCGTCTGTCTCCGGAGCCGCGGCGGGCGCTGCGGAGCGCGTCCTTGGCGCAGCACCATGGTCCGGCTGAGTGAGTGTGCGGGGTCCCCGCGGGCGGCTGAGCCTGCGATGGGGTGGCCCGGAGGACACCTTGGGAAGGGACTGTGCCCCCAGCAGGTGGGGAACAGGCCAGATTGATGAGCATCAGAACTAAGGATACTGCAGTGGGGGAAAGGGTAGTGTTTTGTTCACCCCCATCTGTCCATTTGGTGCTCCAGGGTCTTTTTGTTTGGGGGCCACACCTGGCAGTGCTCGGGATCATTCCTGGCGGTGCCCAGGGGACCACACGGGGTGCCGGGTTCGAGTGCGGCTCGGCTGCGTGCAAGGCAGGCGCCCTCGCATTCTTGCGTCTGACCCCGACTTCGCCTGCAGCTTCTGCGCTCTGCAAGGTCTACCGCGGAGGCCACTTAACCATCCGCCTGGCCCTGGGCGGCTGCACCAACCGGCCGTTCTACCGCATCGTGGCCGCGCACAACAAGTGCCCTCGGGACGGCCGTTTCGTGGAGCAGCTGGGCTCCTACGACCCGCTGCCCAACACCCACGGGGAGAAGCTCGTCGCCCTCAACCTGGAGCGGATTCGGCACTGGATCGGCTGTGGGGCGCACCTCTCCAAGCCGGTGGAGAAGCTGCTGGGTAACGCGCCTCTGGGCCCGCCAGGACCGGTGGTTTACCTGGAAGTCAGTTTCAGGCTGCAGAGAGTGAAGAGTAGTTTTCATTTCAGGCGTGAGAGCTGAAGTCGGGTTCTAAGAGGGGCACAGCGGGCTGTGCTTAGGGCTCACTCCTGACTGCTGGGCATCATACTTGATTCTGGGATTAAAGCCCATCCATCCCCTTTGTACTGTCTCTTGGCCCCCCCACATCTTTTATTATATTTTTTTAATTGACTCAAGGTGAGATACAGTTACAGACTTTCATGATCAAGTTCAGTCACACAATGAACCAACATCCCTCCCTCCACCAGTGAGCATTTTCCACCGCCAATGTTCCTAGTATCCCTCCTGCCACACCCACCCCACCCACTCTCTGCCTCTGTGGCAGGTACAGTTCTTTTTATTCTTTCTACTTTTCGGCATTATTTGCAATACAGATACTAAGAGGCCATTGTGTGTGGTCCTTAGTCTACTTTCAGCACACATCTCTCATCCCGAGCAATCCCTCCAGCCATCATTTACTTTTCCATCCCAACGGCTTTTCCCCCAGCATGTGAGGTCAGCTTCCAAACGGTGGAGTGATCCTCCTGGCCCTTATCTCTGTCCTTAGGTGTTAGTCTCATATTGCCCACATCTTTTTTATGCAGTTATAGCCACAGTCACTTTAGTTGCATCCCTACGTTAGCAACTGTAGATAACACTGCAATAAACATTGGATGAATATAAAAATAAAAATAGGAGTAATGTATCTCAAATGACCATCAATCTTACCCATTTTTTTTAAAGGAGAAAAGTGTTAGGAAGTGACAGTATCCACTGTTTGAGCAGTGATTAGAAGGGAGTGAGTTGGAGGAAGAGAAGGGGCATCTTGGAGAGAAGCAGGTTTTAAACTCATGCTTTAAAGTAGTGCTGAGCTCCTGGGAAACACCGACCTATACTGAATTATAACACAAGGAAATCCTGTTGCTTCTAGGTCTCTCCGGCTTTTTCCCTTTGCATCCAATGATGATCACCAATGCAGAGAGGCTACGACGGAAACGGGCCCAGGAACTCCTTCTAGTGTCTCAGAAAACCGACACAGAGACTGGGGAAACAAAGGAGTAATGTATCTCAAATGACCATCAATCTTACCCGTTTTTTAAAGGAGAAAAGTGTTGGGAAGTGACTGACCTCAGCAGAGCCCAGGAACAGGGCCAAGGTCCCTAAGACATTTGTACAGAGCTTTTGAGTTTTTTTAGATCTAGAGATCAATAAATGGAGTTTTCTAAGTTACCCGTGCTCTGGTTTTTTGGTTGTTTTGTTTTGTTTTCTGATAGAAAGCTAGATCTAGGTAGATTGATTATTTTCTGCCATATCTGAGGGAAAAACAGTGACTGTGGGTGGGCCAGACTTTTGGTTGGACCCTGGGTCTCTTACACCAGTGATCTCCAGCCTTGGTCTATGGACGACTGCCCGCTGCACGTGTAGGAAGGTTGAGAAAAGTTGGTCTGGTGTTTTGGCTAAAACTCAATGGTCTGTGGGCTGGGGTACAGGAAACCAAGCTGGTCCACGCGTATTGGAGGTTGAAGAATTTGTGTCTTAGACAACTTCACAGTTTCTGCCTTCTAAGGTTTCTTCTTTGGAAGCTTCCAAGTGACATGTTCATCGCCCATCCAGTTAAATCCTTCCTTGATCATTTATGTTCTTCACACCAGCTCAAGTCCACAATTACTTTGTTGTTTTTCCAATTGCAGATTTATATTGCCTGACACATTTCCTCAGATTTACAAAGGTATATTGGTTGTGAGTTTGAGGACTCTAAGTTTGGCAGATGCTAACATTGTGAAGAGCCCACATATATGCTTGACCCTTACCATGCAAGGTTGTGAGAATTATAAGGTATTGTGAAAGTGGGCTGGGTTATTTCCATTCTATTGCTGGAGAAGCAAAGGTTCATAGACAGAAAACTCCATGGTCACATAATTTTGTATTTTATTTTGGGGTGAAGGGTCCTTCCAAAGCAGTACCTGGAGGTTGAGGGAACCACTCCCAGAGATTGCTGCCAGTCAGGTGTCAGTCGGTGCTTGGGCCCAAGGATGCAGTGCTATGGTCCCAGCAGTATCACGGCCACTGCAGTGGTGACCAGGGACATCTCATGATGCTCAGAGAACTTCAGAGCTACACCAAGTAATGCTTGAAAGATGCCGGGGATCAAATCCAGGTCAGGTGCACCCAAGGGATATGCCCTCACCTCTGAACTCTCTAGCTCCAAGGTGACATTGTTTTAATACCAGGCAAAGATAAGATTGAGACACAAGTGTATCTACCTGGAGAGAGAGGGTCTTTCTCCAAAAGTATGCCGGCATACCTTTTTTCTGGCACAGAATGAGCAAGAGTGGGGGGGGCATTACGAAAATTAATCTAAAGCCAGCGAGGAGCTGGAGCAATAGGATATAACGAGCCAGATGCTAGCCTTGCACACACCCACCCAGGTGCAATCCTCAGGACCCCAGATGGTCCCCTGAGCGCAGAGCCCAGGAGTAAGCCCTGATCACTGCTGGGTGTGGCCTTCAGACAAAACAAGGTCAGTGATAGAATCATCACACTAGGTCTTATGAATTTGGTAATATAAAGGCCAGGTCATCCAAGAACAAAATTCCACTGGAATGACAGATCTCTACAACCTCAAGCACGAGTGGATGGTTTTAATGCGTACTGGGTGATGCAGATTGCAAATTCTGGTAAATGTAGGCAAGGGAAGTATCCAGAGGAAATTCTCAAGCGCCATCATTGTCTCAACATTTTATTCTCTGGGTTTTATATTCTGAGGACAATTGCCAGCCACTTCAAATTCTGGGGTCATCCAGGCTTCCCCGGGGTCACTGGTTGGCCTCCAGTTGTGAGGAGACTGACACCAGGTGTACTGGGGAGGAGAACTGACTTCACCTGATTGCATTCTGGATTTGGAAAAGAAATGACTTAAAATATATTCAAGTATATTCATGTGGGTGCTGAGAATGCAGTAGAAGCATTAGGTTGCAGTGTGCCTGATCTCTTCTTGATCCCCAGCGTGTCAGTGTGACCCTGGTGATCCCCAGCAGGACCTCATACTAGCATCAGCTGGATCAGCTGGGAGTGGCTGGGTGGGCCCCCCACCATATAAGATATTACTCACCTCAGAGACTGTGGTTCTCCTGAGTAACTCATAGTGCATAAGAGAATGTGATTCTGAAAAGTATTCTGAAAACCTCTAGGGATCTGATATGAAAATGATTATGGCATTACCTAGCATTTCTGCCAATACACGTACTTGGGACTTATGTCCTCGTCTATTCTTTATCCAGGAGCTGATACACATCTTCTGTGTGAGTTCATTGATTTGTAGTTTTTCTAGTCTTAACCTTGCTGTAGGTCTCATGGGCATATTTTTCACTCTGTCTTGGATCTCAAATTCAAAATACTCAAACCAGCTATGCATTTTAGAAAGGGAAAAAACCTTTTGCTTCAGTAGATTACATATTTGTAGCAAAGGAAGAAGTGACCCACATCTGGCTGTGCTCAGGGATCACTTCTCGAAGGGCTCTGGAGGCCAACTATGTATGATGTAGGAGATTAAACCAGGATCTCTGCCTGCCAGGCAAACAGCTTAACCTCCGTACTACCTCTTCTGCACAAACAGTTTATATTTTCAATGTATTGCCTTTAAAATTACTCTTTTCCAGACTAGAAGTGACATGGCAAAGATAGAGGGTCTTGGGAACACTTATTGGTTGAAGGTGCAGTAACTTGGTACATCAAAATGTTAGCACTATTGAGGACATGTTGCTTAAATTATAATTTTTATTTTTGGACCCACCCATGCAAGCAGGCACCCTACAATTGCTCCTGCACCTAAGTTACAATTTTTAAAAAAATTACTCTTCACATTGTTTCTATGCTGAGCAGGTATTACACACACTTGGTTGTGGTTCTGGGCATTCCAAAAGCAGAGCCAGTGCGGTCCCTCTTAGGCAGGGGTAGTGTTGGCGATCCCGGAGGATGGAATGTGCAGCTTCACCAGCCTCAGGTTTGCAAAGGAGGTGGTACAACTAACCCTTCTCCGCCAGCTTTTATTTTATTCAGATGGAGTCTTGGGTCATGTTACCTCCATCCACGTAGAAAGTTTGCCATGTGATGAATATGAAAATCCTCTATTTTTAAAGGGCTTTGTTTTATGTAGGCTTTCTCCTGCAGAACTCAAGCTAGAGCTGTAGGTTGCAAAATTATTATTCTTGAATCACTGCCTGACAGACCCTTACAAAGCTGTTCATGGTTGGATTTCAGTTATACGGTATTCCAACACCCATCCCTCCACCAGTGTGCATTTCCCAACCTCAGTGTCCCCAGGTTCCCTCCCATCACCCCCCACCTGCCTCTATGGCAGGTGCTTTTCTTCTTCTTCTCTGTCTCCTTTTGGACACCGTGGTTTGCAATATTGATACTGAAAGGTTATCAAGAATATCCCTTTACCTACTTTTGGCCCTCAGAACTTGTCCAGCGTGATCATTCCCAGCTATCTTCACCATCTTATCAGCACGGTTCAGCAGGTTTCCAGGGAAGACATCCCGGAAATTGAGAGCATCTCCCGCTCTCAATTCTCGCAGACGCCGGCCTGGACACGCCCCGTTTTACGGCAACCGTAAAGCGAGGCGCGGGGCCGCGGCCGTGAGGCGAGACGGGGCCACGCCCTGTTTCGCCGCGGCCGTAAAGCCAGGCGCGGGGCCACGCCCCCTCCCGCGTCTCTTGTGACGCAGGCGCCCTGGGCTTTTAGCGCGGGAAAAGGCAGCGGTTCGGAGCCGCGCCGGGGCTGCGGGGACCCGCTGGCGTCCCGAGGCTGCCGCCGCTCTGCACCGTTGCGAGCCATGGGCCTGCTGGAGCTGTGCGAGGAGGTGTTCGGCACCGCCGACCTCTACCAAGTGCTGGGCGTGCGGCGCGAGGCCTCGGACGGCGAGGTCCGGCGCGGCTACCACAAAGTGTCCCTGCAGGTGCACCCGGACCGGGTGGGCGAGGGCGACAAGGCGGACGCCACCCGCCGCTTCCAGGTACGCGGGGCCCCTCCTGCGCGGGCCGGCTGCGCCTCTGTCTCCCCCGGCGGGCCCGTGACCCCGGCACCCTCCGTTCCCTGCAGATCCTCGGGAAGGTCTACGCGGTTCTGAGTGACAGCGAGCAGAGAGCACTGTACGACGAGCAGGGGACCGTGAGCGAAGACTCGGACGTGCTCACCCAGGACCGGGACTGGGAGACCTACTGGAGGTTGCTCTTCAAGAAGGTACCCGGGGGCCCGGGCCTGCCGCCACGCGGGGCATTGTTGGTTTGGTGTTCGGACCCGCCCTGGTTCCGCGGGCTCCGCGCTCAGGAATTGCTCCTGGCGGGCTTGGGGGAGCGGATGGAACCCGGGTCGGCCGCGTGCAAGGCGGGCGCCCTCCCCGCTGTGCTCTCCCTCCCGCCCAAGTGTTCTGGATGGCAGGAATATAAGGGGTTTGTTCGGCCGTGGAGTACGAGCACACTTGGAGTGCGGCAAGCCTTGCTCACGCACATTCCCTTACTGAACTGGGTCTCTTGATTCCCTGTGTTTCAAAGGAGGGTGTTTAGTTTTTACGAGATGTACTTTATTTCCCATATCAAGTACATCTTTCCATCTCTTCTCCTCCCTTCTAGTCACTGCAAACATCATTCCGTTTTCTTGATGCAGAGTTTAACGTTTTTAACAGTGAAGGTTGGACTAGAAGGTTGGAGAACTTTTTGGGGGAAACTCTGGTCTGGCAAATTTGATTCCTTGCTACGGAGTAAACTCCAGCAGCCGTTACATTTGGGAAGAAACATTTCAACACCGAAAGTCTAGTTTCCCTCCAATGCTTTCTATTTAGAAGGAAGTTCTCCAGGTGAGAAATGTTTTTCTCATTTACCCAGATATCTCTAGAGGACATCCAGGCATTTGAAAGGACGTACAAAGGATCAGAAGAAGAGCTGGCTGATATCAAACAGGCATATCTGGACTTTGAGGGGGACATGGACCAGATCCTGGAGTCCGTGCTGTGTGTGCAGTACACAGACGAGCCCAGGATAAGGAGCATTATTCAGCAAGCCATCGATGCCAAAGAGGTGCCTGCCTTCAAGGCCTTCGTCAGAGAATCAAAGCAGAAGATGAATGCGAGGAAAAGAAGGGTAAGAGTGTTTGGTTTTGGGGGCATCCCAGGTGATGCGCGGGGAGCTTCTGGCCATTGTTGCCAACAGTTCGGTGCTGGGGTCCTGTGCTGCTGCTCCGCCTCCTCCAGGGCCACAGCCAGCCATGCTCAAGGGCCTGGAGAGCTGCAGCCTGCAGTGCTGGGACAGGCAGTGAGGCTTTCGCGCTACTGCACCTTCCCCCTGCACGATCTCCTGGCCCAAGAAGGCTAAGATTTTTGAGTTCCTTTTATTCTTTATTTCCATCTTCTCTGTTTCCAAGAGGAACTGGAATTTACAGTGGTGGAGGAGTATATGCTGTCCCTCTACTAAGAGTTAATCTCGGTTCCATATTTTTTTCATCCTGTAAAATGAGCATCTCTCATTCAGAGCTGGTGCTCCTAGTGTGTTGTGCTAAAAAGGTTATACTACAGGGGCTGGAGAGACAGGACAGGGGTAAATCCTTGCACGTGGCCAACTTAAGTTTGATCCCCAGGAACCCCAGTTGGTTCTCAGAACCCCACCAGGAATGATTCCTGAGCATAGAGCAAGAAGTAAGTCTTGGAGCAACATGGGTGTGACCCCAGTCTTCTCCCTCTCCCCCTCCCCCCAAAAATAAACACCTCCAGAAGAGATTATGCTACATGAATTGTTTAAATACTATATTAATTGTGAAGGTTTCCAGTGTTACCCTAAGAATATGGGCCAATCCTTTCACCCTGTCGAGTCATTTCTCCCAGTAGTGGGGCCCAGACAATCCTCGGCAGAGTGCCCAGGGCAGTAGAAGCCTCTGGAACCTCTTTGTTTCCTTAAAGGTGGGAGATTCCCAGGGGGACAGTGCAGTTATTTGTTTCCGGAAAAGGGAATGGAGCAGCTGGGCTTGGAGACCTCTGACCTGGGTGATAGTTTTCACTCTGTTCAGACTGAGTTGCACCCAGAATAGTCATCTTTGAAACAAAGGTTTCAGTTTATTTATTCTGATGGTATCTTTCCAAACACACTTTGGGCAGCACCTTTATGGAAAACGCAGAATTGCAGGCCTCTGTGGTCAGAGTGGGCAAGGGTGGAAGTGGGGGCGGGCCTTCTTGTTCTGCAGTTTTGGGGGGGGTGAGGATTCTCTCTGGCAGGGAGAGGCCTTCAGGAGAGTTGCAGGGGACTGGGCACCAAATAACCATGACCTCTGCGTGGATTTCTCAATGGACACCACATGGCTAGCAGGCAGTGTCAGGCTGCAGGGCTCTGCAGCTGTCTCAGGGGAGCTGTACACCGCAGGGCTGAATTGGAATGGAAATACATCTGATTAGAGGGAACACTGCCAAATGGCTGCGGCACTTTTAAAGCAGGTCTTGTGGTCCAGAAGGGTGCTTGCCTTGCATGTACCCAACCAGGTTCTTCCCAATATCCCATGTGATCTCCTGCGCCCTCCAGGAGTGATCCCTGAGCATTGCCAGGTATGGCTCCAAAACCCGAAAATAAAAATAAAGCAGATCTCGCCTCACTAAAAGGCGTCTCACCTGCAGCAGGGTTCCCTTCTGTTGCCACTCAGGACTCTGGAAGTGTTACCCCAGACACCTCAGATTCATTATGTGGTTGACTTAAAATTGACTTCCGGTTGTCTCACATTCAGAAGCCTTTACTGTTGCCAAATGTTTTGTGAGCCACACATTCAGTTATGCACCTGCAGTGTGGGGCTGTAAGCCTGTTTAAGGGAGCTAGAACCCAGAGCAGTGGCTACACCTGAGGACCAGCACTGGCAGGCCGACTGCCAGTTAACAACTTGGGAGAGCCCATGGGGTCAATGTCTCCACCCCAGACATGGGGCATCGGACCTGGGGTTGGAAACTAATCTAGAGAAATGGGAATGGGGGTGGGAATGAGATGAGCCCCGAGATGCGAGAACTGGGCAGTACATGGAGATCACTGGCTCCTTGGCTCCATCTGCTTAGAGTCAAGCTGAACACAGACCAGGAATCAAATGCAAGGTGGCTGCTCTTGCTGGCCCTTTGCTCTTGCTAGGCCCTTGCTAGGCTGCTGCTCTCCTGCTTGAGCCAGCTTCCCCTAACGCCTGCGTTTTAAGTTGGTAATCAGCTCAACTGAGCACAGCCGTTTTCAGTACGAGGCTATTAGCTTTTGAAACTTCACTGGAGTTTGGGGGGGCGGGGGAGGAGAAGCGAATGGCATAGTGCAAACTTGCTAGCAAATTTGGGGAAGGGAAGGAATTAAAATTTCAATAGGTTGAATATAAGGATTGAAAGTAGACAATGGAAACGGTCACTGTTGGAGTAGTGTCATGGTCTTCACTTAACTTCATTCCCAGAGTCACTGTTAGCAGTGACTGGAGTTAGGACCTCTTGTCTTACCTGGAGCCCGGCAAGGGAGAACTAATTTACTAGCCTTTCCCACGTTTTCTCTTGGTATTTTGGTAACTTGCCTTTTGCCCTGGGGAAATTTGTCATAAGGTGACTTTGAAATTAAATAATGGTTGAAACAAGAATTTGTTAGTCTTTGTTCTGACTACACAAGACAATTTTGTTGTTGTTGTTTGTGGGCCCCAACAAAGTACTTCGTGCTTACTCCTGGCTCTGTGCTCAGGAATCATTCGTGGTTGTGCTTAGAGGACCATATTGGGTGCCAGGAATCAAATTTGGGTCGACCACATTGCAAGGCAAGCGCCCTGCTCACTGTACAACAAAGCCGGTTTTAGGTCAGGGTCATTCTCAAGGCTACTGACCATCATGAAAATTGGGTTTCTGGGGGAGGAATCTGAGGGGACTATAGCCTGTCACATTTTTGAGGGCATCCTGGATTGTGACCTTTATGAGCTCTTTTAGCATTTTATTTTTCTTCCTGTCACTATGTGGTTTATGAATACCAACTCATTGTTACCATTAGCAACTAGAAATGGCGAAAACTCAAATATTTATCAGAACACATCTACTGCTTGCTCTCAGCAATATTTTAGTGACATTCATGTAATTTATTTGTAGAATTCTTTTGTGTTGGGGCACACCCTGAGATGCTCAGGACTTACTCCTGGCCCTGCGCTCAGGGATCACTCCTGGTGGTATTCAGGGACCATATGGGATGCCGAGGATTGAACCTGGGTCGGCCACATTCAAGGCAAGCAACTTGCCCCTGTACTCTCTGGTCCCTGTAGAATTCTTAATCATTGGTCTTTTTTGGTGGGGAAAGGGTATACTTTCAGCACCTCTTGGTTGTCGTGGAATCTCATGACTTTCTGTTTTAGGCTCAGGAAGAGGCTGAAGAAGCAGAGAAGACCCGGAAGGAGTTGGGACTAGAAGAAGGAGTGGACAGCCTGAGAGCGGTCATCCAGGTCAGCTTACCAGAGGGCAGCTTCTCTCTGCAGGCCCTTGCTGTCTCTTTGCTGTCGTTTCCTACTTCTAATGGGTCTTGGGGGCTGGACCTATAGTCTTTGAGGATTTTCTTTGCAGACATTTTTAAAAATTTTTATTAAAAATGCTGTGATAAACTGACCTGGGTTCATTCCTCCACCCCTCTCGGAGAGTCTGGCAAGCTACTGAGAGTATCTTGCCCGCATGGCAAAGCCTGGCAAGCTCCCTGTGACATATCTGATATGCCAAAAACAGTAACAAGTCTCACAATTTGTTGTGAGACATTACTGGTGTCTGCTCGAGCAAACCGATGAACAACAGGAGGACAGCGTGACTGTGATATACAAAGTTGTTCATTCTACAGTTGTTACAAGCATCCCAGTGTTTCAGCACCACCAGTGTGACCTTCCCTCCACCAATAGCCTATTTCCCTCCCATTCCTAATCTTCTCTTATCAGACACTTTTTTTTTCTTTCTTTTTGGGTCACACCCAGCAATGCACGGGGGTTACTCCTGGCTCTACACTCAGGAATTACTCCTGGCGGTGCTGAGGGGACCATATGGGATGCTGGGAATCAAACCCGGTCGGCTGCATGCAAGGCAAATGTCCTACCCGCTGTACTATCGCTCCAGCCCCTCTTTCAGACATTGTTGTGCCATATATTTAGCTCTTTAAAGGTGCATTTCAGTGGATTCTAATCGGAAAGCTGTACAACTTTCAGTACTGATTATAGGACATTATCATCAGGCTAATGTCCTACCCTGGCCCTAACAGTCACTTCCCATTCTCCTGGCTACCCACCCGGAGCAACTCTCAGGTGTTTTCTATCTCTAGAAGTCTGTTTTTGAAAGCTTGTGTCTTAATTTTCCAAACAGAGCAGACAGAAGGATCGACAAAAGGAAATGGACAGTTTTCTGGCTCAGATGGAAGCAAAGTACTGCAAACCTTCCAATCGAGGAGGGAAAAAAACAGCTGCCAAGAAAGGAAAGAAATGAATTTTCTACTCAGAAGTCCTCAAATGTTAGTTGGCGACATGTAGGCAAGATGCAGTCACGATCTGAAGGCGAGTCAACTCACTCTGAGAAAAGGTGCTTTTCCAGCCTGTATGATTTAGATTGGCTTTGAAAACCAAGAAGGAGCTCTGAATCTGACTTGAGTAATCCTAAGAATCCGAGTCTGAGGCCATACTGGGAATTTGGTGATAGTTAAGGGGGAATACTTCCCGATAGCACTTGTGTCTCTGAATCTGTACCTGGAAGTTTACAGGGATGTGGGTCTGTCCATACTGCCTGGAAAAGTTAGCATTCAGGAGCAAGATGCAGAGAATTCTGAATAATGTGCATATTTATTCAAACAAGTTTTTACCTAGTTAGAATACCTTCAAAACATTTGCTAGACTTCTGTCTTCTACTAACACTTGGTAGTTTTCCTACAGTTTAATGATCATAAATAGACATTATCTCCTTTCTCTTTCACTCAGTCAGGTTTTGTACTCTTTACTTGATGTATCGGAGGTACCCAGAGTACTTCCAAGTATTTTTGTAAGACTTGTACATGAATAAATAAGTAACAAAAATATGACTGCTAGGATCTGGGAGCTTTTAAAATAATTGTTATAATGATCACTTAAAAAGACCTGCAGAGAGACCGGAGGGATAGAAACAACAGCCAGTGGGGCCCTTGCCTGGCATGTGGTCAGTCCGGGTTCAATTCCCAACACCCCATATGGTCCCCTGAGCACTGCCAGGAGTAATTCTGAGTGTAGAGCCAGGACTAAGCCCTTGAGCACAGCTGGATATGGCACCAAAACAAAAAAATTTAAATGACCTAGAAAAAAAAAACCCGCATTTTTGATTTGTCTCAACTGGTCCACAGATTGAGGCTAATCTGCAGATGCAAAAAAAACATAAAGCAGAAAAATCTTAGTAGATGACCTGATTTAAGTAGCATAGAGTTGGGTGTTTGGCCTGGCTGTAACTCCTGAACAAGCTTAATTCACTGAACTTCTCTGAACTTGTTTCCTCATTTATAAAAGCTGAGGGATCTGGGAAGATGCCATTTGAGAATCCCTTTCCAATCCAGCTCTAACTTTCAAAAGGAAACTGTCTTGATCCAATAATTTGTTATCATGCATATTCACGGTATTGATTTGTGAAAATAGTACTAATTTATGTTTTTTAGGTTGGTTTGAATTTTGTTAGAATATTTGGAAGATTTTGGGGACTGTTCAACTTAAAATATTTGTAAACTAATCAATATCATGCATAAAACAAGTTGATCACTGAACTTTGTGTATCATAATTTATCAAAGCACTTGACACGTTTCAGTTGCATTACAAACAAGTTAAAAATACTCTTTAATTATATTAAAAATATAAATTAATACAAGTTGCCTGAAGCATGCCTTCATATGATAACATTAGAACAATGATATATTTTTTAAGCATTGCCCCGATTTATGATTTGAATTTATTCACTCTGAAGATTATCAATAAAAGGTCTAAAACAATTCTGCATCAAAATTCAATGAGATTTAAATAAAATAAATTTAATTCATAGTTAAAACCATTGCTGTGTTTATGAATACTGCTCAGGAAAAGGGCCATGGTAAAATAATGTTGAAGTTTTCTAATGCTGCACGCAGAATATGTTTTTACTGGATTAACTGCCAGAATTTCTGCAGTTTTAAGGGATTGCACCTTACTGGAGTACTAACAAATTCCAAATTATTTTTAATTGATGTAGAGCTGCAGAAGATTTGGCAAGGTGAGTTTAATACTCTGGAAAAAATGGCCAATAAAGTACTTTAAGAAGAAAATGAGCATAGCCTGATAATGAAGGTGGTATTATGAGGTTGAGCTGGCTTCTGGAGAAAAAAAAAAAATGATTGGTTATATAAGTTACTTTATAAACAGTGCTCAACAAACAGTGCTCAATGTTTCTGTCTTAGTTACACTCACTGCCTTTGGACTCAGTAGCTAAAAGCTTTGGGAGCAATAACATTGGATGAGTCCAAATTTTAATCAGCACTCTCCAAAATAACTTCAGTGACTACAACTCACCAGACATTGAATACAAGCAGTTTTCCAAAGCCAGTGATAATGTTATCAAACAATCATTTGTTGCTTTTATGTATATACAGACTCATAGAATCTTATAATAATTGAACTGATCATTGTTAACAGGCAACATGAGCAGTGATTTGGGGTTCTTCATTTGTTATATCTCTGGGTACAAATTTACTGTCTGGTCTAACAGGCTGGTTAATGAATGCTGAAAGACAATTACAGCAGATAAAAATAGTACCCATGTAATCTTTGGCAGGTATTTTTCCCTCAGTCATTTGTACCAAAATACTTGAAATGAAGTTGGTAGCGAGTCGTTTCTTGCATGCAAGCTGTGGATCACAAGGTGGCGGAAAACTTGGTTCACAGAATCTTCTCATTTGTCACCTTTAGCCTGAAGCAGGTTCTTCTCGGTTTTTGCCCTATAGTCCCTGCCTGGATCTAGAGACTGGTCCACCTCTGTTTTGAGATTTTGTAGACCCGTGTAACTGAGAACCTGTCAAAAATGATGCCATAGCGTGACATTAGAACATACTCTATAAACTTGGCAATCTCAAGCTCTTACATAAGGGTCTTTCCTGCTCCAATGACCATTTAAACTTTAAAGTTGGGGAATGGAGGGAAAGGACAGTAGGTGGGGTGTCTGCCTTGTACACGGCCAGCCTGGGTTTGAGTCCTAACACCCCATACAGGAGCCCTTCCAGGAGTGATTCCTGAGCACCACTGGTTGTGGCCCAAAACAAAACAGTAATAAGTAGTAGTTTCCAAGGCCATTAAAAAACATGTTCATACATTTTATCATGTCAAAACTGGTTACCAAAGTAACCTCCTTTTAAAGAGTCCACTAATAGAACTACAATGTCTGTTTCTCTTACCTGAATGTTATAGTAGCTATAGCTGATGACTATTTGAGGGTAGAATTTTCATGTACTTGCTGATTAACATATTAACCTAGCATTTCTAAACTTCACCTTCAACATGATGAGAATGATCTCACTAGTGAAAAGACCATTAGAGGAAAAATCTAAGATCTACTTCTATTTATTTCAAGGCACAGGCCTACAATAGTGACATTGCAGATTGTTTTTTAGGAGTGATGAAATAAACAGAAGTAGATATTAGAACTCTGGGGTGCCGGGATTGAGCCCAGGTCAGCTGTGTGCAAGGCAGACACCACAGAGAAGCGGAGCCCTACCTGGCCCTGCAGATCCCCGGGCAGCGCGGGCCTGGTGAGGGTACTCAATGGCACACGAGCGATGATACTGGGTGTCTGGCTGGAAAAGTTAAAAAAAAAAAAAAAAGTTATTTCTTAAAATGCAACTTTCCCCAAAGGACATTGAATTAGCAGGCTCACAAGGGAAAACCTTATTCGGACATCATTAAATGGCATCACCCACCAATCCTGAGGGGGAAATGGGCTGAGCACATTCTGTGGAGTTCCAAGTGAAGAATCTCTAGCCAGAGGCACACAGAACCATTTTATTTGTAAGAAATTGTTCTACAACCTTGTCAATAGTATTTGAGAACTGGAGAAAAAAGATGGGTGTTACAAGGCTAGTGACCCTGGTTTGATCCTCAGCGTCAAACGGCACAGCCAAGAGTAATCTCCGAGCATTGCCAGGTGTGCCCTACCCCAACCCCCCAAAAAGGGAAAACTGATATAAGCCAGGTTTCCCCCTTCCACACCTGGCAGTGCTCAGGGGTTACTCCTGACTCTGCTCAGGAATCACAGTTGGTTGGCTGGGGGGAACATACCCACCTGGCTGGCAAAAGCCCTAACAGCTTTATTAAGGCTCTGGCCTCCAGAGCAACCGTATTTAAATGCAAAATGAATCTCTTGTTCTCGTCCTAACAGTGGGGTCAGGAGACTTAAGGAACTGTTTCCTGGGCAGCCCCGTATTCTTGATCTGGACTCTGCAAACATTTCTGGTAGGGGATCAGCTGGGTTTTGTGGCCCATGTCCTTCCAGCCCTTCATCTCTGCCATGTGGAAAGCGGTGGCAGCACTGGGAGGGGAGCCCCGGCGGGCAAGGCTCTCCACACACAGGCAGCCCCTGACAGACAAAGGGCAGGAGACCGAGGAGAGATCCCCCCTGGCCCCCCAGGCCCCAGACTCCGGGTTGGTGCTCCTCATTACTGGTGCTGCCAGCTCGTCTTTGTTACTTATTTATGGTGTGCGCCACACCTGGCTTGGCACTTGGGGGAAACGGTGCCGGATCAAGCCCAGCCCTTTTGCATGCAAAGCATGTGCTCAGGCCTTTGAGCCCTCTCTCTCTGGCCCTCATCTTCATTTTTATAAGGCCAATTGCAAGAGAAATGGCTAAGGTAAGAAACCTCTACTTTCTAACTGTTATAAACACCTGAAAAGGAAACACTGAAATCTTTTATTGCTAAGGTACCAAAAATAAAAGGCTTGATAGACTAGAGTTACAGATTGAATCCAGCCAGACCGGTTCTGGATCAGATGAGGTGGATCCTAAATCCAGTAACTGGTATGGAGAGCTGAATAGGGACACAGACAGAGGAGCCGCCATGCGAAGAGGCTCTTGGCAGCCACAGGAAGCGAGGCAAGAGCCAGCAGAAGGGCTTGGCTAAGCTGATCTGGATTTGCAGGCGCTTGCACTGATACTGTTTCTTTTTTGTTTTGGGGGGCTACACCTGGATGTGTGCTCAGGACTTATTCCTGGCTCTGCACTCGGGGATCTTTCCTGGTGATGTTTAGGGGACCATATGGGGTGCCAGGGATAGAACTGGGGGTCTGCAGCATGCAAAGCAAACACCCTACCTGTTGTACTACCTCTCCAGTCCCACATTTCTGTTATTTTAAAGATTCCTGGTAGACTGTTATGGCAAAGCTAAGAAATTTAATAAGATCTCCCATTGTGGTTCTCGACACTGTTCTAGTGCTTCAAGGTTGTGAGTCCTGATAAGTGGGCTGCAATGCCACCACCCTAAAAAGTGGAGGGTGAGGGCCCCTGGTACCTGAGCACTAAGTGTGGCCCCACTCACTTCCCTGGGCTGGCCAAGTGCTCCTGTCACAAAGTAGGCGAGGTAGCGCTAAGGGTCAACGCCCAACTCTGTCTGACTGAAGTTTTTTTTGTTAAGTCCTGGGCCATTTGTACGCATCCAGTGCTTTGCTATGTCAGCACTTCAAACTTCAGCTAAAGCACACTGGAATCGATCTCTAGTTGACCGACTACATTTTTGGTCTAACTCCTTAAGAGCAGAATTTAGAAAATGAGATTATGCTATCTGTTATGCACTGGTGTTTGACTCTCTTCCCCTCTCTGCTTGTTCTCAGAAAAATGTACATTGTTAAGAATTTTTAATTTATGCACAGGCATTTTATCCACGATTTAAAAGAATGAGTAGTAGGGGACCAGGCAGAATTTCAACAGAATGGTCACAGTCAAGGTCCTCCCGTTGTTCATCGATTTGCTCGAGTGGGCCCAGTAATGTCCCCATCGTGAGACTTGTTGTTACTGTGTTTGGCATATCAAATACGTCATGGGTAGCTTGCCAGGCTTTGCCGTGCGGGCGAAATACTCTCGGTAGCTTGCTGGGCTCTCCGAGAGGGGCAGAGGAATTGAACCCGGCTCGGCCGGGCTGGCTGCGCGCAAGGCAAACGCCCTACTGCTGTGCTATCGCTCCAGCCCTTCAACAGAACATAGTTATAAAATGTTCTATAAGCAGAATCTCAAAATTGATCTTTTGTTAGGAGAGAGAGAACACAGGGGATTGCCCTGCCACAGAGGCAGGGGGGGATGAGGGGATGGGGGTGGGGGGGATATTATCCATGGTGGTGGAAAATGGGCACTGGTGGAGGGATGGGTATCTGATCATTGTATAATCGAAACCCAAGCACAAAAAATTGTAAATCTACAACTGTACTTCATGGTGTTTCACTAATAAAAAAAAATATGTATCACAGAACTGAAAAAAAAATTGATCTTTTGTTAATTAAATCACTGTGTAAAGCACTAATTTTGCCAGACTAGTGTTTCAGGTTCCTCTGCTGTCTACCCCCAGCTACCAGGACTGTAAAGAAAGGATGTCACTCTACCAGAAATGACTGCGTTGTGTTGGGCCTGGAGAAAAAGTCAGGTAAAAGGAGCCTCTCCTGTGGCTGCTGGTGGTTCGGGTCATCCACCATGGCGCTTCGAGCTCGGCCCGAGTCACTGTGGGTTTTCTGTGGAGAGACAAATCACAGCACAGTTAAAAGGGTCGGTAACTGCTGGCCAGGCAGCTCCACTTCCACTGTCATAGATCAGAATTCAGGTGCTCTTCAGAGCAGGAGGAAAGGATGGCTTTTCTTGAGGCTAAATCAAGGCCAGAGCACACATTCTGTCCCTGCAGTTGTTTACAAACGCACGAGGAAGGGCAGTGTGAAAAGGCCGTACCTTGGAGTTTTGTGATCCCATCGTGCTCAAGTGTTCCACATCAGCTGTGCCAATAGGGGGCAGCAGGTTATTTCGACTCAGGGGCATCATTGAGGAGTAGGAGAGGGAATCTGCGGTCACTGGACTGCTGGTCCCACCGCCGAACACCAGGACAAAAGAGCAGAGGATTGCAGCAACAGAAGCAAACAATTAAAATCCAAGAAATGCACCCCGTGAATTGAATGTGCAACAGAAAACCTTAACGTGCCTATGTTTTTAAGTGATCTCAACGAAAGGATCTTCGAAAAGTAGTATTTGGGCAGAGGGGGTGGTTATGCTTACGTTCTGAGTTTTGTTGAAATGTTTTATTCTGGCAGAAGGCAGAAGCTGGCCCTTTCAGAGAGAACTAGAACCAAACACTTCCCACGTGGCACTGTACTTCTCTGCTAATTATGTATTTGTAATTTCACATCTGATTTTCCCATGGTTCTGTGACTTGTTCTACTAATGAGCACAATACTTCCTGGGTAAGTTTTCATTTCCTTCCATGAAATTTGGAGCAGTCTGTAGTATTACTCATATCTAAAACAGTAATCTAGACTAAATGATACTTTTAAGAACTCCCAGAAGAAACAACACTTTTCCCTCTTTGAAAAACGGAATAAGAGATCAATAAACATCAAGACCTCTCATCCCCAAATGAATAAATCTGTAGTGTAGATCTAGATATAGTAACAAATAAAAAGTGAGCAAATCTCAGTATTCTGACAAGAATTTCTGGTAGGTTTTGACATCTCTCTCAGTGATTCTCTGGAGATTTACAAACAAGGATTTGGAAAAAACTACCATATAGGGAGAGAGAAATACATTGAGCCTAGGAAGCTGCGACTCCCTCTTGTGCTCTTGATAAGAAATCACCAGCCTAAAAAGTTTCATAAATCAACAACTTAAAGAACTGTTCTATTAAAAAAAAATTGGCTTTGAAGCCAGAGTGATAGTACAGTGGGCAGAGTGTTTGCCTTGCACATGCAGACCAAGGTTCAATCCCCGGTACCACGTATGGTCCTCTGAGCACCGCCAGGAGTAATTCTGTAAGAGCCAGGAATAACAACCCCCTACATTGCTAGGTGTGACCCAAAAAGAAAAAAAATCCCTTTTCTGGGCTTAAGAGATACTACAGGGGGCTGGAGCAATAGTAAGGTGTTTGCCTTGCACGTGGCCAACCGGGTTCGATTCTCAGCATCCCATATGGTCCCCTGTGCACCGCCAGGGGTAATTCTTGAGTGCAGAGCCAGGAGTAACTGCTGTGCATCACCAGGTGTGATCCAAAAAGAAAAAAAAAAAGATGCTACAGCCTGGCATGTGCCCAACCTGGGTTCAATCCCCGAACCCCATATGTTCCCCCGAGTCCCACCTGGGGTGATCCCTGAGTTCAGAGTCAGGAGTCAGCTGTGAGCACAGCTGGGTATCACCTCCAAACCTCAACAGAACTCTTTATTTTTTTCTTGGACTGGATCTAAACCAATGCACACCTGTTTTCTGGGCAGCTTCCAATCTTGTTTTAAATTCATCCCCCTAAAAAAAAAATTTAGTTTTGCCACAGTTTCCACAGAAAGTTGCTTTGGAAACTTACACTCGGGATCTCCTGAGGATTTCCTCCAGGGGTTTTGGGGTCCCTGCGCGAGAGTGGCTTGTGCTGATGGGATGGAGGGTGCGTGGTGGGGGGTTGCGTCTCCGGGCAGACTGCGCTGTGTACGACAGAGATGAGGTGCTGAACTCCAGGGCGCGGCTGGGCCAGTTTCGAGTTGAAAGGATGGTACTAGACCCAGGCCTCAGTAGCTTGTCATCGAGATCTCTAGTGGCCAGATCAGAAATGCACAATGAAATCACACTGCTCCACACGGGAGTCAGGACACAGGCTTTAGACACTATGACGCAGACTCAAGGGAGGGGAAACAGCAGAAGCATGAAATGTGCGATAAGGTACTTGGTTTCTAGAAGCTCTATAACCCAGCTCAGGCAGAAGACACGCTTCAGTCAATAACATCTGGGAAAGCAATTCCATGGCGGACTCATCACCACTGTTCACTACTTCCCTTACTACTTCAGGCTAAACTGCAGAGAAACTATTCCAAGCTGCTTCTCAGAGACGAGAGTCCTATGACAGCCAGCATTCCCATGCACGCGCTGCAGGATGCCCAGGAGAAGGGCAAAGGCTGCTGCCTGGAGCAGAGTGGTTGCTCTGCTCCAGCTGCACACGCCGAGGTACTGAAGGAGCTGGAGCGCTTTTGCTTCAGAGCCTAGTGCTGGGCGGGGCGGCAGGACTCCAGCAGCTTGCTGTTTGCGTTTTTTAAGCAAAGACAAAGACATTTGCGTACCAAGAGTCACTTAAAAGATTGAAACCCAAGCACAAAAATTTGTAAGTCTAAAACTGTACCTCATGGTGTCTCACTAATAAAAATTGAAAAAAAACATTTTTTAAAAAGAGGAAAAAAATATAGCATTTGCACAAGGAAATGGAAAGAATGAGAAGAGGCGAAAGTTCTGCCGCATGCTGCACATGCTGTTTTGCTGTTTTGGTGCTGTGTGTGTGTGTGTGTGTGTGTGTGTGTGTGTGTGTGTGTGTGTATTTTAATTTGTCACTAGCATTTCTAAGACCAGACCTAGATACGTAAAGAACTAGATCTGGGAACATTAGCATGGTCTTAGAGTGAATGTTTAGCCCGCCCTGATTACTCCAAAATCAGAACAGTGAGAATAAGCAAGTTTCTCAACCTTTAAGGCCACTCTGGTCAAAGTGGCACAAAATATGCTCCTATGCTCGGAAGGAAAAACGGCTGGTAAGGGACAGAGTCACCCCTTCACAGATCTTTCTGGCTTTTTGCCTTCTCTAAACTCCATTTAGACACCCTAACCGCTTGTGAATTACAGATTTTGGATTTAGCTCTTCTACGCTGGTCTTTAAATTTCCTTCCAACTGCCCATTCATGATTCTGTATTCAGTGATCATCTCCACCAGGGGCTTCCAAATCAGCTGCCATGTCTGATCTCTTTCCTGTTTCCAGTGAAATGGCTCCTCTGCCAACTCAACTCAACATACCCTAAGCCAAAGTCATTCCCCAGGGCCTCCCATGAGCTTGAGTTCTATTGAACTTGACTTGTTTTATAACATCTCCCAGAATATGTCATTCCTTTCCTATCCTTTGATAGAATGAGTATAGATACCTTGCAGATTCCTTCCATCCAATATCTATATCTATATTGGATTGAATATATATATAAATATAAATATATAAAAAATATATATATATATATGTTCTACTGCTGTGAAATCTTCCAGATTCCTGATTTAAATAGATGGGGCTTTCCAATTGAAGCCATTATATTGTGGGTGAAAGTGTTACATGATACAACTACTTTGGAAAATCAGCACTTTCTTTTAAAATTAAACATACACTTACCTATGCCATGACACTTTCACTTATAGGTACTGACCCAAGAAAAGCATAGATTTACAAGAAAAGACCTGTGCAAGAATATAGGACCTCTGCAAAATAGTTCCAATCTGGAAATAAATTATTCACAAACAGAAGGATGAAGAAGCATTTTGTGGCGTATTCTTACCACAGAATACTTGACTATCAAAGTGTCGTCACATGAACAACAGTTATCACAGCCTGGTCTGTTTTACCTCTAGAAAGCTGTCCATGATCTCTGATCTGAAGCATTATAATTCTTACCTATCTCTTCCTATCCTACAATAGCAAAGAATAATAATAATAATTTTAAAACCTTTCTTTACTAGGGGCAAGAGTGACAATACAGTGGAATACAGTGGGTAGGGTGCTAACTTTGCACCTGCTTACCCGGGATCTATCCTTGGCATCCCATATGGTCCCCCGAGCCCTGCCAAGAGTGACTCATGAGTGCACAGCCATGAGTTACTTTACCCCTGAGCATTGCTGGGTGTGGCCCCAAAATGAAACAAACTCTTTTCTATTTTTTTTGTATTTTCCTGTCTCCAAACCTTTCCCCATGCCATTCCTTCTACCCAGAATGCCCCCTGATGCTCTTCTCTGCTTCTCCTAACTGTCTTCAAAGACAAGTTCAGAGGGCTAGAGCGAAAGTACAGCAGAGGGGGCATTTGCCTTGCAAGCAGCCAACTAGGGTTCTATCCCTGGCATTCTATATGGTTCCCCAAGCATTGCCAGGAGTAATTCCTAAGTGCAGAGCCAGGAGTAAGCCCTGAGCATCGTCCGGCGTGACCCAAAAAGCCAAAAAAATAACCAAATTCAGAACCTGTATTTACCCACCAACATGCCTTCCCTTGGGGCAGACTGTCGTAACATTCCCTTGGCACTAAACTTGGCACTCAGTTACCAAAAAATGCGGTTAGGTGTCTTTTTACTCGCGCGTGTCTTCTCTATGCAGTGTGTGCCATCTCCCTCGGGGGCACATTCCTCCCCTCACGTCCTTCTGCCCAGGATCTCTGTGGCGGCTTGGTGGGGACTCAGTGCGTGCACACTGACCGGCTCTCCGCACTTCCTTTTATGTCTTAGTCTCTTACTTAGACTCTATGAAAATGTTGTACTTACAGGAGCTTGTCCATTAGGGAGAGATTTCTTGGCTGCAGAGGCATCCCATGAACCAAGAGACCGTTCACATTTGGCTGGTGACCACTTCCAGCTTGACAGAGACTCATCTACATGTCAGAAAAAGATGTTCTTCATTATTGGTTCTCAACTTTGCCGAAGAAGTTAATATTTTCAAATTAGGTCCTTTTTATGTTTTCTCCCATGACCCCCTCTCCAATGACAGGACAGGGGCCAGAGAGATGGGCCAGGTGATAAGCGCTTGCCTTGCATGCTGCTGACTCCAGTCTCCTCCCTGGAACCCCGTGGTCCCCTGAGCACCCCCCAGGAGCAATTCCCTGAGCTCAGAGCTGGGAGTAGCTCCTTAGCCACAGTAGGTGTCCCCCACCTAAATAATTGTTTAAAACATGACAGGACAGCATTGTTTCCTCTCCATTCCTAAACGACAAATAACAGGCGGGGAAATAATCAGCCTGGGTAGGCAGACAGGACGTTTATCACCATTACCACGTGTTTACATTAGAAATGAAAATCTAAAAAGGGGGCTAGAATGGTAATACGGTGGGCAGGGCGCTTGCCTTGCATGCACCCAACCCGGGTTTGATCCCCAGCACTTCACTCAAGAAATTTGGATTAATGCTGCTTCTTCAGTCATTAACAACCAGAACCATCTAAGCTGACTATTCAGGACACAGGTTACCTGAATTATAGCTAGGCCAGTCCAAAATGAGTAATACTGGGGCTGGAGTGATAGTACAGTGGGTAGGGCATTTGCCTTGCATGAGGCTGACCTGGGTCCGGTTCCCGGCATCCCGTATGGTCCCCAGAATACTGCCACAGGTCCCCCAATTCCTGAGTGCAGAGTCAGGTGTAACCCCTAAGCATCACTGGGTGTGACCCAAAAAGCAAAAAACAAACAAACAAAAACCAAAATGAGTAGTACTTCAGTACCACCCACAGATTAAAGGTAAAGGTAAAGGCCCTCCCGTTGATCGTCGATTTGCTCGAGTGGGCCCAGTAACGTCTCCATTGGAGACTTTGTTGTTACTGTGTCTGGCATATCGAATACTCTCGGTAGCTTGCCGGGCTCTCCGAGAGGGGCGGAGGAATCGAACCTGGGTTGGCCATGTTGGCCGCTTGTAACCACCCACAGATTAGGTGGAATTATTCGATGTGTAGTAGTTTTTGTGCGGTTTGGTTTTTGGGTTCTGGCCCACACCTTACAGGTTCAGGCAGTGCTTAAGGGCCTACATGTGCTGCAAATGCCCTAACCCCTCTATTGTTTCTCAAGCTCTGATATGTAGCAGCTTCACAGTTTTTACGTTTAATATAGTGAGCTTTGTGTTTATTTTGCTGCTGGGGTTTGAACCCAGGACTTCATCCACATGAAGCATTTGCTCCACCACCAAGCACATTCCCAGCCTTGTAAAGGAATCCAGTTCACCTGGTTCATCCTCCAGTGGACAAGGAATGGTCACTGTGTATTTTATTTTCAAATAACTCCTTTCCAAATTAGTATCATTTTCTTTTTCAACAGACTCCCAGCCAGGTCATTTTGCTATGAGTAACAGGAGCAAAGTGTCATGTAGGAGCTGGCACTACACTCAGTACACAGGGATGCAACCAGGCCTGGCGCTTCCTAGGAAGTGGCCTTCGTTAGGCTGGCCCACAGACTTCACTGAGAGGGATCGCTCCTTTCTGCAGTTTGCTGCAGTTTATACCTGGTTAAGTACTGAACATCAAAAAGGCAAATAAGGGGCTAGAGATAATATACCAGGTAGTGCGCTTGTCTTGCATGCGACCAAGCCAGGTTTAATCCTCAGCACCCCGTATGGTCCCCTGAGTCCCGTCAGGAGTGATCCATGAGTGCAGAGCCAGAATAAGCCCTGAGCATTGCCCAAAACCTAAGTAAGTCAACAGGTGCAAATACTGAAAAGAAGTTGGGGGCCGGGAAACTGGCTCAAAGGACTTTGCATGCAGGAGTCAGGACCAGCTTCTGCCTCTGGCACTGCCTGCTACTCCAAGCACTGTACCAGGAGGAGCCTCTGGGCACCTTGGCTTGTGGCCCGAAAAAACAAAAACTGGATAGACTGAAATAAGAGGAAAAGGAGGGAAACTTTATTTTAAAAATTCAATGGTAATGATAAAACTACAGAAACTCTGAGGTGAGAGCTTCTTTTCATCCAATCCTTTATTCCCTCCATCATACTCTTCTCCCAAACAGGTTTACCACATAGTTGATTCTAGACTGCACAGCTTACGGATAACTTATCAGAACTTTGCAATTAATTTTTTAAAGTCACACTAAAAGTTTAACTGCATTGGACTATCATGATAAACACAATTAAAAGACAGTCATAAAAATGAACAAAGGGAAAAAAGAAAAATGAAAGTCATTTTGTAGATGACAAAACATTATATATTTCCATAATATAAAATACAATATAGTCATAAATGGTATACACTATATCCAGCAGTTGTACATTCACCATGAAAACCCACCATGACTTTCTGCATTAAATTTGAGACGTGTAATTCTGAGCAAACTTCCTCCAAGCAGTAACGTTCTCATGCTCCAGGTCCTTGCTCAAGGTGACTTACCAGGTTGGAGGTAATGGACAGCACCTTGGACTGTGGGACTCGAGGTAAGATCAAAGGTGGTGGCTCATTCAGCTCACTGGGGCTCTCTGAACCTGGTCTGGTGACTGTGGCATTACTCTCATCATCTGAGCAAAGGAACAGAATCTATTACCCATGGACACCTTCAGACCCAGAGCAACAGTACTAGGGAAAACAATCTGTGAAGACGTACAATCTTAAATAGGCTTCACCTCACTTTTCATCCTAATTTCGTATTTCCTAAGTGGTTAAAAACAACAACAATAACAACAAATAACTCTCAAACCAAGAATTTAGTTTAAAACCATTTCCCAGGCCAGGGAGATGACAGAGGCCTGGAGCCCATGGGCACCCTGGAGGTCCACATTCAGGCAGGTTCAGTACCTGGCATCATATGGCCCCTTAAGCACTGGGATGGCCCCCAAATGTACAAAAATAAAGTGGTTCTTCTAGGCTGTTTATTCCTGTTGGTACCAGATGGAATGAAAAGAACTCTAAAACAAGCTGTCCTATAGAACGTTTGGAGTTGATAGGAATATTCTACAATTGTGCTGCAGAATATAGTGTTTGTTATGTGTTACTTAGTGTACTTCAATATGACGAGAATATGACTGAGAAACAGACTGAATAATTTTTAGAGCAACATGTGACTAGTAATTATCAATGTATCTCTAAGAGGACTGTCAGATCACGAAGCCTCAAGGAGTTCCCACACATGAAATGAGATTAATACCCACTGCTAAAACTCACATCATCAACAAGAAAAGGAGACACCTTGAGAAAGTGTGCAGAAACAACAGAGTCAGACCAGCAAAGACTTCAGAAATTAGAATTACCAGGTGCAGTAATTAAAACAAAAGAAGCCATTAAAAATCTGAGTACAGGGGGCCGAAGTGACAGCACAGTGGGTAGGGCGTTTGCCTTGCACGCGGCCGACCTAGGTTCAATCCTCGGCATCCCATATGGTCCCCCAAGCACCACCAGGAGTAATTCCTGTGTGCAGAGCCAGGAATAACCCCTGAGCATCGCTGGGTGTGACCCAAAAAGCAAAAAAAAAAAAAAAAACCTGAATACAGAGGCTGGAGCCATCGGACAGCGGGGAGGGTGCTTGTCATGCATGTCGCCCACCCAGGTATGATCCCTGATATCCCATATGGTCCCCAGAGCGCCTCCAGGAGTGATCCCTGAGTGCAGAGCCAGGAGTGAGCCCTGAGAACCACTGGGTATAACCTCAAAACAAATAAAAATTTTTAAAATGATGATAATAATTTAAAATAAATGGTCACGGTCATGGTCCTCCCATTGTTCATCGATTTGCTTGAGCAGGCCCAGTAACGTCTCCATCATGAGACTTGTTGTTACTGTGTTTGGCATATCGAATACATCACGGGAAGCTTGCCAGGCTCTGCCGTGCAGGCGAGATACTCTCGGTAGCTTGCCGGGCTCTCCGAGAGGGGCGGAGGAATCGAACTCGGGTTGGCCATGTTGGCCGCTTGTAAGGCAAGCGCCCTACTGTTGTGCTATCGCTCCATTGCTTCAACATTTCAATGTTAAAACTAGTCTGGTTAAAAGTTTAAAACAGGGGATATGGTGCCGCCAGCAGGTCAACCTGAACCTGCGGGGCGAGTACATCAGCAGCTTGATGGTTCCTTCAGGCTTCCCGATACCCCAAAATTGCCACTGTGCCTTTGGCTGGACCCAGCAACTTGGGGGTGAATTTACCAAGAAATTAAATGGTCAAAAGTTAGGTATATGGGAGCCATGCCCACAAACCACCTCCCACTCAGCTATACAAGCTCATTTATTGGCCTTATTTCAGAGACCCACAAATCTTGAAAGAGATCAAAAGCTGTGGTTAATTTTGGACCCATGCATGGCTGAACAGACAGGAGTAAATCGGAGAGAGGTGGGTTGGCCAGGGGCCTGCCCAAGCAGAGCACCTGGTAGCTGTTTGATTCCACAATCCAAAAACACTGCCAAACCCTCTCAGGACAGACCTCACCAAGGTATCATCTGTTAAAAATTTGGGTATGTGGGTCTTGTGACTGAAATCCAGGCTTTCTCAGGGTCAGGATGGGCTACCTCCCCCCATCTCCCTGTACTTCCAGAAGCCTCGGGAGTCACATTCATACCTCAAAGCAGCCACCCAATGAAAAGCTACTTCAGCCTAACCCTCCTGATAAAAATACCAAATGCCCTGAACAAACACCATGGCCTCTTAGCACCTGTATCACAAATCATCATTCACAAAAGGAAAAGGAAAGAAAGAGCAATAAAGAAAGAGGGGGGATAGGGTGTTGGAGGATGGTGGTAGGGAGACAGGGGACATTGGTGGTGGGAAATGTACACTGGTGGAGGGATGGGTGCTGGATCATTGTATGACTGAAAAGCAACTAGCAAGACAGTTGACTGCTAGAATCGGAGGATGACAAGCTACTTGGGCCCTGTAGTTCTGGGACCGAGGGGTGACCCTAGTAGTTCTTGGGGGCCTCCAGGCTCCACCTGGAAGTGTTGACAGGGGAAAATGTTTTCTGAATTTGATTTTTTGTTTTTGGTCCACATCCAGTGGTGCTAAGGGGCTGGCTACTCTTGGCCCTGTGCTTGGGGGTGTCTAAGCAGTGTTCAGGGGCCATGTGGTGTGAGGGGTCAAACCGGGACCTCTCACATGCAAAGCATACACTCAGACCGTTAAGCTGTTTCTTTGGTCCTTAATTTGGTTTTTTGACTGTTCATTGCTGGAAGCTGAAAGAATGCTGAGAAGCATGATTGAGAAGGCATAAAAAGCCTTGAACAGAGAGGTCAGAGGGAGCATGTTTCTAACAAAAATGATCTTCATGTTTGTTATTTAATGCAGAAAGCTTAGGCTCAACAATGTTTTTTCAATATTAATAAAATCTCTCTTTTTAGGGAGGGTGGCTTGGAGGGCATGGTTTGGGGCACATCCAGTTATGCTCAGGGCTTACTCATGACTCTGTGCTCAGGGATCACTCCTGACAGTGCTTAGGGGACCATATGGAGTGCCGTGGAAAATACAAACACGGAGTGTCTACTTTTGCGCCAAAGAAACATGTCATAGAGTAGGTTAGTTAGGGATTGAGAGTAATACTAAGTTTCCAACACAGATTCTTACCGGAAGCAAACCCTTCCCAGTGACTCCGCGTCAACTGCTCCATGCAGCCCAGGGCCTTTCTCCACACATCATCAAACACGTAAGCAAGGACATCCTCCTTCATGCAGTAAAGTGGGGAAATAGGAGGGTACCCTAATCTCTGTTTCTCTGTAGCTGCTCTTGGTTTCCTTCCACGAAACTCTTCTTCCCTGTGACAGATGCAAGAAGGAAAGATTTCATGCCAACTTTTTTTTTTTTTTAGTTTTGGGGCCACACCTGGCTGTGCTCAGGGCTTACATCTGGGTCTCCACTTAGAGATCACTCAGGTCAGTGCTAAGGGGGACCGTGTGGGATGATGCAGATCAAACACAGTTGGCTACATGCCAGACAAGTGCCCTCCCCGCTGTACTACTGCACTTCAGGGTTACCCTTTATTGTTTGCCATGACTTCTTAGGAGTCTGATTTGTGCAGATATTTTTGACAGTTTATCACTGTTTTTATTAACTTTATATGCATTATATGTATTATATTATACTTTATATGAATTATTTATATGTAGAAATTTGTATTAAATTTAAATTTAAAAAATATTTAATTCTAAACATACTGTTTTATTTGCAACATCTCAAATTTTTTTTGGAGGTTGAGGGGTTTGGTTCATATCTGGTGGTGCTCAGTACTTACTCCTGGCTTTGTTCTCAGGAATCACTCCTAGTGGGGATTGGGGGAACTAGAGATTGAACCAGGGTTGGCTGCATGCAAGTTAGGCACATGCAAGATAGTACCCTTGTACTATCTCTCTGGTCCATCAATTTTTTTATACATGTGAATTTGCCTTTATGTAATAAGTCAGGAATCTTATTTTTTCTCTACACTGTCTACACTGTCCTCCCCTTGTTCATCGATTTTGCTCGAGTGGGCCCAGTAACGTCTCCATTGTGAGACTTCTTGTTACTGTGTTTGGCATATCGAATACTCTCGGTAGCTTGCCGGGCTCTCCGAGGGGGGCGGAGGAATCAAACCCGGCTCTGCCGGGCTGGCTGCGTGCAAGGCAAACGCCCTACTGCTGTGCTATCACAAGAAGATTTTTTTTTCATTTTCACCAAATTTGCTGAAATTATTATATTCTCATTCTCTCTCCTCTTTCTGTCCTCTGTTTCTCTCTCTCTCTCTCTGTCTCTCTCTCTGTCTCTGTCTCTGTCTCTCTCTCTCTCTCTCTCTCGTGTATTGGGGTCACACCCACTATGCTCAGGAACGTATTCCTGGTTCTGCTCAGGGATCACTTCTACTAGGCTTGGGGAATCACTGGTTGCTGAGTATCAAACCTGGATCAGTCACATACAAGGCAAGTGCCCTATCCACTGTACTATCTCTCCAATCCTATACTTGTTAATTTTCAATGTGTGTTTGGTTATTTCTGGACCTCTTACCTTTTCAGTTAGGATTAATGGTCATTTTATGATTACTATCTCACTGGTATCTTTAAGAAAAGGTCACCTTTCTAAGAATCTTCCCTTGCATGACCTAAAAATTCACCTGAGATTATTATCAGGAAAAGAGGAAGAGATCCCCTGGTGATGACTAGGAGTCGTTTATGTCACATTTGACATTAATTATGTCCACACTATTTTTATAAGTTAACACCAAAAGAAGCAATTTGGCATAGAGCAGGAGAGGTCAAGGGGCGAGGGGGAAATCTCTAGAAAATCCAAAGACACTACTCTGCTGTATGTCCTGCGAGGAGTGCATCACATGCTACAGAGCAATGTGGCCTGACTTCCGGGGGCATGAGTCATCCATAAAGCACTCGCCTGCGAGTATGAGATGCTCTGTCCAGTGTCTGTACCACCACGAAACATGAAACACAATGACTTGGTTATGTGTGGCTGGTTCGAGGATTATGTGCACTGACATGTCTGAGAAACTTGGAAATATGGGAAAACGAAAAATCCAGCATCATGTGAAACAATACAACTTGATCTAACTACACTCTCAAAGCCTAAAATGAGGAGCCAGAGAGACAGTATAGTGGGGAGAGTGTCTGCTTTGCAGACAGCAGACCCGGTTCAATTCCCCTGAGCCTGGAGTGATTCCTGAGAGCAAAGCCAAGAGTTTAGTCCTAACCACTGCTGGGTGTGGCACCCCACTCCCCAGAAGAATCCTAAAATGAAATGTGCTCATTTCTAGAAGAACTGCTGGTTGCTGTGACTATCAATTCTGATCACATAAAGGCTTATAGGAATGATTTAAGAGGTTAATGTTTCAAAGAGGTAGTGTGGAATTATGATGAATCAGCACTGGACTTGGCTTTTTTTTTTTTCTTTTTTGGCAGTGCATGGAAGGGCAACAGATTTTGAATCAAAGTTTTGGTTTTAGCTCTATTTCAGACAAATCATTTAACCACTCTGATTATTACCTGTCCTGTAAAGAAGGTAATAGTTTCTATGTCACAGGACTATTATCCATACATACATTAGACTAGATATAAAGACTAGATATAGATATATTAACTATAAAATCTGCATGAATTATATTTTTTTGTTTGTTGTTCTTTTGGGTTCATACCCGGAAATGCTCAGGGGTTACTCCTGGCTCTGCAATTAGGAATTATTCCTGGCGGTGCTTGGGGGACCATATGGGGTGCTAGGAATCAAACCTGGGTCGGCCGCATGCAACGCAAATGCCCTACCTGCTATACTATTGCTCCAATCCCATGAACTGTATTTTATATGTACTGTAAATGCTCTTTCAAACAGGATTTATGCAAACAAAAGGCACTCTTCAAATGCTTAAAAAAAGTTTCTGAGTTTCCATGCATTACTGCAAATAATTTACAGAGGTCAAATATTATGTGGAGGGGAGAGAGATATCACAGTGGGTAGGGCACTTACCTTACATGTCGCCAACCAGGTATTGAGGAGTATTGATCCCCAGTATCCCATATGGTCCCTGAGCACTGCCAGGAGTAATTCCTGAGTTGCAGAGCCAGAAGTGACCCGACCCCAGAGCATTAGCAGGTATGGCCCTCTCCAAAAACAATTTTTTAAAAATAATGTTGAGTTTCCCTCCCTGCCCCGAGCAGAGCCTCGGCAGCTGAAGACCTCTAGAACCAGACACAACCATGCTGAGACCACTCTCTACACGCATGAAGGAACTGGCAGAGGAATACAGGCATACGGGTCCTGGGGCCGAGATCTCCAAGCCTGCTTGGATCGGGGCTGAGCATCCTCCACCCAGATCCTCAATCTCCAGTAGGCAGGGGTCACACCCACCAACTGCCCCCGGCTCCAGGTAATCCCATCAACGGCCAAGACCCAGAGACTATAAAACCCAGCTCTCGGAAGCGTGTGGCCACATTTGAGACCACGTGACATCTTATTATCTTGTTCTTACTTTGGACAACCTGGCAGGCTACCGAATGTAACCTGCCCACATGGCAGAGTCTGGCAAACTCCCCGTGGCGTACCCAATATGCCAAGTACCAGTAACAATGATGGGTCTCATTCTCCTAACCCTGAAAGAGCCTTGAATATGGCACTTTTTAAAATCTCAGGGCTAGGACGAAGGAGACGTTACTGGTGCCTGCTCGAGGCAATTGATGAACAACAGGATGATCATGATCATAAATGTATTTCAATCAATTAATTAGGCTTTTTGTGTCACATCTGGTGAAGCTCAGGGGTTACTCCTGCTCTGCACTCAGGAATAACTCCTAGCAGTGCTCAGGGGACCATATCAGATGCCGGGTTGAACCAGGGTCAACCGCATACAAAGCAAATGCCCTACCCACTGTGCTCTGGCCCCCCAAAAAATTTATGTGAAGAAAAAAAATGTAATAAATTTATCTCAGGAAGGAGCAGATGGTACTTGTAGGAAGAAAATACATACTAAGTCTAATGTGGAAGTACTAGGACTTTTTATTAACTAACAATGTGAACTCTGAATACATGAACAGTAACAGAAAATGATAGAAACAAATAAAACTAATTATAGATTATATTGGTTTATTGGTTTATATTCCATAGAGAAATAGACATTAGGTATTGATACACTAACTAGGGGGCAAGTAATAAATGCAGAAGACATAACACTCACATGTCTGTGTGGTCGAAGGCCAGGTACTCCTCTATGATTCCTTCGGAGATGAGCACACGGTCTTCCTCTCTTTCCAGAGAAGACATGCTAGGGGATTTGGCAATAGAAGTCATTTTCTGAGCACAAGATGAAAAATGTAACTTCTTGCCCCTTATACCAAATCTGGAAGAGGGAAAAAAGGAAAAATTACCCAGACTTGATTTCTTATTTCCTTGAAGATAAAGTCTCCAATTGACCTACTATGAGCAGTTGTAAAATAATAAGGCATAGGTTTGGAACGACAGCACAGCGGGTAGGGTGTTTGCCTTGCACGCAGTCAACCCAGGTTGGATCCCCAGCATCTTATATGGTCCCCCAAGCACTGCCAGGAGTAATTCCTGAATGCAGAACCAGGAGTAACCCCTGAGCATCACTGGGTGTGGCACCAAAAGCAATAATAACAATAATAATAATAATAATAATAATAAGGTATATATAAAGTTTGTACCAACAGAACAGGTAAATGTATCTTCATGCTAGGACATGAGTTACATAATGAAGAATACATCATTTCTGTGGGAGATATTAGGTTATAAAAAAATGTAAAATTCATTCAAAAGGGTAAGCCGCAGGTGATTTACTGATACAATAAAAATACAATAAATGACATTTACTTTTTTTTTTTTTTTTGCTTTTTGAGTCACACCTGGTGATGCACAGGGGTTACTCCTGGCTCTGCACTCAGGAGTTACTCCTGGTGGTGCTCAGGGGACCAGATGGGTCGGTCCTGTGCAAGGTAAACACCCTACCCGCTGTGCTATCTCTCCAGCCCCCGACATTTACATTTAAAGAGAAAAAACTCAACTTACTGATTGAAAACTGGACGTTAAATCATTTTTAGAAAAGCAATCAAATTTCATTCTTTGACCAAATTTTAGTGAACCTGAGAAGCCATAACCCTAACTGGCCTGTAGTAACATATTACTACAAGCACATACACAAAATCAAAGTATTAGCATGTCTCTTTAGAAATATCAAGTAAGATGATGATCTCATTAAGTAAATGAATCACAAAAATGAATTAAAACTGTATTTTACAACAGATCTAAGTTTTAGTCCACTTTTAAAACTAATTTTCTGTGTGTACAGTACTGAGGATCGAACCCCAGCTTACCACAAGCAAGGCGAGTGCCTCTTGCTGAGCTGCATCCCTGGCTTTGAGAGAAAGTTTTGAAATTACGCTATTTGGGTTTACGTTGCTATTGTTTAAATAATTTGGGGTGTTCAAAAATAGCCCATTTAACTATTAGTTAGGAGTTTATTAAACTACACCTTTCCCTTCGGTTTTTGGGCCCTAGCCAGTGGTGCTCCAAGCCTACCAGTTCTGTGTCTGGGCCAGCACTCCCAGCAGTGCTGGGGCCACGTGGCACTGAGAATCAAAAGCAGGCCTCCTGCTGGGAAGGCACTCAGCCTGCAGAGCTCTCTCTTCGGCCCCTAATGACACAGTTTAAGCTAATAAACTAATGTCAGTTTAACTTCCACGAGAATAATGTTATTATTAGTATATTTTCAAATAATTTTTTTCAAAAGTATTTAGTCTATTTTTTAGACTGTATATGTTTTCTGAGTGGGAGGGGTCCTCCAAATGTTGTTCAGGAGAATTCAAATAATACAGTATCCATGAGCAATTCTTTAAACGTTGGTATGAAAAATATGATGTTCAGGAGACCTGGAAGATATGATGTTCCCTTCCAGCTCTTCTAAATCTAGAAGGCCAGAGGCTATTTTGCTGCAGGGCTTGTGGGCTAAAACTAACACTTTTTTTTTTCTTCAAGTATTTTTTATTCAATATTCTTTGATTGATGATCCCTTTAGGATTAAATTGATATGCTGCTGACTGGGTTTAAGTTCCTTTTTGGTCACATGATCCTCAATTTTCTCATTTATAAAATGACTTTAATCTCAAGGCACATGTCATGAGTTACCTTGAAATTCTGTTAACAAGCATTTGTAAAGCACTAGGAGTAGTATTTAACAAATATCACATGAAGTATTTGTTAAAATAAAATATATCGGGAATGTTCAGGACTAATACACTTTTCACGGGACCATGCGGTTCGAGGAATGGAATTGGGTCAGCCACATAAAAAGTATGTGCCTTTATCCCTGTACTATCTTTCTAGCACCTAAATTTATTTTTTTGGGGGGAGGTGGCACAACCAGCGATGCTCAGGGGTTACTCCTGGCTCTGCACTCAGAAATCGCTCCTGGCAGTGCTTGAAGGACCATATGGGATGCCAGGGATCAAATCCAGTTGGCGACATGGAAAGTAGGCACCTTACCTGCTGTACTATCGCTCTGGTGCTACCTATGTTTCTTTGAACCAGTCTGCGTACACTTTTATTCCAAGAAAGATGACTACATTTACATACATAAATATAAATATTGACAGATATTCAAACATAGATACATACATATATATATATAGAGAGAGAGAGATCTCAATAACAAAATATCCTTAAACCCTAAGTATTCTCTTTTTGAACAAAAAATGTAATAAATTCTAACATGTACAAAGATGCTATGTTTTGTTAATACAGAAAGAAGGTAGAATAATTTTTTAATTCCTTAGCATAAATGGAAGTCTTTATCTGTTCAGACACATAAATACTTATATAAGCTATACTGATGTACATAAATCAGAATAATACTTACATGGTAGAATCTCTTTCCTGGGACAATGTTATCTCCTGTGAAGTTGAAACAGCAGGAGACCTCGGATAAAGTCCATAACCTTGACTTGGGGTGAGAATCTGCTGACCCAGAATCCTTCAGAATTAACACACAGAGAAAATAATGGGTTTCCAGATGGAATACACACAAAATCTAGATCACCTGCTAGGAATTTGATGGTTCTCTATAGAAATTCTGTATAGAAAGGCTCTATATAGAAGGTTAAGCTTAATCTGATACTGATTTTAAATGATTTTTGGGGGGAGATAATACAAACCCAGTACTTATTGTGGGTATATTTCTCTTCCATATAATGGAGATGGAAAATATAAAGCTCTTGTTCCCCCCCGAACCACAAAAAATCCTAAGAAATGGAACAATTTATTGTGCCTCCATCTACTATTAAATCTGCCAAAATATGGTAAAATGTAAAATTAGTTAAAACTACAAAATATCCTCTCTTCTGTTGTGTGGTGGGGTGGGAGTAGCTTTCAAGCAAAGCTCAGGGACCCAGAGGACCATGCTTGATCCAAGTGGCCCAGTGGTTCAATGCCTACAATGCCAGGGCACAGTGAAGTCGGCTTTCAAGTGTCTACTGTACTTTGATTTCTAGGGAAGCTCCCTAACAGCCTACGTCCCCTATCAACTATACACAAGAATTTAATTGTGGGGGCTAGAGAAACAGTACAAGAATTAAGGCATCTGCCTTGCATGTGGCCAACCTGGGTTGATCCCCAGAACCTCATACAGTCCTCTGAGATTGGCCAGGAGTGATCCCTGAGCACAGAACTGGAGCAATTCCTGAGCACTGCCCAAAAAACAAAGAGACAAAAATAAAATCCCCATAATTAACTGTGGATAGCAATGTAAACAAATATACTTTCTAATTCTCTTGTTTAAAAGGAAGGCTCTGACTCGAAGCCTCAATAAAACTTGAGAGAGATCAACAAGATGCAGAGATTCTTCTGGTGCCCACACAAGACTAAGTCATCTGGGGTACTCCAAAGGGGCCAGTGAGCCCAGAACCCACTTACACAGAGCCCCAGCAGCAAAAATTCTTCTCCACAATCACCACCATGCTCCCGGCCAGACTCCACTGCTCAGGACTAAGCCCTATCCAGAAATTAATCTGTTGAAAAACTCAGGTATGTGGGTTTTGTGACTGAAATCTCCAGGCTTTCATGGAGTCAGAAATGGGCTACCTTTCCCTTCTCCCTGTACTTCCAGAAGCCCTGGCAGTCACATACACATTCACACGTGCCCCCCCTCAAAGACCACCCAGTTAAAAACTTAACTCCAGCTTTATCACTTCAAACTCTACAACACTGATAAACCAGGAGTACCACAACAGATTATGATGCGATGTAACGTAGAAGGCACCCAATCTTGATTAACCAAGTATCAGCACATAAGGCTATAGGTTAGTAACAAAAATTTTAGTAATCTCTTATATAAGGGCTTAATAGCTTAATGGTGAGATAAACAACCTTCACTAACTTTCTTCTAAGGAAACATTTTTTTGATCATTCTTTTATCAAATTATAATAAGCAATATAAATTAAATTATTAAGGGCTCCTGTGGGGGCAGGCTTTAGGGGTGGTTGGGAAAACTGGAGATAATGGTGGTGGGAAGGAAGGTGCCATGGTGGTAGGATTGGTGTTGGTATACTGAATGTCTGTAATAAATCATCATGAACAATTTTGTGAACCACAGTATTTATATAAGGTGAAAGGGGAAAAATAAAATAATAATAAATAATAATAATAAAAGGTTCTATGGCTAGCAGCAGGACAAAGCCAATGCTACAAGACTGTTTGACTCAAAATATGGTAACATGGAAATACTCACGGAAACCCCAAGAGATTCCCATCCATTCGAGGGCTTTCTCTCAGCTGGGACTCTATACCACCATATAGCTATATTGTTTTCCACCATATAGCTCTAGTAATATTACTCAAAATAGTGATCATAAAGATTCTGGAATAAGCGTGTGTGTACGTGTGTGCATGTGTGTATGTGTGTTTCCACACATGACAATGCTTAAGGATAACACCTGGCTCTGCACTCATGGATCACTTCTGGAGGTGCTTGAGGGACCATATGAGATGCCAGGGACTGAACATGGGCCAGCCACATGCAAGACAAATGCCTTACTTGTTGCACTATCACTCTGGCCCCAAAATACAAGCTTTGTAAAAACAAATTTTGCTTTATAAATGTTGGCAAAAGCCATGACTACAAGTTAAGTCTGACACCTGAGTACCTGAGGTGAGGAAAGCTGTCTGTCCACTGTTGGCACTCCTCTTGGAGACTCTCTGTATAGATGCTTGGCTTCTGCTCGTACAAGAGCTCATCAATGGCTGTGAACATCGCCTGGACTTTCTCAGTGGCATTTTGATCAAGTTCCTAGAATTAAACAATACCCCCCTCCAATTTTTAGGTGAAATTCAATCCCTGTTAAAAATTACAAAGGCTTAAAAAAATCAGATTTGAATTTGTTTTCAATAGTTAGACCACTTAAAAGCATGTCTATGAAAGAAAAGTTAAATTAATGTTTTCCACCTTTTCAATTTCAGATGCCCTCCCCAGTTCACTGTAGCACTGTCCTCCTGTTGTTCATTGATTTTCTCGAGTAGGCACCAGTAACGTCTCCATTGTGAGACTTGTTACTTTTTTTTGTTTTTTTGGCATATTGAATACGACACGGGGAGCTTGCCAGGCTCTGCCGTGCAGGCGAGATACTCTCGGTAGCTTGCCGGGCTCCCTGGTGCTATTTTCAGAAAAATAATATAAATATTTGCTTCTTTAAAGTAATATTTTCATCACAAAAGTACCATTTAATGTAATAATTTTGAGGAATCCCAAAAACTATAAAGAAAAGTTATCCATAACATATCACTAGTAGATAATAATTTCTCTTACTTTGGTTGTTTGGTTTCAGTATTTTAAGCTCTAAGAAAGAGAAGGAAAAAGGAAAATAAATAAAATACCTAAGTCCCTGATTTTTTCTAATAAGGTCTGACATTTTTCAGGATTTTCGCCTCCACTAAACCAGAGCCTAGATGTTGAACACATGTCATTAAGTTGCACAGCAACATAAATACAATGTGAAATGTCAATTCAGACTAAATTTCTTTTATGGTGCCAGGAAACACACCTAGGTGGATTCTCACACTGTAAGGCAAGTGCTACCCACGGAGCCATATCTCCAGGCCCCTCAACTGCTAGAGAAAGAAAAACAAAGATCTGACACAGAAGGAACACAGAATCCTCAGAACTTGATGACTGGTTTAATGAGAAGAGGGAACTACGGAGATCAGTTTAGGCCTTTTCTTTTGGGTAAGAGAAAGGATGATGTAGTAGTAGTAGTAAATATTCATCAGGTCGGGAACATTTATCAAATGTCAGAGCAGGAGAGCTGGCAGGGGGAGAAGGAAACGGATGCCCCCAGCCCTCTTCTGCCTTCTGTGTGGGAAGCCCAGATTCTTTGTGATCCCCGAGCACAGGGCCAGGAGTAAGCCTGAGCACTGCTGGTGAGGTCCCAATAAAACAAAAAATCTGGTCCCATGACTTCCCTGGTTCGGGAATTTGAACTGTACCAGGACCTTGTCAGGAGGGGCTATATGCACCCCTGCAAAACAAAAACACCAGGCAGCTGTGACAAGAGATCAGGGGAATGACGCCACCTGGGCATGAAGACGGCCGCAACTCCACTCCCTCTGTGCTTCCACTCCTGAGAGCGGCTGGCCACCTTAGCAGCTGCCCGCCCTGCTGTGCTATCACTTTAGCCCCTACATGCGTATATTCTGGTGGGGTGGGACACACCTGGCCGTGCTCAGGAATTACTCTTGGCTCTGCCCTTAGGGGCTTGGGGAACCATATAGGGTGCCAGAGATCAAACCCCGGGCAGCCATGAGCAAGGCAAGTGCCCTACTCCCAGATGTGTAGGTTTTTTATAATTGCTTAATTTTCCTGATGAATTGGCTCCTTTATCATCATGAAGGATCTATTTTTGTTTCTAGCACTGTAGCACTGTCCTCCCATTGTTCATCGATTTGCTCGAGCGGGCCCAGTAATGTCTCCATTTTGAGACTTGTTGTTACTGTGTTTGGCATATTGAATACGTCACGGGGAACTTGCCAGGCTTTGCTGTGCGAGCGAGACACTCTCGGTAGCTTGCCAGGCTCTCCGAGAGGGGTGAAGGAATCGAACCTGGCTCAGCCAGGCCGGCCGCGTGCAAGGCAAACACCCTACCGCTGTGCTATTGCTCACTTAAAAAAAAAAAAAAACCAACTTATTTTAAGTTCAGATTTAAGCAATTTTCACAACTCTCTTGGTTTTACATTCTGCCCTCTTCTGCTCTGTTTCTGCAATGCTACTACTGTTCTGGCCAGCCAGGAAGGAGCTTGCAGGGCCTGGGACCTCACCAGCCTTTATGCCTGGCTTTTCAGAGAACCTGCTTGGCCCCCTCTGATTCTCTTATTTACCAGATCACCTTGATGGATTTCTGGATAGTCTACCAACATACTTCTCACTCACTAGTACAAAAACTTCAGATAAGCTGAGTCTCCTTTTCCTTTGTCAGATGCCATGGAGTTTGCTGCTATTATTGATAATGCTGTTGGTTATAGGGTTCATCTAAGTTTCACACCAAATCTACAGAGCCCTTTCTGGTAGTGAAGCTGCTCGTTTTCATAGTTTGTTTCACTGTTCTTGATCCAAGGTTCCACTGACTTTCAAATAATTGCTGCTTGTTGTGAACTTGTAGTTAACTTTTAGAACGCTAAAGTAGTGACTTTTGACCGTCTTATGTAGTTTTGTTGTTCTCTGGTTAAGATGATTCATCCAGCCACTCACTCTTCCATTCTAGAAGTTCCAGCTCATCATTTTATACAACTGTCATTGTCAGGTTTTAGTATCAATATGCAAGTCTTGGGGGCTGGAGCAATAGAACAGCAGTAGGGCGTTTGCCTTGTGCACAGCCAGCCCGGCCGAGCTGGGTTCGATTCCTCCACCCTTCTCGGAGAGCCTGGCAAGCTACCGAGAGTATCTCGCCCGTACGGCAAAGCCTGGCAAGCTCCCCGTGACGTATTCAATATGTCAAACACTGTAACAACAAGTCTCAAAATGGAGACGTTACTGGTCCCGCTCAAGCAAATTGATGAGCAACAGGAGGACAGTGACTGACAGATGCAAGAGTGAACTGAAAATGTTCCATGGAGCAGGAGAGACAGCACAGTAGGTAGGGCATTTGCCTTGCACATCAGTTTCGATCCCAGCATCCCTTATGTCCCCCGAGCACCACCAGGAGTAATTCCTGAGTGCAGAGCAAGGAGTAAGCCCTAAGTATCACTGGGTGTGACCAAAAAAAGTTCTTACATTTTTGAGGTGGGAGGAGGCCTGAAAACATAGTTTAAAAGTCTGGAGTAGGGCTATGGTGCCGCCAGCAGGTCAGTCTGTACCTGTGAGGTGAGTGCATCAGCAGCCTGATGGCAATGTCAGACTTTCAGATACCCCAAAATTGCTGCTGTGCCTTTGGCCAGACCCCAAAAACTTGGGGCAAAGTTTACCAAGAAAGTAAACGGCCAAAAGTTAGGTATGTGGGAGACACACCCACAAACCACCTCCGGCTCAGCTATATAATTGGAGGCATGGCCACTCTGGTTCCTGATCGAACTGCTTAATGGCCATGATCCCAGAGTCTCAGAAACGAATCTCAGAACCCAAAGGCTTTTGGCAGAAATGCGTCCTGTTCCTGCAGTAGGTTACTGGCACTGGGCCACTCCAGGTGGGAATAGGTTTCGTGCCTTGGCCTGTTCCCCCTGGCGGCCTGGTGACCGCCATCCTCCAGAGGCCACTGGACAGTCAGGTTTGGACCTGCAGTGACAAGACACACGGGGCCTCACCACATGGGGGTGGAGCCAATTCTTTTTCCCCATCCCAATGAGACCCCGAGTTGCCGCCTACAAACAGCCTCTCTGGCTCCTGATCAAGCTGATTAATAGCCATGATACCGGAGACTCAGAAACAAATCTTGAAACCCAGTGGCTTTTGGCAGAAATGCATCTGGACTGCATACAAGGTGGCCGCCGGCTCAGAGCTTATTGGAAAGCCAGATATGAACCGGCGGTGATGGGGCAACTGTAGTCTCATGGGAAGGGGGACGGTACCGGCTCGTCCTTCACACCCTACTGAGGTCACGAGTTGCCCCCCATAAGCAGCTCTCTGGCATGGCCATGGCTCCAGAGGCAAAAGGACTTAATCCAGAACCCGGCAGCTTACGGCAGAAAAGTGAATGGACCATGCGTTAAACTATAGTGCCATGCCTCCCTGGGAGGGAAAGGGTGTTGCTCCCTTCCACCTTTTTCCCCCCTGGCAGCAAAGTGGCTGCCACCTCAGAGCTTATAGAAAAGTCAGGTATGAGCCAGTGTGACGGGGCAACTGCAGTCTCATGGGAAGAGGGACGGTACCAGCATATCCTTCACGCCCTACCAAGGTCACGAGTTACCCCCCATGAGCGGCTCTCCGGCATGGCCATAACACCAGACACACAGAAACCAATCTTGTAATTATCTGGCTCTTTGCAGAAAATTGTGGCCGTGTGACATTATATGATTCTCATAACCAGCTATAGAAAACAAAATATTTCACAATGCCTTTTCAGCTATTCTGATTGTTTGGGGGGAAATTCTAGACAATAATGGTGCATCTTTTGTCAAAATAATGAATATAATCAATGTAGAGAAGAGTTAAGTAGAAATCATCTGCCTCACAGGCATTTGGAGGAGTGGGAGGGGGGGGTATACTGGGGTTCTTGGTGGTGAAAAATGAGTACTGGTGAAGGGAAAGGTGTTCGATCATTGTATGACCGAGACTTAAGCCTGAAAGCTTAGTAACTTTTCCCACAGTGATTCAATAAACAAATATAAAAAGATAAATAAATAAATAATAAATTAAAAAAAGAAAGTCTGGAGTGAATGCTTTGCATGCTGGAGCCCTGGTTTCAGCTCTGACCCCAAATGGTCTCCAAGCCTTGCAGGGAGCAACACCCCAGCCCTGAGCAAGGAGTATCCCTAAGCACTGCCAGGCATGACAGTCAAAAACAAACAAAAAGAAGTTTGTGTAATTTTTATTCTTCTAAAAATGTATAACAGAAGTCAGTAGAGAACCTATCTGGTCTTAGAGCAACTGTCAAAGTTGCTTAATTCGTTTTCTTCTTTTTTATTTGGTTTTTGGGCCATGCTTAGCAGTGCTCAGTGCTCAGGCTTACTCCTGACTTTGGGCTCAGGGATTACTCCTGGTGGTGCTCAGGAAACCTCATAGGGTGCTGGAATCGAACCCAGGTCAGCTGTGTGTATGGCAAGTGCTTCTTATCTCTCTGGCCCTAACTCAATTTCTTTGTGATTTACTGCTCTTCATATATGTTCTCCTTCCCTTACTTTTGATGATGTTGATGTGATGACTGGGGTTAGCACACACTTGGTTTTGAACTTGCCAGAGGTCACACACTTGGATGTGGTGTTCACAGGGTTAGCTGTGGTACTCATGGAGCCTACACATCCATAGTCCTCATTCACTGTCAGTGCACCAGAGCTCATGCATTGAGTTGCACAGGCACCCAGGATCACACAGGGCAGTGCCTCTGAGACCATCCTCTCCACTGAGGCTCCAACTCAGGCTCATGCCCACAGGGCTGGCACTCTACTACTGAGCTGTCCCTTGACTCTACTATTCATAATTTCTATTTATTTATTTATTTATTTATGGGCCCCACCTGGCAATGCTTGGGTTTATTCCTGACTCTGCACCCAAGAATTACTTCTGGATGAGCTCAGGGGACCGTATGGGATGTCTGAGATTGAACCTGGGTCAGTTTTGTGTAAGGCAAGCACCTTACCTGCTGTCTTCAGCCTGACCTTTCATATTTTTAAATGAATTTCATCTGAGTTATGGAATTTATTGGCATTAAAATTTCATATTATTAACTTTTACTTATTTTTTTTATATGTATGATATCGACTAACAAACCCAGGTCTCATGAACGCAAGGTGTACAATTTAGCATTAAGTCATATCCCCTTATTCTTTTATTACCTCTGGAATTTGTGGTGGTGACCCCTCTTTTATTCCTGGTATTGGAATTTGTGTTTTTTTTTTTCTTGATTAGGATAACCAGAGGTCTTGTTAGGTATTGACCTTTTCAAGGAATCGCCTCTTTATTTTCTCTTTTTAATTTCATCAATTTTGCTCTTTTCTTTCTTTTGACTGAGTTAACTTTACTTTCTGACCTTGTTTTTCATTTCAAAGCTTTCTTTTCTAAAAGAGGACCTGATATTATAAACTTCCTTAAAAGAATTACTGTAGCTATATCCACAAATTTTGGCATTATTACTTTTGATATCCTATAGTTTAAAATATCCTCTAATTTTCCCTTTTGTCTTATTTGTTTTGGGATCATACTGAATGGTGGTCAGGGCTTACTTCTGGTTCTGGGTTCATTCTTGGCAGGGCTTGGGGGACCATATGGGGTGCCAGGGATAAAACTCAGTTTTCCACATGCAAGGCAAGTGCCCCACCTCTATATTATCTCTCCAGTCCCTGTAATTTTTTATTAAGGGTTTTTTAATTTCTTAAGTTTGGGAATTTATCTAGTTATCTATTATTGACTTCTAACTTAATTCTACTGTAACCAGAGAATATCTTTATCTGGTAAGCCATAATCTCTTGAATATTCCTGAGGCATTTTATGACACATCATACAGTCTATTCTTGTGAATACTTCATATGCACTTGAAAAGAATATGTACAATATGTTGGGGGAAAAGCATACGTTTGATGATTATATAATTATATCAATTACTAAAGTCTATAATAACAATTGTAGATTCAATGATTCCTCTTTAGCTTTATCGATTTCTCTGGACCTCAGACCTATGTTTATATCACCAGGAGGCATTGCAACAACATCAACCAGGAAGGGAATGTAGAGATGGGAATGAAAACCAAATACAATTGTAAAGTAAGAGGGTAGAGCATTTATGACAGCTTAACATTGTAGGGCAATTATTGCCTATTGCAGTTATTTTATTTGCTTTTGTCAATCTCTCATTCAACTATTTAGTCCTGTAAATTACACTCCAAATTCCCATATAATAGCACTGTCCTTGTTCATTGATTTGCTCGCATAGGCACCAGTGACATCTCACAACAAATTGTGAGACTTGTTGTTACTGTTTTTGGCATATCGAATACATCACAGGTAGCTTGCCAGGCTTTGCCATGCGGGAGAGATACTCTCGGTAGCTTGCTGGGCTCTCCGAGAGGGGCAGAGGAATCGAACCTGGGTCAGCTGCGTGCAAGGCAAACTCCCTACCTGCTGTGCTATGTAGTAGCTGACAATAAATGTGTTCAATGAGTATTTGCTGAGTGATACTAAGTATCAGATAATGAGGGCAATTTCAATTAGGATATATTCAAATCAAATGTTGCCAAACGATTCAAATTGACAGGTATGGATGTAGTAAATGAGTATGTGCATATAAAATCATGGTCAATGACAAAGTAGATCCCGAGGGCCAGAGAAGGAGTTCAAATGGCTGACCACATGCTGAAGGAAGCAGCTGGATTCTGGCACCACATCTTCCCCAGGCAGCACTGAGAGAACTCCAAGTGCGAAGAGCCAGTGTAGCACCAGAGCACCAGCAGTGGGACTCCCTTACTCTGCCAGAAAAAATGTAGGTCCCTCAGAAGAATACATATATATTCTACAACAAGGGAAGAAAAATCCCTATACATACATACACATGTGCAAATTAAAATGACTGAAAAAAACTGTCATGGTGAAAATAATAGATTTTAACTATTTTTTAGAAAGAAACATTTTTTTGTAAAGAAGGTTGCAAGTAATATTATATGACTCGATATTTAGAAAAATGCTTATAAAATAGTGAAAAAGAGGGCTTATTATTACATATATAGCTAGCCCAAACTAAAGATAAACTGGAAGAAGATATAGAAGTAAAAATACCTATTATATCAGGGTGAAAACCATGCATAAAATTTGTCCTTTAATTTTCTAAGGTTGTTTATACTTTACAAGTAGAAATTTATAATAGCTTATAAACAAATGAGTGACTGAATAAATTTCATCATTTCATCTCATCGTCACCCAAATGATAATAGCTTACTAAGATTTTGGTAAATATCTTTAGTCTTTTAAAAATATATACATATTATCAAGTACAGATAAAAATTAGAACTGCCTTATAGTACTATTTTCAACTGCTTTTTCAAATTTACTATCATAGGGCTAGAATGATAGTACAGTGGGCAGGGCGTTCGCCTCGCATATGGCCAACCCAGGTTCAATTCTCAACATCGAATATAGTCTCCCAAGCACCGCCAGGAATAATTCCTGAGTGCAGAGCCAAGAGTGACCCCTGTGCATCGCCGGGTGTGACCCATAAAAGAAAAAAAAATGACTCAATAATAAAATTTCAACGCCACTCTAAGCAAGGTAATATTAGTGGCAAAGAGATACTTTAGTGGACTGAGCACTGCAAAAGTCGAATCATAGCCCAGATCCATACAAACCTGCAAGTGTTTAGAATCAAATTGTACGCATCTCTAACAATCAGTGACTAGATCCATAAAACAAAGCTAATACTGAAAGACAGTAAAAAATGAAGACTGATTCTTTATAAAGAGGCAAATTTCAGTATTAAAATGCAAAGAAATAACATAAGAGAGTGAAGGAATGTGCTAACACTGGCAATCTCTAATCCCCATAGCAGTCTCCCAGCTCTCCCGAAGACCAATGACATGCAACTCACACCATATCCCCAGGAGAAGTCCGAGCTGCCTTCAGTGGAGACGCCTGTGCCCGTATAACTTGGAAAAGCAGATAGTGAGTTCCCAGTGTCAGCTGAGGTGAAAGGTGATTCTTGTGTGTTGTCAGATGCACTAAGTACACAATTTGGAAGAGAAAACAGAAGAATTCTTAGTTTCCTCAAATTTCTCAAAGCTCAATTTTCTCAAATTTCTGCAGCATTATAACCATTGATTAGCACGTGTATAAACATATCCAGGGCAAAAGTAAATTTAAAAGTTGACATTTAAGCACTGAAGAGATAGCTTAACTAGTCTAGTGCATATCCAGGGAATGATTCCCAGACACTGCCCTGAGAGTAGCTCCGAGCAACATCAGGTGTGAGTCAAAAAACAAATAAAACTAAAATTTAGGCATCATAAAAAAAATCCTACTAATTTTTCTGGGATCAAGAACAATCATTCTAAATAATGCAAGTCATAGTTCACAATGAATAACATTACCTATAACAATGCCTCTGACAACAAAAGACATTTCAGAAATATAAGAGTACCTTTTAGAGTTCGCCCAGAATTTTAAAAATAAATGTTGATCCCATTTTATACTTTATAACAAACAGGTAATGTAGAATTCGCTTCATTTTTAAAAGGGATTTGAATTTTTAAAATCCTTTCTTAAAAACAGAAAGTCGAGGGCCACACCCTGTGGCTGAGGCCTGCCAGCGCTCCCTGCAGTGGGGAGGGGCTGAGGGCTGGACAGTGTCATGAACTAAAGTCCGAGCCTCCTGGTCTGTTTTGAACTATATCACTAGCTATTAGAGCATTTTATTTAGGGGCCTGGAGGTGTTGAGGATTGAATCCATGCACAACATTGCAGAACCTTCTTTTAAGTTCGAGCCTTCTCTGTTATTAAAAGAATAACTGCGGCTAAAATTCATCCAACATTTGCTATGTGCCAAATACTATGGTTGGGTTTATATACTTTATCTCATTTATATTCACAATACCCTTTAAAAGATACTATTATCAGGGGCTAGAGAGATAGTATAGTGGGTAGGGCGCTTGCCTTGCAAGCAGCTGACCCAGGTATGATCCCCGGCATCCCCTTCCTAAGGTTCTCTGAGCCCCATAAGGAGCGATTCCTGAGTGCAGAGCCAGGAATAACCTGAAACATCATTGGGTGTGGCCCAAACACACACACACACACACACACACACACACACACACACACACACACATACAAATCAGTAGCCAATGTTTCAAAACTACTATGTCTCAGAACCATGATTAAAAATCAGGTTTGTTAGATTTCTTTTGAGTCTATAATTTTAACAACTTAATTTTTAAAGATTATGAAAATAGGCATAACATTACTTCCATTAGCTTTGTCCAGAATGAAAAATCAAACTGTACTGAGAAGTGATAAAAATTCTTGTTTGGAGAGTCAAAGATGCAGCTAAGAGCCAGAGCACATGCATTACATGTGTAAGGCTCTGGGCAAAAACCAAAATAAAAACCAGAAAAAACCCTTTTAGTCTGGAGAGATAGGATGATGCAAGGCTAGAACAGGCTGCCTTGCATGCGGCCAACCCTGGTTCAAATCCTTAGCACCACATATGGTTCCTGGAGTACTGTCAGGGATCATCCCGAGGACTGCTGGCTGTATTTTTATTTCTAAATCAAAATAATGAAGCCATTAAGACCGGAGGCTCAGTGGCAGAGCGCCTGGTCTATACGTATGAAGCTGTGGTTTCAGTCCCAGACACTTGCCCTTGTGTTCCAGAGTGATCCTCAGCGCCACAGCAAGTGTGCCACAAACACCACAGCCAAGTGTGTGTGCCCCAGAACCAGGTCTGAGTACAGTGACCCAGAGGACATAACTACTGCATCCCAGTGCTTGGCCCCAGATACCGCAACAACAAACTGAAGGCGGAAAACCAACTTGCCATTATTAGGTATAGGAAGCCCACAAGCACACTGGTGCTAGTACCTTTGGGAACTTGTATCTTTTTCATGGCTGTCATTTGTCAATGATACATCATCTAGCAGCTCCGGAAGAGGATGGTGATTAAGAGGATGTTTTGTTTTTCCTTTCCTGTGAAAGGAAAAACAAAATTATGCTTCCTGTAAAAGAAAACAAATGGGCGTACACACACATCTTAGAACGTATTCTATAGTTAGGCATCTGCTTCTTGCTACTATAGAAATGCTACAGTAAGGGCCAGAGAGATAGTACAGCAGGTCAAGTGCTTGTCTTGCATGTAACAGGCCTGGGTCTGATCCCCAGCATCACACAGAGTTCCCTGAGCACTGGCCAGGAATGATTCCTGAGTGCAGAGTCAGGAGTAACTTGCGAACATTGCCAGGGATGGCCCAAAAACAACAAAAAAGAAATGCGACGCTATCCAAAAAGACAGTCATTAGCTACCAATAGAAGATACATTATTTTAATGTAAAATACAAAGGATTTCAGGGTCTTAGCCCAACAAGAATGTATTATTATTTTACTTGAGCCTCCCAGTAGCATTGGGTGCGGGGGCTCCCTGAAGGGCCTGACAGTTCAGTTAGAGTCAAGCAATGTGGTGCTCTCAGGTTGGGTGGAAGGAGGGCAGGCAGTATCAGGACCAGTCATAGGACCTCATGCATGCAAGGGATGTGTTGTGCCCCTTTGAACTACCTCTCAGGCCCTCAATAATTCTTTTGGATTGATTATGTATTAAAATATTTTAGAATATATTGGCTTAAGTCAACATTCCTAAAATGAATTTAATGCAAACTAAAAACATAAGGCGCAACTACATACAAATGCAGGTGAGAGAATGAGGAAACCGGATGTTTCATACATGCTATGGGGAAGTACAGTGACATTGCCACCAGGAATAACCTCAAGCTCTTCAATCTCGTGCATTTGGCGTAAGACCTAAGTATTGTACTCTTGGAACCCAACCTGAGAAAAAGGAAAACTTGTGTTCAAACAAAAATCTGTACACAAATGTTCACAGCAGTTTGATTTAGAACTAAAAAAAAACCATCATATACAATTTCAATGTCCTTTAATGAGTGAATGTTTATACCTTAATCCACATCAAGATGAGGGAAGAAATGATTGAGACATGCAACAATTTGAACAGATTTCAAAGGCACTATACCTAGTGAGAAGAGCCAATCTCAAAAGTTTATATACTATATGATCCCATTAATTTAACATTCACAATGTCAGTGAATAATATACTGACACACAATTCACTATAACAGTGATGTGCTGGAGTGATAGTACAGCAGGTGGGGCCCTTGTCCTGCATGCGATGAGCTGGGTTCAATCCCTGGCATCCCATATGGTCTCCCAGCACTGCCAGGAGTAATTCCTGGGTGCAGAGTCAGGAGTAACCCTGAGAATTGCCAACTGTGACCCAAAAGCCCCTTCCACAGCAAAAAAAAAAAAAAAGACAATAGAGGTGAAAATAAAATTACTTATTAGAGGATGGAAAAAAGAATGGTTATGACTTTAAAAAGGCACACAAGGGCCTTCTAGATGGTGATGATAAAAATCTCTCAGTTAGACAGGTAGTTACAGAAATCTACAAAAACTGGTGAAAACCAGGCTTGTTAAATTCTTCTGCCTTTCACAAAGGCAACTCAGTTAAAATCCACGCATCTCAAATTGCCTCTCAAGACCACCAGGAGTGATCCCTGAGCACAAAAGCAGGAGTAAGCCCTAAACACAGCCAGGTGTGGCCCAAAAATCAACACATAAATAAATTTACATTTTAGGACTCTTAACTTTAGAAAGCTGGAGTGATAGCACAGAGCGTAGGGCATTTGCCTTGCACACGGCCGACCAGGGTTCAATTCCTCCGTCCCTCTCGGAGAACTCGGCAAGCTACCAAGAGCATCCCGCCCGCATGGCAGAGCCTGGCAACTCCCCATGTCATATTCAATATGCCAAAAACAGTAACAAGTCTCACAATGGAGATGTTACTGGTGCCCGCTTGAGCAAATCGATGAACAACGGGAGGACAGCGCTTTTGTGCTATGAATTAGAAATTTTAAAAAACTTGAGAAAATATTAGGTTTATAATTCTGATTTTCCCCCATGTTTTTGTTCTTGCAGAGCTGGGAATCAAACCTAGGAACTCACTCAGATATAGCAAGTGCTTTATTACTGAGCTACATCCCCTGCCCCAATCATTTTGGCTCAGTAAGTACCTATCAACAATTTTTTTCTTCCATAGAGGATTTTTCCCCCGTTCAGAATGGTCAGAATTAGTTTTCAAAGCAAATTAGTTCATCCTTAATCACTTATTGGGAATCCTTTCTTCCAGGATTCTTAAAAGATTATCTGAATTGCTACTGTGTAGATAGCCTATAACTTGGTAGGTAAAATGCTTCTGAAAGGCATGGAGAAATCATAGACTGATTGTATGAATCTTGTACCATGTGAAGGTGGAAACTTCCAAAGGATTTACCATGTGCTACCATGTAAGTACTTTTAGATAAGATTTGCCCCCAGTATTACATAAATGTCACTGTCACTGTCCTCCTGTTGTTCATCAATTTATCGATTTTGCTCAAGCGGGGCCAGTAACATTGTGAGACTTGTTACTGTGTGTGGGATATCGAATACATCACGGGTAGCTTGTCAGGCTTTGCCATGCAGACAAGATACTCTCGATAGCTTGCTGAGATCTCTGAGAGAGGCAGAGGAATCGAACTCCGGACGGCCAAGGTGCAAGGCAAATGCCCTACCCACTGTGCTATAGCTCCAGCCCATTACATAAATGAAGGCTCAAAGTTTAGTAATTTGTCTAGAAGTAACATGGTTAGAAAATTCTAACCAGAAACCGAGATGTAACTGAAAACACCACACTTATTATATGTACAGTATTTAATTAATAAATACAAGGTTGCTAAAACTACGTAGCTTAGTGGAGGAAAATATTGAGGACTGGAGTTTTAAAAAGTCCAAACTTGGAGCCAAAGTGGGTAGGGCACTGCCTTGCACGTGGCCGACCCAGGTATGATTCCCTGATACCCCATATGGTCTCCTGAGCTCTACCAGGAGTGATCCCTGAGCCCAGAGCCAGGAGTAAACCCTGAGCACTGCTGGGTGTGGGTCCCAAAACAAAACCAAATAAGATCATGCTCAAATCTGATTATAAAGTAAGTATCTAAGGTAGAAGGGACTTTACATGCTGGGGGCCGGTTTGATTCCCAGCACCACGTGGTCCCTGAGCAGAGTGAGTGAGCACAACTGTGAGCACCAGAGCCTGTGGTCCAACTGCCCCCTTGCCCCAAAAAGAAATAGTACATAGGGCTGGAGAAACAGAGTTCTTGTGTAGCGTACAGCCATCTGGGTTCCATGCTCAGCACCCCATAATGGTCACCTGGGCCCCACCAGGAGTGATCCCTGGTCACGGAGCCAGGAGAAAGCTCTGAGCACCCCTGGTGGTTCAAAAACCAGGCAGTAATAATGATAAAAACAGACTATAATCTTAGGACGTGTAGCATTCCCAATAACTCGTCTCTTTAAAGCTTATACCAGTGTCTTAGAGAACTGTTAAAACATCTTTTCAAAGCACTTATAAATGAGGACGGTATCATTATTTGCTAAACTATAGCACTTCACTATAGGTGCGAGTGAATGTTGAAGCCGAAATTAACTCTCTCAAATGAGTCTCAGAAATAAAACCGAGCCCGAAGGATGCTGGTGCTTCACTGCAGGTGGTGGTGTGCGAACGAGATGAACAAAAACTATCACCGTGTGATCTCAGGGCCGCTCCTACCTTTAAATAAAGAATCTACTGGGGGAGGGCGGGCAGGGGGAGAGGGGCACACCCAGCGGTGCTCGGGGACCCTGGGGGTGCCGGGGGTCGCACCCGGGGCAGCCGCGGACTGCAAGCGCCCTCTCCGGCCCCTCGGTCTGGAACCTCTGTGTGTCCACGTTGCAGGAGTGTCCGGAGGCGGCGGGCGCGGCTCGCGCGGGCCCCCAGGACACGCCTCCAGCTCCACGGTCGCCCTCCGAGGCCCGGGCCCGGCCCCGCGGAGACCCGCCTCCGGGCCCGGCCCGGGAGGGGCAGCTGTCCAGCGGGGCCACGTCCCGGACCCGGAGGCGGGGTGGGGGGCAGCGAGGCCCGAGGGCGAGGCCGTTCCCCCGCCCAGGGGACGGAAGGGGCGCGGCGGCGGACAGGGGCCGGGGCTGGACACTGCACTCACAGCTCCGAGCTCGGCGGCACGGCCTTCCGCGCGTAGCGGGGCACCATCCTCGTCTTCCGCCGCGGCCGGGCCGCGGGCTCGGCCCCGCCCCCCAGCTCGGCCCCGCCCCCGGCCCCGCCCCCGCCCGCCACCTTCCGGCCCCGTCACGCCCCGTCGCCTGACCCCGAAGCACCCCCTCTGCGGGCGCCCGCCTCTCCGCTCCCTCCGCCCTCCCGGCGGGCCCCGGGGCGGAAGTGACGTCGCGGGGCGCTCTCCTAACACTTCCGCCGCCGGCGCGCGGCTGCGGCGACTCGAGGGTTCCGGGCCGGTGTTCCCGCCGCCGGCGTCCGGCTGTCCGCGCCTGGGCGGGGTGACCGAGGGACCGAGCGGCGCCGAGAGCCCCAGGCAGGTTGCTTGGCTCGGGCAGGTCGCTTTCGTGTTCCGACTGCCCGGCCCGGGGAGGGCAGGCTGACTCTGAGGTCGGGCGGTGAGGGCGCCGCTGCATGGGTGCAGGGACCATCCGGTGTCCGGGCGGCTCTGTCTGCCGCAGCTGTGAGCTCGTGCTTCCGTTTGGAGCGCATCCCTGGGAAAGCGGGAGAACGGCCACCTGCGGGGAGACGAGCCCGAGAGGCGACGGGGGCAGGGTGGCGGCGCGTGGGGAGTCGAGGACCGCGGGCAGAGTGCCCGGGGCCCGCTGTGCCGTGCCAGGTCCGTAAGGAGGAGGGATGTAAATCCTGCAGGGTGATGGAAACTTCTCTCTTTCTTTTTTTAAATTTTTTTAGTGAAACACCATGAGGTACAGTTGAAGACTTACACATTTTTGCGCATGGGTTTCAGTTATACAATGATCGGGTTTTAGTTATACAATGATCGGGTACCCATCCCTCCACCAGTGCCCATTCTCCTCCACCACCACTGATCCCAGTATCCCTCCCGCCCCCCACCCCTCCATCCCACCCTGCCTCTGTGGCAGGGCATTCCCTTTTGTTCTCTCTCTTCTTTTTAGGTGCTGTGGTTTGCAAAAGAGACATTGAGTGGCAGTCATGTTCGGTCTACTCTCAGCAAGCATCTCCCATCCTGGGAGGATCCTCCCAACACCGTTTTTTTGGTGCTCCCTTCTCTATCTGAGCTGCCTGTTCCTCTAGCATGGGCGGCTGGCCGATGGAGACTTCTTAAAAGTGTTTAAACTAGACTGATTTAACCTGGGGCAGGATTTTGTGTTAGCTAACACCCATTCTGCAACTAAAACTTCCCAAGGAGAATACCTTTTGTATTAGATATTTCGCAATACCTTAGGTATTTTGCAATACCTAAAATACTTATGGTGGAACTGCAACTGCAATATTAGAGATCATTTGTAGTGTTTCCCAAAGTGTTACCCATGTCACTGCTACTTAGTTTGGGAGACATTATATCGGATTTTCATGTGTTACGTGATAGCAAACGTTTTCCAAATGATTGTTGAATAGCAACATGATTTTAAGTTCAAAAGTGTCATGAAGGGCTGGAGAGGTAGTACAGTTGGGCAAGGTTCTTCCTGGGGTTGGTTCTGGGCACCGCAGATGGCTCCGCGAACAGCCCCAGGAATAATACCAGAGCGCAGAGCCAAGAGCACCAATGGGTGTGGCCCACAAAACAAAATCAAATTAAAGGGGTGGGATTGATCATTGAAAGGGCAGTGGTACCTTCTGTTGCATGCGGAAGGCTGAGGCTGGATCCTGGCACCTCTTGGTCCCTAGTGAGGAGCCTGAGCAGCTCTGGATTTGGCTAAAAAATTATATTTTTAATTATTATATTTATATGTGGTGTTATGCCTGCTCAAGCAAATCGATGAACAACTGGAGGATAGTGCTACAGTGCTACTCTTGGACCATATATATGGTGTCAACTGTTGTTGGTATATGGCTAATGCAATTATTATTGTGGTCTGTGGATAACTGAACTTTCGAAAATAATGAAATCTACAAGAGTTCAGGGAGTGGGATACTCTGCACTATTCTGTACCGTTTATGTTGTTAAAACTTAAAACGCAGCTTTCAAGGAAGAAGGAGGAAAATATGGCGCTTGCTACAGTGGAAGACACTGTGGAGTACCACCTCTTCCTGATGCCAGACGAGCCACTGGACCCCCCCAAACACATGGAGGTTCTTCAAAGCTATATTGAAAGAATAATGACCCAGTTTGCACCTATGCTGGTTCCCTATATCTGGCAGAATCAGCCTTTCAATCTCAAGTATAAGCCTGAGAAAGGTAAGAGTCTTTTTCTTCTTTTGATTTGATATATATTATTTTTAATGTCATTCTAACATGAGATGTGAGTCTGCTTCATTCGGTGTTATCAGGAAATTGATATGCTTAACATTTTAAAATTTGTGATGCTTCCCTCTCCATTCAGTTAACCCGTAAATGTAAACAATTTTTTTTGTTTGTTTATTAGAAAAGCTTCTAATAATCATTACCTTAGGAACTTTTTTTATTGTTGGTTTGGTTTTTTGATTTGGGGCCCTGCCCTGTGGTGCTCAGACATAGTTTCTGGCTCGCTGGTAGTCACCCCTGATGGTATCCTGGGGACAATATGTGGTGTGGATACCTGTGGAACAAGTGCCTTACCTCCTGTACTGTTTCTCCAGAGGAACTCAAGGTCGTTAAACTCTGGCTTTTCTTTGGAAACTTAATTGCTTTACTTTGCCATAGTGTATGTCTATACGTACACTAAACAGATTTAGTACCTGCCTGCCTCACCTGCATTGTTCCTTTAACTGTTACTTTGTATTCCTCACTCTTGATACTTTGTTTTACTGGGTGGCATCATTTAGTAGGAGCTCTAAATGTCTTTCTGTCTGCCTTAGAAAGAGGAATAGTTGTGCTTCATGACCATGATTTTGACACTCAAGAGCACATTGAGATTCCTTTTTTTTGCTTCCCTATATTGTTGGTGCTTGAGATCTGACCTCTTACTGCTTTAGTGCTCTTAGTGCTTTGTCCTGGCATTTCTTAGAACTTTACAAAAGCGAACTATGGCGAGGTGAACAAGACCGTACCCAGACAGTGACTTAGATAAGGTCTTGTTTCAGATAAGGAATGTGACATCTTGTTTTTTTGTTTTGCTTTTGGGCCACATGTTGCAGTGCTCAGGGCTTACCTCTTGCTCTGAGCCCAAGGACCACTCCTGGCAGGAGACCATCTGAAGTGCCAGGGATCGAACCCGGCACTTGTCCTACCAAATGTCCTACATGCTGTACTATTGTGCCAGCCCCAGAAGTGTGATAGCTTGTGATCTCATCAGTCTGCTTTCAATTTTGTACGTTTCTTTGAGCTGGCAGTTGCCAGACGTCTTCCCTCCTGTTAACCTTATTGAACTCTTCATCACTGAAACACAGGATATTTACTGGCTAAGCATATTTCAAAAAATTTTATCTTTTTTCCCCCCTAGAAAATCAGTTTTTCCCAGTGACTTTTGTTTTGTCTCTTTGTTGTTTTTGAAATTTATTTTGCTAATTTTTTTTGAGGGGGCAGGGTTACACCTGGCGATGCTCAGGTTACTCCCAGCTCTGCACTCAGGAATCACTCCTGGCAGTGCTTGGAGGACCATATGGGATGCCGGAGATCGAAATCAGGTTGACCGTGTACAAGGCAAATGTCCTCCCCACTGTACTAGTGCTCAGGCCCCCATTTTGCTAATCTAGTGTTATCTAGATTCCTAGAACACTGCTCACTACTTGCCCAGTGTTTTTGCATGTGCTATTCTTTTTTTTTTTTCCCTGTTTCTTGAAAAGCCAGCTTCTGGTCATTCCTCTAGATAAGCATAACTCAGTATCTTTTACCTCACATAGCCTTTATTGTCTGCCTCTGTTCATGATCATCTTAAAAAAAAAATCTCTTTTTGTTTGGTTTACAATACTATGAATAAATCCAGGTTTCTCCTGGATATTATTTTGATCCACACCTGTTACCAGTGTGCTTGTCACCCTTCCTTCCCTTTCACCTGCCCCCCAACTCAGTTGTGGGTGTCAGTTCCCCTATTATGTTGACTTTGGATCTTTGTTGTTGCCTCTCTGTGTATCTTTAAGTCCCATATATGAGGGAAATCATTCTGTGTACCTTTTTTTAAATTAGACTTTATTTATTTATTTGCTTTTTTTGCAGTAACCCCTGTGCAATGCTGCAACAACCCAGCATTGCACAGGGGTTACTCCTGGCTCATGCACTCAGGAATTACTCCTGGTAGTGCTCAGGGGACCACCTGGGATGCTAGAAATTGAACTTGGGTCGGCTGCGTGCAAGGCAAACGCCCTACCCACTGTGCTATCGCTCCAGCCCCCATTCTGTGTATCTTTTCCTTTTCTTCTGACTGATTTCACTCAGCATGATCTCTAGTTCCACCCATGTTGCTGCAAATTGCATGATTTTATTCTTTCTTGGATCTTCCATTGTATATATATGTATACACCAGAACTTCTTGTTCCATTCATCTTGTAGTTGGGCGCTTGGGTGGTTTCCATATCCTGGCTATTTACTAAGTGCATTGATGATTAGTGAACATAGATGTACATACATCCTTTCAGATGAATGTTTTGGTGTTTGGGGGTAGATGCCAAGAAGTGCTATTGCTGGATCATAAGGGAATTCTATTCTTTTTTTTTTTTTTTTTTGAGAAATTCCCCATATTGTTTTCTATAGAGAATGGGCTAGATGACATTCCTACCAACAGTGGATTATGGTTCCATTCTCAACACAACCCTGCCAACACTGGCTATGTTCAGATATGTGCTATGTGTGAATTCATCAGCAATTTTTGAGAATTCTTGTTTTGAGGTGACTTGGTTAGCTCCTATGGTACATCCTGAGCTCCTGAACAGTAGGCTTCCTGGATCTTGTCCAGTACAGTAACCCTCAATGCCAAAGTAAAACATAATCAAACAATGAATGTTTAAGGGTTAAAAAAATAAAAAGCAATTTAATTGGATAATTAGAATTCTATTTATCTATTTGCACTGCCCCCCCCCCTTTTTGTTGGTTATATAATTGCATTTCTCTTGTTTTTTAGGAGGTGTTCCTGCTCATATATTTGGCGTGACAAAATTTGGGGACAACATTGAAGATGAATGGTTTATTGTTTATCTAGTAAAGCAAATCACAAAGGAATTTCCAGAATTAGTAGCAAGGTATTACAGTTAATTTAATAATTCTTAGGAATGCCATTCTTGAAATAGGCTGCATTTTTATTTATTTCGTGTATTTTTTCTGTATTTGGGTGGCAATCTAAGACAGATTTTAAAACGGACCTTGTTGTTTTTTTTTTGTCCTTTTCTCCTGTGACTTCCTTTTCTTCTGGAAGAATTAAATCCTTGACGAGTTCAGCTTTCAAAATATTCCAAACAAAACCTGTGTACATTAGTTTTTAGTTTTATAAGGAAATTGTTCTCTTTACAAAAGAACAAATACACCTGGTAAACATAATTCAAACAATACAATAGACTATACTGTGCAGTTCAGTAACAACACAAGGAAGAGAAGTGGGAGGAAAGGGGGCATGTTCTGCCTGACTTTCCGGAAGTAATCATCATTCAATGTGCACCTTGTGGTATTTGGATATGCTTGGCTGCAGGCACCAGAGATGGTGCACTTGCTTGGGGTTCTGGGGTCCCAAAGAGCAGAGCCCCTGGGATCACACCCAGGCATGTGGAGTGAGACCAGGGATTGAACTCAGAGCCTGATTAACCTCAGTCTTGCAAGGCAGATACGGAGCTATCCCCAGTCCCCCAAAGACAGATCTTTTCACAAAAACTTGTACATATTTCACACATTTATTATGTTTTCCTCATTTACACCATAGCTGTATGTTTTTGAAAAAGTCATTAGCAAAATAAATTTAAAGAGAAACTAAACTAAATAGTTGCATAGGAAACACAGCAGATAATTGCATTCTGACTCACTTTTCTCTAACGGTAGCTAATTGTTCTTGCTAATGACCAGGTTTTGCCAGCAGAGGGAGTCACACCCCCTTAACATAGAGTTTTCCTCTGTTGTTTTTCCCTTCCAGAGAAAAGTAACAGTAACTAAAAGCTCCTTATTACATATACATATAAAAACGTCAAATACAAATGAAAGTTGAGAATGTGTACTCATCATCCATTTCAACAATTATCAACTTAGGTTCTTTTATTTCATTCATATCCTTGCCCTACTCTTCATATAGCAGCACTGTATCACTGTATCACTGTATCACTGTCATCCCGATCGATTTACCAGAGGGCACCAGTAACGTCTTCATTCATCCCAACCCTAAGATTTTAGCAGCCTCTCCTTACTCATTTTTCCCAAGGCTGCCGTATTGTATAGTATGGGAGATTTAAATGTAGTAATTATTTTAAAGCAAATCTCCAATGCTCTGCCATTTTATTTTTATTTGTTTTTGCTGCTTTCTTGGTTTGTTTTTGGACGACACCACGTGGTGCTCAGGGCTTTCTCCTAGTATGCTTAGGAACCATTTCTGGCAGTGTTGGGGGTTCGATAGGGTGCTATGAATTGGACCTGGGTCCAATGTGTTCAAGGCAAGTGCCCTACCCCCTGTACTATCTTTCCAGCCCCAGCCATTTTTTTTAAATACTAGATGATGTAAATTGAATAGATAAGAACTCTTACTCTAAAGAGAAATGTTAGAAATGGGAATGTGGTTCCGTATTTTGTATAAGGGCTGGAGCAGTAGCATAGCAGGTAAGGCATTTGCATGCAACTGACCTGGGTTCGATTCCTCCGTCCCTCTCAGTTAGCCCGGCAAGCTACCGAGAGTACCCGCCGGCATGTCAGAGCCTGGCAAGCTCCCCGTGGCGTATTCGATATGCCAGAAACAGAAACAAGTCTCACAATGGAGACGTTACTGGTGCCCGCTCGAGCAAATCGGTGAACAATGGGAGGACAGTACTACAGTGCTACAGTTGTGTGTTATTTACATATGTATTTTTCTCTCCTCGTCTCCCCTAAATTCCTTCTCATTTTATAATCTTTGGTGCTTAGTGGTCAAACCTTTTGGTTTATATAGCAGTCTACACATAGTACATTCTTAGGTATTTACTAAGATTAAAAAAGATTAAAAAAGAAGTATCTGATTTTATTAGCAAATGTGACTTTTTTTTGTTTTGTTTTGTTTTTGGGCCACACTTGGTAATGTTCAGTGGTTACTTCTGTCTCTGTGCTCAGGGGATCATCTGGAATGCTAGGGATAGAACCTGGAATGGTTGCATACACAGCAAGCACCCTACCCACTATACTATCTTTCCAGCCCTAAATATGTGCTTTTTAAACGCAAAGTGGAACTTTTTTTTTTTAACATTAGGATTGAAGACAATGATGGCGAGTTCTTGTTAATAGAAGCTGCTGATTTTCTCCCTAAATGGTTGGACCCTGATAGCAGTGCAAACAGAGTAAGTAGTCCTCAAATTTGGAAGAGTTGCAGAGGGGAAATCAGATTGCTACGTTTTTCGCCTGTATCTCTAGGTGATCAAGTCTTAAAGAAAATGTCTCTTTTTTGTAGGTATTTTTCCACCGGGGAGAGTTGTGCATCATCCCTGCACCAAAGAAAGCTGAAGCAGTCTCCTGGCTTCCCGCTACGACCCCAACAATCCCACAAGCCTTGAGTATAATCTCAGCACACAGAGATCAAATTTTGGCTTCAGAATCTATCCGAGCTGCTGTGAATAGGCGCATCCAGGGGTAAGAGAAAAGCTGCTCCCGTTCTGATGGAGTCTTCAGTTTAGTGCAGCGCGAGTCTTTCCTTGGACATGAATTCCTTCTGCCCAGATTGAAGCATATTTTATTCTTTTTTCACCTTCATGGAAGTGCTCAACACATTCAAATAGATGTTTTTTAAAATCAAGAAATATACCTATATCATACTTTTAAATTCAGTCCCTGTGAGATGCACAGCTACAAAGTTGTTCGTGATTGGGTTTCAGTCATGTAATGTTCCAACCCTGTCCCTTCCCCGTTGTACATTTCCCACCAACAATGTCCCCAGTTTCCCTCCTAACACCACCCTCGTCTATGGCAGGCACTTTCCTTCTTTATAGAAATAGATCTATATTGTAATTCCCACCCCAAAGTGTTATAGTTCCATTCCAGCCATTTTTTCTTCATTAATTTTATTTTTATAAAGTTGTTCACAATAATTTATTACATTCAATATTCCAACACCTATCCCATCACCATTGCACCTTCCCACCACCACCATTATTTCGAATTTCCCCCCACCACCCAAACCTGGCCCAGAAGCAGGTCCTAAATATTTTTTTTTGTATTGCTTGTTATAAATAATCCGCTAAAAAAGATCCAGAAATGTACCCTTTAAGGAAAGCGAAATTTGTTATATCTCACCCTGTATCTATTAAGCCCTTGTATAAGAGATTATGTTGTTACAGGTTGATCCTTGTGTGTGTGTGTGTGTGTGTGTGTGTGTGTGTGTGTGTGTATATATATGGTTTTTTTTTTAATTGAGATTGGTTGCCTTCTACTTTACACCCCATCAAATGTGGTGTGCTACTCTTGGTACATCTGTGGGGTAGAGTGTGAGATGTTGTACTCCTGGAATGTGGCCCCAAGCTCCAGGAATTCTAAAATTTTAAATAGGATGATTGAACCAATTTTTAACTGGATGGTGACTTTGGGATCTGGAGGCATCTCTGCGGTGTGTTGATCTCTTCCAAGATTTATGTGTGAGTCTCTGGATCATGGGCATGAATGAGCTTATGGCACCAGAGGCAGTCTGTGGGTGTGTTTGCCAGGCTACCAGAAGGGAGATGGGGGAGGTCGCCTGTCCCAGACTCCATGAGAGTCTGAAGACTTCGGTCACAAACCTGCATACCTGAGTTTTTCAAAAAATTCGTCCTCATGGATGGGGCTCTTCTGGGCCTGTGGAGATTGGCCATGAGCATGGCAATGATTGGGTTTTGGAGGTTTTTGTCTGCCAAGGCTCTGTTGAGGCAGATGGAGGGTCTCACCTGTCCCCCTCCGGGGTGCTTTGGATAAGACTCAGCCTTGTGTGGGGTCTGGAGGCATCTCTCTGTTCCAGTCATTTTTGCATTTATTTATCTCAGCTATTGTGACTAAGATTAAAAATCTTGAGACCAACAACTGTAGCACTGTCCTCCCGTTTATCGATTTGTTCAAGCGGGCCCAGTAATGTCTTCATCATGAGGCTTGTTGTTACTGTGTTTGGCATATCGAATATATCACGGGTAGCTTGCTAGGCTTTGCTGTGCGGGCGAGATACTCTCGGTAGCTTGCTGGGCTTTCCAAGAGGGGTGGAAAAATCGAACTTGGGTCAGTTGTGTGGGCCGCGTGCAAGGCAAACGCCCTACCCACTGTGCTATCGCTCCATCCCAAGCAAAAGAGGGGCAGGGGAGTGGGGGGAACCTTGAGACATTTGGGATAAAACATAAGAGCCCAGTATACTTAGGTAATTTCTGTAGTTCTGGGGCTGTGTAGCGGGTTTTCTGACCTATTTGAACATTTAAGTTTGGAAGAGAGGATATTAACTTGATTTTGTTGTTTTTAGGCCACACCTGGCCATGCTCAGGGCTTACTGCCTGACCTGCATTCAGGGGTCACTCTTGGCTCCACACTCAGGACCATATGGGATTCTGGGAATTGAATTTGGTCAGTTATGTGCAAGGCAAGCGCCCTACCTGGTGAACTGTTTCTCTGGCCCTGGAGAGTTAGCTTTTATAACGTTTTAGTTTACCCATTCAAATTTGATTAATGTTCAGTACTAGAAGTCTTCATTTCATTTCATTTCATTTTCATCATCCTGTTATTCGTCGATTGCCTCGAGCAGGCCCCAGTAACGTCTCCTTCATCCTAGCCCTGAGATTATATTCAAGGCTCTTTAGGAGAATGAGACCCATCATTGTTACTGGTATTTGGCATATTTGGTACGCCAAGGGGAGTTTGCCAGACTCTGCCCTGTGGGCAGGCTACATTCGGTAACCTGCCAGTTTGTCCAAAGTAGGAATGAGATAATAAGATGTCATAAAAAGATGTCATAAAAAGAGAAGTCTTAATAATGTTAAAAAAAATCTTGCTTAGCTTTCTTTTCGTGCTGTCTTGTATAATAGATTCTGATTTTAACTTTGTTCTGAAGTGTAGTGGAGTTCTCCTTTTTCTCTTTTTTTGTGGTGCCAGGGTCTCTGCATGTGGGACCTGTACTTTTCCACAAGCCTGTTTTGTTTTTATTGGATCCTTTAGCCCCTTTTCTGTATCTTTCACATCCTGCTTTTCCACTGGTCCTTTGCTGTCATCCTCTGCGTGTGCAGTGTCTTTATTGCCCCCTCACATGCCTCTTGCTTTCTCCGCCTCACTCTTGACCCAAAGACACGCTATAAAAGGGAAGTTAATGGCAGAAGGATTCCAGTTGTTTCCTGTGACAAGATCATGCTGTTTATTGTCCTAGCTACCCAGAGAAGATCCAGGCCTCTCTCCACCGAGCGCACTGCTTCCTTCCCGCTGGCATCGTGGCCATGCTGCAGCGCTGTCCCCGCCTGCTGGCTGCGGGGGTCCAAGCCTTCTATCTCCGTGACCCTGTCGACCTGCGAGCCTGTCGTGTTTTTAAGACCTTCTTGCCTGAAACACGGGTCATGACATCGGTGAGCGCTCTCTCATTCTCTCTCTCTCTCTCTCTCTCTCTCTCTCACACACACACACACACACACACACACTCTTTGTCTCTCCTTCCCTCCCTCTCTCTTTCTCTCTCTCTGTCCCCCCTTCTCTCTTTCTGTCTCCTTCACCACTCTCCCCTCTCGGTTTTAGCTTCCTTCACTGGAAAGGTCATAGAACATTATTTTAATTGTTCACTGGAAAAATGGAACTATTCTGTTTCTTCTTAACTAGTTAATACACAATTTTTTCTCTATTCTTCCATCCTGTGGAGGAAGATTTCAAGGTCTGACTTCTTATTTTACATTTGACCATTTCCTAGCTATCTCTGATCACGGCAAAGCCTGGCAAGCTACCCATGATGTATTTGATATGCCAAAAACAGTAACAAGTGTCACAATATAGACGTTACTGGGCCCACTCGAGCAAATTAATGAACAACGGGAGGACAGTGCAGTGCAATGCAGTGCTTTTATTATTTTTTAATTTAAATTTTATTTTTATGAAGTTGTTCACAATAATTTATTACATTCAGTATTACAGCAGCAATCCCACCACCATTATTTCCAATTTTCTCAACCACCACCCAAGCCTGTCCCCTTAGCAGGTCCTAAATAATTTATTTTATAGTGCTTATTATGAATAATCCACTAACAATGATCAAAAAGGTTTTCTTAGAAGAAAGTGTGTAAAGATTGTTTGATCTCACCTTGGAGCCATTAAGCCATTGTATAAGAGGTTACAAACATGTTGTTATAGATTGAGCTTTGTGTGCCAATATATATTTATATTTTTTGATCAAGGTCAGTTGCCTTGTACTTTACACGCCATCCAATGTGGTGGTGGTGTGCTACTCCTGGTACATCAGTGGGGAAGAGTATGAGATGTTTCGTGCCTGCGAATGCGGCCACGTGTTCCAGGAACTCTGAAATTTTAAATAGAGTGATACAGCTGAAGTTAATTTTATTTTTTTTGCCTTTTGGGTCATACCCGGCGACGTACAGGGGTCACTCCTGGCTCTGCACTCAGGAATTATCCCTGGCGGTGTTCAGGGGACCATATGAGATGCTGGGAATTGCACCTGGTTCAGTTGCATGCAAGGCAAACGCCCTACCTGCTGTGCTATCACTCCAGCCCCTAGAGTTAATTATTTTAACTGGATGGTGACTTTGGGGTCTGGAGGCATCTCTGCAGCTTTTTGATCTCTTCTGAGATTTATTTGTGAGTCTCTGGATCATGGCCATTGATGAATTATGGTTCCAGAGAGGCTTGTCCTTTTTAAACCTTCCCTTGTTTTCTTTCATATTTTAGGCTCTGTAATGTACAGTCTTGTTAGTGGTAGGATTTCTTGCATGCCATGTTCCAGCACCACACTCTGCGCCAGAATCTGCATTCCTCCACCACTGTCTTGGGTTCTGCCATCAAGTCCCCCTTCTTTAGAGTGTGTTGCTGGGGGTCTAACCCTGGCCTCAGACATGCCAAGCATGTACACTGTGTCTCGGCCTCAGTTACTTCCTTACTGTTAAAATATTTCACTTCTGGCCAGAGCAGGTACAGCGGGTAGGACACTTGCCCTGCATGTGGCTGACCGCCAGGCTCAGCCCCCAGAACCCCATATGGTTCCGTGATCCCTGAGTGCAAAGCCAGGAGTAAGCTCTGAACACCGCTGGACTGCTGGGTATGACCCCCACAAACATTGTTTTCACTTTTTCCAAAGGATTAATAATAACTCTATGGAACCAGAGAGATAGTACAGTTTAAGGTGTGTGCCTTGCATACAACCAACCTGGTTTCAATAGCCATCTCCCCATATGGTCCCCGAGCACTGCCAGGAGTGATCCCTGAGCACAGAGCCAAGAGTAAGCTCTGCGTACAGCCAGGTGTGTCCCAAAATGAAAATCACTCTATATGTTCTCTCTATAATAGTGAATATTGCCCGTCTTAACTAATGATAAGAATTCTGGAAGCACTAAGGCGAATGTTTATGGTTATGCACTTACGCATGTATAAGACATAAGCAGTGTATACATTGTCTCTTCTTTGCATCTCATATGAAGACGATGCTCACAAGTGGAGTGACTTGTTTAAGATGACAGTGTTTTCTTGTCCCAACTCCTAGGTTACTTTCACCAAATGTCTGTATGCACAGTTAGTGCAGCAGAGGTTTGTGCCGGACCGGAGGAGTGGATACCAGCTGCCGCCTCCCTCGCATCCCCAGTATCGGGCCCATGAACTGGGCATGAAGTTGGTAATGTGGAACCAGAACATTTTCTTTTCATTGTTTAATGTGAAAAGGCTCTTAGTAGAACAATACCACAATATATAACGTCTAGAAATAATGCTTTGTTTATGTGAGAATGTGACCACTCAAATAAGAAAACAGCTTTCAGAAAATTATGATTGAATAGGTGTGAAGCTATCTAAAAAATTCAAGTTAACTCCTTCCTACTGCAACCAAAGTTAATTCCAGGTAGGCTAGATATTTAAATGAAGACACTAAAGCTCTAAAAATTGAAAGGGGTTGGGGCAAGAGGTAGGGATGGAGGGGTGGTGGCCAGAGAAAGCTCAAGTGTCTCTGGCTCAACCAGCTTTGATCCCCAGCAACCCATATGGTCTTCTGATCCCTGCCAGGAGTGACCCTTGAGCACAGGGCCAGGAGTAAGCCTTAAGTACCACCTGGTGTGACCCCAAAGCAAGATAAATTTTGGGGGTGGAGAGATAGTACAGTGGGTAGGATACTTGTTTTACACACAGTCTACCCAGATTTGATCCCCAGCACCCCATGTGGTTCTTTAATCCTGTCCCCCTCGGAGAGCCTGGCAAGCTACCGAGAGTATCCCACCCACACAGCAAAGCCTGGCAAGCTCCCTGTCGCATATTTGATATGCCAAAAACAGTAACAACAAATCTCACAATGGAGACGTTACTAGTGCCTGCTCGAGCAAATCGATGAACAATGGGAGGACAGTGCTACAGTGCTGTAGTGAGATAGTACAGTGGGTAAGGCATGTGCCTTGCACATGGCCAACCCAGATTTGATCCTCATAACCATACAAGATCCCCCCCATAAGATCTGCCAAGTGTGATCTTTGAGGAGTCAACCCTCAGTACAGACACCCAAAAGAAATAAAACCAGAAATTTCTTGCCATAGACTATGGTTAGAGTAAAGGGAGGAATCACTTCAAGAATGTAGTAGGTGATACAGGCCATAACCATGCTGCTGGGCCCGGTGCCAAGCTATTTTACTTAGGGCATTGGGGGGGGGGGGCAGATGAGGCCCCTCCCCACCTCAAGGGACCCCACCCTGGCTGCCAGAAACCTCCAGAACTCAACAGCCACCATGCTCACAACTGCTCTCCACACGCTCAGGCTGAGCCTCACCCAGGAGAGAACGTATTCCTGGACCACGTGGCAACATCTCATACCTCACACCACCCATATTCCAAGAATACTGCACCACATTTGATGGGGTTTAAAGTAGGAGACTACCAATCTTAGAGAGAATACTTTTTTATTACACACACACACACACACACACACACACGCAAACATCACTTGATCACTTGTCACCCTGTTGTTCATCGATTTTACTCGAGCGGGCTCCAGTAATGTCTCCATTCAACCCAGCCCTGAGATTTTAGCAGCCTCTCCTTACTCGTCCTTCCCAACACTGCTGTATTGGAGGTTCTTTCAGGATCAGGGGAATGAGACCTGTTATAGTTACTGTTTCTGGCATATCAAATATGCCACAAGGAGCTTGCCAGGCTCTGCCATGCGGGTGGGATACTCTCGGTAGCTTGCCGGGCTCTCCGAGAGGAACAGAGGACCTCTGAAATAAGGCCAATAAATGAGCTTATATAGCTGAGCCGGAAGTGGTTTGTGGGTGTGTCTCTCACATACCTAACTTTTGGCCATTTAATTAATTGGTAAACTTGGCCCCACGTTGTTTGGGTCTGGCCAAAGGCACAGCAGCAACTTTGGGGTATCTGGAAGTCTGAAGGCACCATCAGGCTGCTGATACACTCGCCCCGCAGGTATAGATTGACCTGCTGGTGGTACCTTACATATATATCTATATCTATATCTATATCTATCTATCTATCTATCTATCTATCTATCTATCTATTTATCTATCTGTGTCAGTTGGTAGAACATCAGACTATCTCACTAGCCTCAAGAAATTTCTAGTTTTATTTTTGTTTTTTTGTTTGTCTTTTGTTTGGGGGCCATACCCAGTGGTTTTCAGGGCATACTCCTGGCTTTGCACTCAGGAATCACTCATGGCGGAGCTCAGGGGATAATAAGGAATGCTGGGGATTGAACCTGGGTTGGCTGTGTACAAGTAAGTACCTTACTTGCTGTACTATCACTCCAATCCTGAAATTTCTAGTTTTTTTTTTTGTTTGTTTATTTTTTGGGGCTGGAGCGATAGCACAGCGGGTAGGGCGTTCGCCTTACAAGCGGCCAACATGGCCGACCCGAGTTCGATTCCTCCGCCCCTCTCGGAGAGCCCGGCAAGCTACCGAGAGTATTCGATATGCCAGACACAGTAACAACAAAGTCTCCAATGGAGACGTTACTGGGCCCGCTCGAGCAAATCGACGATCAACGGGAGGGCCTTTACCTTACCTTTTACCTTTACCTATTTTTTGGGTCACAGGGTCACATCTGGCAATGCTCAGGAGTTAGTCCTGGTTCTGTACTCAGGAGTTACTCCTGGTATTGCTTGGGGGACCATATGGGATGCCAGGGATTGAACCCAGGTCCCCACGTACAAGGTAATGCCCTACCCGCTGTACTATTTCTCCGGCCCAAAATATCTGGTTAATCAAGAAAAATAACCTCTTAGAAGAGAACAAGATCCTGTTTCATACTTGCTTTTTTTTAAATATACATATATACATAATTTTTAGAACTTGGTGGAGATTTAAAATTTTGTGATTAAAATACTTTTTCATAAAATTCAAGTGGTGTCACCAGTGTACACAGGTCCATGTACTCCTTCACCTGGCTCTTGGGAGTGGCTGTCTGGAGAGATCACCCAATAGTAAAAGCTCTCTTTGTTCCATCTAGGCTCACGGATTTGAGATCTTATGTTCCAAATGTAGCCCACATTTTTCTGGCTCCAAAAAGTCTCATGTGACTACCTCACCACTCTGGAGTGGCTTCCTTGAAAGTCTGAAGAAGAATGATTATTTTAAGGTAAGACTTGTAATGCGTTTTTAAATGGGGGGGGAAAAAATTGGGGCCATATCAGTAGTACAGCTGATAGGGGACTTGCCTTGCATGCGACAGAACCAAGTTCATCCCTGACATTCTGTATGGTGCCTTGAGCCACGACAGGAGTGATCCCTGAGTGCAGAGCAAAGAGAAAATCCTGAACACTGCTGGGTGTGGTCCCCAAACAAACCAACAGTAAACAGGGAGAAAAATGAAGCCAGTGTTTTAAAATCCTATGTATATTCTATGATCAACACAATTATAGATTCAGGTGTTAAAAGGCACTGTGTAGTAATGAGTCTGTAACCTCTTACCAATATTATAGAGAAAGCAATGGCATTTATTTAAAATTAAAAAGTTAAAATTTATACCAGATGAAAATAAGTTGCACAAATCTATAAAGCAAACATGAAAATACCAAATAGAAAAATTAGCCAACACGTGGATTTAAAAAATTGCAGAAAGACTTGTTGGGTGCCAGAGAGATAGTCCAGGGGTTATGGCAGTTTATTGTACAGAGCTGACCCCAGTCCAGTCCCTGACACTACATGGGCCCCAGGCAGTGCTGGGTGGTTCTGGCCACGCAGGTCCAAGCAACACAGCATCCTTAGCCAGTGCACTGAACACAAGTCTGGATATGATTTGGAATGTGTTCCCAGAGCTGTAGAAAGGTTTGGAATTGGAAACATCAAGTTGAATCATCATTTTTAAGGAAACACCCAAGAAGTGAAAAAGTTTATAGCCATATGCTGATTTGAGATTTAGAAAGATGGTACAGTGAGCAGAGCACTTGCGTTACCTATGGCCAACCTGGGTTTTAGCCCTGGCACCCAGCACAGCACAACCAGCAGTGATCCCTGAGCACAGAGCCAAGAGTAAACTCTGAGCACCACCAGGAGTAGCCCCAAAACAAAACAAAACAAAAATGCTGATTTTTAGAATCAGGGATGTGACTCAGTTAAAGTACATGCCTTAACATATGTGAGATCCTGGGTTTGATCCTAGCACTGGGGTGAGGGTGGGGGGAGAATGCTGATTATAAAAATTCTATAGCAAAATGGAAAATTACCTGTTTATAGTATGGCTGACCTTGAAGAATGTATGAGCTCACCCAGGACTAACCCCTGTGCAGTCAGAAATCTGCTGATAACTTTTGGCTCTCCAAAAACGTTACCTCTGCATTGGGGAGACTGCTCAAGGGCCAGAGATGATGCTTTGCATGCCAGAGCTTCTGGTTTTATCCCCTTTTTATACTTTGTTTTAAAAGTGAATTACAAATTATTTATTTTTAATAACTAACAGAAAATGGTAAGTGTTTTTCTGATTTGAAAAGAGATCCATAATGTTAAAAAAAAAGATTAAGAATCACGGCTCTTGTTTATTTGAAGATTTGAAGCTCAAACAAGAATATTGAGGCATGAGAGATAGGTCACAAAGCATATTTGCATAACCTGGAGGGCTCAGCGGGTTCTTCAAGCATTGCCATGGGTGGTCCCTGAGCACCACGAGGTGTCACCTCCAAATCACAAAAAACAAACAACCCAGGTACATTTATGATAAAACAGGGACTATACAATAAGTATATTGTATCGAATCACATTGCACATGCCATTAAAATTTCTGATGAGCAGGTTGTTTTAAGGACACACTAAATGGTATTTAAAATAATGTTTCAATTGTCTTTTTTTTTTTTAAAGGGATTGATAGAAGGTTCTGCTCAGTATCAGGAAAGGCTAGAAATGGCAAAGAACTACTTTCAACTCTCAGTAAATCGGCCAGAAAGGTGAGTTTAATACTACCTAAATATGGCAGCAGAGTGGTGACTTGCCAAAGTTAAGGTGTTTCTTACTGTCGAGGTAGTTACCGAAGTTGGAGATTACATATTTATTTTTTAATTTTTGGGGGGGAAGGTGAGGGTTGGGCACACCCAGCAATCTCAGGGTTTACTCCTGGCTCTGCACTCAGGAATTACTCCTGTTGGTGCTTGGGGGACCATATGGGATTCTGGGGATCGAACCTGGGTTGGTCGTATACCAAGACAGATGCCCTCCCCACTGTATATTGTTCCAACTCCTGGAGTATCATTCTTTTTTTTTTTTTTTTTTTTTTTTTTGCTTTTTTTGGGTCACACCCAGCGATGCTCAGGGGTTACTCCTGGCTCTGCACTCAGGAATTACTCCTGGCGGTGCTCAGGGGACCATATGGGATGCTGGGAGTCGAACCCAAGTCAGCTGCATGCAAGGCAAACTCCCTACCCTCTGTGCTATTGCTCCAGCCCCCTGAGCCCCCTGGAGTATCATTCTTATTATTGCCTGTTTGCAGCTAAGAAGCTGAGGACAAGAAAGATGAAGAAGTAATTTTCTCAATGTCACACAGCTAAAAAGCAACAACGCTAGCATTTGAATTCCGGCAGCCTAACACTGAGCCGTATATTGTGTTCCTGCAAGGAGCTCTTGGCTACGTATAGCTATTTTTTGCTGGATCAAAAACATAGGATAAAGTAGGCATTCTAGTTTCTAAATCAGATCTCATTCTAACCTGCCCTACATTATGAGGGGCTGGAAGGAAATTCTGAAAGTTGAGTTTCAGAAAGTCCTGGTACTAGTGGAGTAACACGTTAGACAGACCTCCTGAATATTACAATTGTCAACTCTGGACAAAATATAAGTAACAATTATTTGAAGACACTGCAGAGTAACAAAAATAGACACAAATTGAAGTATATGATGCTTCAAACCAGAAAACTGCAGTGGGTGAGGTCCATGTTTATCTGACCTAACCTGAGGATTCTTCTACTCAGTATGGTAGAGAAGAACAGAGCTCAGTCAGAGGGTCTTAGTGGACTGAGGTTAAAATTTGAATATTGGAAAAAATTCCACTTATGTTTGCAACATTGAATTTGAGACACTTAGAGCTATTAAATATTAAGGGCTGGAGCGATAGCACAGTGGGTAGGCCGTTTGCCTTACATGCGGCTGACCTGGGTTCGATTCCTCCATCCCTCTCGGAGAGCCCGGCAAGCTACCAAGGGTATCCTGCCCGCATGACAGCCTAGCAAGCTCCCCACAGCGTATTCAATATGCCAAAAACAGAAACAAGTCTCACAATGGGGATGTTACTGGTTCCAGCTCGAGCAAATCGATGAACAGCGGGAGGACAGTGCTACAGTATGGTGGTAGAGCTATTAAATAACAGGAAAGGAATATATATATGAATTAAAAATTTCCAAATTGTGCAAGTGTTTCTTTTTTGTAGTTTTTTTCTTTATTTCTTTTTTTTTAATTTTTAATTTTTATTGATTGAAGTGTGATCTGGATTTGAAGCCCAGTAATTTTGGCAGCATTGTGGACTGGGTCTTGAAGTCCATGTGAAATAAAATCGTTGTTCCTAGGATGCTTTCCCAAGGTGTAACGAGGGATGGTGATGGCTGTGCAGCAGGCTGTTCTCTCTCAGATATTTACCCATTCCCACCTGGGAGTCATTGGTAGAAACCAGATGTGTTTTTATTTATTATTTTTAAATGTTTACAATCCCTTTTGTGCTTAACAATAATTGAATGTCTCGGCCAGGTTCAGGTAACTGAAGAGCCTTTATAAGTAGTTTATATTGTCTTGACCCAAGATAGACTGTAAACATAGTCTGAAGCAACATGGGAAATAGCATCTTTCTAGAGTCAGGCTTGAAAGTTCCAATGCAGTAAGTTAGGATGTTTCCTTTCTCAGGTAGCGGGGTTGAGCTAACTTGGGCTGCCAGGACGCCATTCACAGGAATAGCCAAGAAAACAGGGCACAGACTACCTGAAATAAAACCCACCAGTCCTCCCCGTATCACGGTACAGGTTTCAGAGTTCAAGTCACCTGTATTCAAAGGTAAATTTATAAAACCTTTGTAAGGCACCTTTGCTGTGAAAGTGGGATCACTGCCGTTGTTGAGCCAAGCTAAACGCCCGCATGTCATGAAGATGTGTCGGAAGTCACTAGTTGCTCTTAGGCTACTGAGAGCGGCGTTAATCCAGCGTGTGTGGATCCAGGTTCAAGTAGTTTCTGCTTCTGGAAGTTGGTTGGAACTTTTCTGGTCATGCTATTAAAAATCAAGTTTTCCCTGGCGGTGTTCTCTGGTTCATGGTGTCCCATCCTGAGCCCCTCCGGGAGTCACTGCTTTCCCTGCTTTTCTGCTCCCCACAGCGGCTCCCACCGGCTCGTCCAGCTCACCTGCTTGCAGTCAGCTTGGCTCCCAGGGTGTCTTCCTAGGGTATCAAGAAAACATGGAAGGAAAGGAAAGTGGGAAGGTGGCCCCAAAGTTAAGGTTATCTTTTTTTATTTTTTGTCTTTGGTCTACATCAGCAGTGCTCAGGGTTTACTCCTGGCTCTGTGCTCAGGGATCACTCCTGGCGGTGCTGGGGGACCATCTGGGATGCTGGGGATCAAACCAGCATCGGCCGGATGCAAGGCAAGCGCCTTACCTGTGTACTATTGCTCCAGCCCCAAGTTAGGGTCATCAGTAATGAATCTACCTCCCCCCAGAGTGCCTGTCCTCTTACTCTCTTGGATCAGATTTAGTTCAAGAATTGCAGTAGCAAGATGCAGGGAGTGGGCTCAGAAGGGTGCGGCCAGTGGTGCACATGGTGTGCAAACATTGTCCTAAAACATTGACACTCGTGTAGTGTTTCCTTAGTAGGAACAAATGAGACCAACTAAACCTCAGCACCAACAGGTATGGTCTGAAAGAAAAAGAAATGAGACTCATACGTAGGAGAGTCCAAACCCCTCCTTCAAAATAAAATGCTAGTTATTTCTCTCTTTTTGCATGCTTGCCCTTTCCCCTTCCCTCCCCTCTCCTCGCCTCTCATTTCCTCTCTTTGCCTCGCCTCACCTCTCCTCTCCTCTACTCTTCCACTCCTCCCCATCCCCTCTCCTCTCCTCCCCTCTCTCTCCTCGCTATACTCAGGGGTTACTCCTAACTCTGCACTCAGGAATTACTCTTGACTGCTTGGGGGACCATGTGGGATGCCAGGGATCAAACCGGGGTTGGCTGTGTGCAAGGCAAAAGCCCTACCCACTGCACTATTGTTCTGGCCCGATTGAACTCTTTTCTGATAATAACATTTGTTCTTATTTCTAAAACACACTCATTTATTATAGCAAATAAAAAAGACATAAGAAGGAAAATAGCAAAGAGTCAACCACTCATTATTTTGATCTACTGATTCCACCTCCCCAGACCCATCCAATTCCTAATAGCAAGAACTCTGTAGAAGTTTATTTTCTGTAGTTTTTGTTTTGTTTGTTTTTGATTCCCTCCCAATGGTGTTCAGGAACTACTCCTGACTCACTAGGAGTTGCTCCCATAAGTGTCTTAGAGTCCATACAGTAAGAACTCAGACCCCAGCATCCTGTGTGCAGAGGATATGCTGCTGTCTCGGCTTCAACTGACTGTGATTTTTACTGATGATGATCATATAGTTTCCCATGATATTACAAATCTAAATGAATAGATTTCAAAAACACAATGCTGATTTTTTAAGCACCTTCTAGATATGTACAATATGAATACTACACATATGAAGTTAAAAGATACAGGTAATGGGGACAGAGTGATAGTACAGCAGGTAGGGCGCTTGCCATGCACATGGCTGACCTGGGCAACCTGCCTTTGATCCCCAGCATCCCAGGCGTCCCTGAGTCTGCCGGGCATGATCCCTTAACACTGCCAGGTGTGGCCAAAAACTAAAACAAAAACCACAATGAGTATATTATAGACAGAGAGTGTATTCTCTCAACAAATATGTATACTATCTCTTAATGTGTCAGGTCAGTTTCAGGCCCTGGAAAATAATAAGTAAATCCAGTCTCCCCAACTATTGAATTACATAAGTTTTTTAGCTTTTTGATATTTCAGAGTTCCTGGTAACATTTTATTTGAGACCAAGGGTCTATAATACATGTTTAAGACCAAATTAGACCATGTAATCTCTGCCAACTTTAAAATAGTATTTCTGGAACTGGAGCTATAGTATAGTGGGTAGGGCGTTTGCCTTGCATGCGGCTAACCCGGGTTCGATTCCCAGCATCCCATATGGTCCCTTGAGCACAGCCAGGAGTAATTTCTGAGTGCAGAGCCAGGAGTAATCCCTGTGCATCACCAGGTATGACCCAAAAAGCAAAAAAATAAATAGTATTTTTTTTGTGATGAATACGCCGAACTTATAAAAATATTCATATCTTCTCTTTTTTATAGTTCTTTTGCCATGAGCCCAGGTGAAGAAATCTTAACCTTTCTACAGAAAACTCCATATGATCTAGAAGAACTTAAGAAAGAAGCAGTTCATCTGCCCCCAGAAGATGGTAAGTTACGGTCCAGGAGAGAGCAGGAGGGTCAGAAGGAAGGGTCAGAGCATTTCGTGTAAGTTTGACCAGGTCCTTCTCAGAGACAGTTCTGTGAGTACTGTAGAGAAGGAGCTCATGTGCTTATTTTTCAGATGACCAATGGTTAGATCTCACACCTGATCAGCTCGACCAACTCCTGGAGGAGGCAGCTGGCAAAAAAGAGTCAGAGCCAGTTTCTGAGGGGACAGAGCACAGCTATGACCTGACCCGCGTCTCCAAGAGTATGAAAGCTTTCATATCCAAAGTATCTACCCACAAAGGAGCAGAGCTGCCTGGGTAATTTGTGTTTAAGTATATAAAGTTATCAATAACCCTGATGCCATCCAGTCACGGCTGCTTCACTTTTGTTTTGATTTTTTTGCTTTTTGTAGCCATTGGCTACACCCAATGGCGCTCAGGGCTTATTTCCGGCCTTATGCTCAGGGTTCACACCTGGCTCAGGGGACCATTTGTAGTGTCAGGCACCAAGAAAAAATAAATAAATAAAAGGCTTCATGCAACGCAGGAGCCTTATTTACTGTCTGATCTCTTTGGTCCAGCCACTTGTTTCTGGGTCTCACCTGGTGGTACTCAGGCGTTACTCCTGCCTCTGCACTCAGGAATCATTCCTGGCAGGCTCAGGGGACCGGAGGGGGTGCCAGGCATTGAACCTGAGTTGGCCGCATGCAAGCAGGCACCTTACCTGCTGTGTTGTTGCTCCCCCCCCAGCATCTTTCAGTTCCATTTCATCAGTCTTTCCTATTTCTGTTGCCCTGCAAGAAAGCAAGAGGATTCTTTAAAATCCAAGCTAGTTACCTTGCTTTACCTCTAATATTTTTTAGGTCCTCCCTGGTGGTGGTGGGCCGGAGGGTAGGCCGGCCTGCTGGAGGCCCTGCTGTGTCAGGGCGTGACCCCCTAACCAGCCCAGCCCTCATGTTTCTGTCAGCTCCTCTTTTGAGGTGCTGTTTTTTTGTCGTCGTTGTTTTTATCTTTGGTTAGTGTTCTTCAGCTCTTTAGAAAACGCTTGAAGAGTAATGATAAGAGAACTTGACTTGCATCTCTTTTATCTTGCAGAGAACCCTCTGAGGCTCCAATCACTTTTGATGAAATTTCTTTTCTTAATTACTTTGATAAGATTTTAGGTGAGTCACCATGGGATGTTTATTTTCATTCTGAAACTGTAAGAAGGGGCTGAGTGATAGCACAGCGGGGAGGGCGTTTGCCTTGAAACTGTAAGAATAAGGGCTGCTGTGGGCAGGGTATTTGAACATTAGTTCTCTTGGTAGTCCAAATATTTGCTTTCCTTCATGGTTTTGAATTGCTTTCAGCCGTGCCTTCTGCCCTCTTGAACGATTTTGCAGAGGATGCCTGCGTGTCTCGCTCCCTGCCTGCCGTCACAGTTGCGCATTTATATTTTTTGCTGACTAAGGAGTCCAGTGTGTAGTTAGCATTATGCCTTCTCCTTCACATTTATTCCCCTTTTTATACTAATTGCACTTACCCACTGGCGGTATTTTAAACTGTTTTTAGTAAGCAAGTAAATACAAAGTAAGTATCAGAATTTCCCTTTTTGTTTTGTTTTGTTTTGGGGGCCAAACTGGTGGTGCTCTGGGCTTCTCTCTTTCTGCACTCAACAGTTACTTCTGGCGATGCTCAGGGGACCATATGGGATGCGGAGATCAAACATGGGTTGGCCACATGCAAATGCCCTACCTGCTATACTATCACTCTTGCCCCTGTTTTGTTTTCTTAAGTACAAAGTAGTTTTTGAATGAAAAAGTACATGTGTGTGGCGGTTGGGGGGTGTTGGTGGGGGGCTCAAGCAGTGCTCAAGAAGCTGGGGGCCACTCCTGGTAACTCCTAGCTCATCAGACCAGGTACTCAAATGCAGGTCAGGTGCCTTAATCCCCGTACTCTCTCCAGCCCCATAATTCACTTTAAAAAAAATAATAATGGCTGAATTGGTCAGAGAGATAGTACCACAGGTAAGGTGCTTGCCTGGGACCTGGATTCATTCCCCCAAGCCCTGCCAGGAGTGATCCCTAAGCCCAGACCAGGAGTGCCTCTTGAGCACTGCCAGTTCTTACCCCAAACCCATAACAAAAATATTAGAATCTTGGGCTGGAGAGGTAGATAGTGGCAAAGGTACATGCCTTGCACACAGACAACCCTGGTTTAATCCCCATTACCACATATGGTCCCCAGAGTACTTCCAGAAGTGATCTCTTGAGCACAGAGCCAGGAGAAAACCCTGAGCTGGGTTTGACCATCCTCCCCTCCCCACCCCACAGCTCCACAGAAAGCAAAAACGCTGAATCTCCTAGCTCAGCATGTGCCAATAACTGTAGTAATGCCTTTTCCTGGAAAGAAGTTTTGTGAAGTAGTTTGCCTACGTATGTTGGTCCTTTCCTGCAGAGGACAATCTTCGTTCTTTTGAGACATTCTCTGTCATTAAAAAACTAACCACGTGGCTCTTTCTGTCCTGGGATCTGTGTAGGATCAAGACCTCATGAGTCAGATTCAGATGATCTGGACGAGGAAGACTTTGAATGTTCAGATAGTGATGATGACGAGGATCTGGAAACACAGGAGCTTGGAGAGGAAATGTCTGTAAAAGGAACTCTTGATAACCTCAAGTCATACATGGCCCATATGGACCGTGAACTGGCACATACCAGCATCGGCAAAAGTTTCACCACCCAGAGGCAAATGGTATATCTGTGTTTAAACTTCTTTCCTTCCTGGGTTTAATGCAAGAGGTGGCTAAAAAAAAAAAAAAAATCGCTTTATTTTAGCTTTTTTTTTTTTTAAATGTGTATTTTGGGTATAAGTTTGAAATAATGCCATTTTCCCCCACCACCCAACTCTGGTAGGGGAAAGGATTAATTTTATTTTCCTACTTTATGTTTAATTACATTCTATTACTTAGCCTATTATGTTATCTATTACTATTTGCAATAAGAAATGTGATGTGAAAAAAAAAAAAAGAAATGTAATGTGGGGGCTGGAGAGATAGTGCAGTGGGTAGGACTCTTGCCTTGCATGTGGCTGACCTGGGTTCAATCCCTGACATACCATATGTTCCCCCAAGACTACCTGAGCACCACCAGGTGTAGCCCAAAGATAATAAAACAAAAGAGATTTTGTGATGTGTTCAAATTAGTATATTGTTGCATAGTACTAATAACAAATTTGATTTTTAAAAAAAAAAATCTTAAATATCCCAATAATTTTTATGGCTTTAAAAAAAAATTGGGGGGCGGGGTTCACATCTGATGCTGAGGGTTTACTCCTGGCTGTGCACTCAGAATTACTCCTGGTAGTGATTCTGGGCCCTTATGGGATGCCAGGAATTGAACCCAGTTAATGGACATACCAATTGACCCAGGTTATACAGACACCCTACCCATTGTACTATTGCTCTGGCCCTAGAATATCATTCTCATTATTCCCTATTTAATTAAGGATTATTTTTCTAATTTAGAACCACATTTAGAATTCATCATTCACTCATGTTTTAATCCTACTCTTATACCAGCACTGCCTAACCCTAGACAAAGACTTTGGAAAGAGAATGGACTCTGGAGTCTAATGGATTAGTGTTTGAAATCCAACTCAGCTGTTTGCTGTGATGTATCCATTAACCAGTTCACACGTCATAGAATTAATATAAGAAACAAATGAGTAATACATTAATTAATGTTATCCCCCTTACTTTGATCATCTAAATGAGAAGTTCTCAAACTTTACATTTTGGGGCCACACCTGGCAGTACTCAGGATTTACTCTTGGCTCTGCACTTAGGAATTACTCCTGGCGGTGCTCAGGAGACCACATGGGATGCCAGGGATTGAACCCGGGTTGGCCAACTGCAAGACAAATGCCCTATTTGCTGAATAGTCGCTTCAGCCCTGGTTCCTAAACGTTTTGACCTACTGCCAATTTTTCAAAAAGTAATTACTCAGCGCCTGCTCCCCCCCCACCCCAGAAATCTGCCTTCTTTAAGCAGATAAATAGAAAAACGTCCCCCAGTTGTACCTGAGGCTGTTACCACCCCACTGGATCATTCCAGTGCTCCCGCTGGGAACTGTGTCACCCACTTTGATTCAGATTGACCCAAGCCATATTTAAAACCATTTCCAGAAATAGTCTAGAGGTTAATGTGCTCACTGTGCCTGTGGCCCCCTCTAGTTCAATCCCCTTCACTGCATATGTACCACCCAAGTACAACCAAGAGCACAGAGTCAGGAGTAATCCGTGAGCACCCCCCATTGTGGCCCCCAAATCAAATCAAATTAAGCCTGGTGGGGAACCATACTTTTAATAACAAAGATATAAAGATCTGTAGATCAAGATTAAGAAATACAGTATTTCTTTTGAGAAAAAAAAAGTTTTTTTTCATTGTTAATGTTTCGTTTCTTTCAGAACTTTTAGGCGAACTATACAAGTACCTCCTTAGCCCTGGTTATCTCCCTTAGGCTACTTCAAAATGTAGAAGAAATCAATGTATAGAACTTTCCTTAGAAAAAGAATGTTAACATATTGAAAGCCTAAAAAACAAAAAAAGATACTGAAAGCCTTGTTTTTGTTTTTTTTTTTTTTGCTTTTGGGGTCACTCCCAAAAGCGATGCACAGGGGTTACTCCTGACTCATACACTCAGGAATTACTCCTAACCGTGCTCGGGGGACCATATGGGATGCTGGGAATCGAACCGGGATCGGCCGTGTGGAAGGCAAACACCCTACCTGCTGTGCTATTGCTCCAGCCCCAGCCATTTTTTTAAAAAAACAAGCTTATTTTTATTTATTTATTGGCTTTGAAGGCACACTCAGCGGTGCTTGGGAGTTTCTCCTGTCATTGCATTCAGGAATTACTCCTGGTGATGTACAGGGAACCATATGAGGTGCCAGGCATCAAACCCGGGTCAGCAGTGTGCAAGGCCAATGTCCTACCCACTGTACTGTCGCTCCAGCCACTTAAAAGCCATGTTTTAATATGCATGTTGTTACATTGATTGGAATTCTATCTCACTTTTTATTACAAACGATAAGAAGGTTCCTTTCTAGGCACCAGAGAGATAGCCCTGGGCCTAAGGCACTTGCCGTGCTTGATTCCTGGTTCCACATACGGTTCCCTGAGCACAGAGCCAGGAGTAAGCCCTGACAACTGCCAGGGGGAGCCCAAAAACAACAACAAAAGCTTTCTAATTGGGAATTCAGTATCCCATTGTTTAGTTCTATGTTGTAAACTGCTGTCCAAACAAATTGTGTAGCATCTCATTATATTCTTTTCTTTCCTGTATCCCAGACTACCAACGCCGAGGAAGAAGATTCCAGTCCAGGAGCGTCTCTTATGACACCAGCAGACATAGACCTCAATCTGGTTTCAAATATATTGGAATCCTACAGTTCCCAGGCTGGCCTGGCAGGACCTGCTTCCAACCTTTTCCAAAGCATGGGCGTGCAGCTGCCAGACAGCGCCGACCCTGGAGCCGGCTCTCCAGCCCAGGGGAGACCGCTCTCTTCCTGACTGTGCGTTCGCTCTGACCATGCTTCCTTCATCATTCACTCATTAAACCTGTTTCAGTACAAGTCTCACAGATTGACTTTTCCTTCACGGTCCCCACATTACTTTCTTTTTTCTTTTTGTTTCTGGGCCACTCTTGGCTGTGCTCAGGAATTATTCCTGGCAGGGCTCAGGGACCACATGTGAACCCAGGTCTGCCACTTGTAAGGTAGGCTCCCTACCTAGTCCTCTGGCCCTGCACGTCACTCTTTGTACACAAGTCTTGTCCTCAGCTTTGGCCTGCACACAAGACTTTAAAGTCAGCAAAAGAGCGTCCATCCCTGAAATATCCCAAGATGAGATTTACACACTCGATGTGCAGAACACTGTTACCTTGATTGAGGAGCTGACAGGTAAAAATAAGCAATGAATAGAGCTGTTTCATTTCAGCAGCAGCGTCACTGGCCCTGTGCCAGACTCACGCTGGTAGAGTGAGAAATAGATTTGTTTTGAACCTTTTGCTTGTTTTCATTTTTCTGCTGCGTTGACTCAATGTGCTCTTTTCATATTTAGCACCTTCATAAATCATCGCCACATAAATATTCTCCCTCCAGGTAAGGTACAAGGTCTATATTGATCTGCCATTCTCAGCCCCCAAGCCCACCCTCTTGTCGCAGCTCCCAGACACCCTTGGAGTTCTAAGAAGCCACTAATGCCCTTTTCCCACTCACTGCCAGGAACCAAAGTTCAAATGTTGGAGCTCCTCCTGTTTGCCGCTCTCTTCTTTTCTTTTCCAAAACTACACAGTAATCAAAAAGCAAACAGTTACTCCACGGTTCGTTTGAGACCCGCAAACTCCCCTTTTTCTCATAGTTTCAGATCAGGGATGTGTCCACACGTGCTCACAGACACTCCCGCTGAGGGGAGAGACCGTGGGCACATGGCCCGGCATTCTCCTTGCTGCAGCCTCAGAGCCCCCAGAGTGCTTTCTCCTTCTCCATGCTGGGGTCATGTCGGGTCAGAGCAAGCTGCCCGTCTCAGGACTACCCAGCCTCCTCACATACTGTCTCGTAATATTTCCGGAGGGATTTTCCATAGAGCACGGATGGTCTGTTGGTAATGGTGAAAACAGTGACCTTTGCGGGGATCCAAAGGAAATTCAGTACTTCAGCTTTTCTGGTTCTAGATCTCTTATTGAAGACTCTGGCACTTGTGTCTTTAATCACTAATGAGTGCCAAGAACCATCTGAAATGATGACTTCTCACAATATTCCCCTTTGCAGTCAAGCTCCATTTCTTCTACCTGTTGCTTCAGTCCTTCCACAGACTTGGAACCTGGACATAAATGTCTGTCACACGAATAAAGATTCCCACTCCCTTCCGTGCCCCCCTTTTCGTTTTTTGCAATCTTCTTATTTTCTTTGGAAAACACAAGAAAACACATCTGAACCAAGTGATCAAATTTTACTTTATTTCTTCCAGATAGAGTGTCTCCTCTCTGACATGGCACATATAAATAATGAATGGCACATAGAAAGCCTAGCTTTAGATTATCCCATAAACCTCAAGAAAGGGTTTCATCTTCACAATCCCTTAGCTGGTCACAACACTTGAGTGTGCAAATGGCAGCAACTGTTACACATGTAGGAAAACTGGCAGTTTTTTCTCTGGATCACAAAATCAACAAGATGCATAAAAAAGGAGCAGTGGGAGATGCAACCACCTTGGCAGACCACTGCACCTTACTTTAACACTTGTCTGGGGGCTGGAGTGATAGCACAGCGGGTAGAGCATTTGCCTTGCGCATGGCCAACCCAGGTTCGATTTCCAGCATCTCATATGGTCCACTGAGCACTGCCAGGAGTAACTCCTGGGTGCAGAGCCAGGAGTAACCCCTGTGCATTGCCAGGTGTGACCCCAAAAAAGAAAGAAAAAAATATACTCGTCTGAAGAAGATTTTCGTCATCCCTTCAAATGACTCAGAGATCTGTCTTATGTAACTGCCTGGTACCTGAGTGTTGAATTTTTAATGTGAAGTGCTATTTTTAAATTCTGTGACAAGAAAAAGTTACTCGGTAATGGGTTGCAATCTGCTGTATATTCTTATTACTAAGGTTTTATATATATAATATAGTCAGAATCCTACTGGGTACAAGTGTACACCCACCATCAATGAGTCACGTATCAGAAAGATTCGAAGGCCCTAGGAGAGAGTGGGTAACAAGGGCCATATTTATATCCAAGGAATGATTCAGGCTTTCCTCTGATTGTGACAACTGTCATCTCTGCAACTTTGCAGGGCATTGTGATTGCCTGATGGGAACTTCTTCCATGACCCTGGAAGTGGTGTCTCAACTTCACTTGCTCTGCCTTGGAGGAGTCTGGTGTAGGATTCGCCCTCCTTGCCTTCACTGGATCAGCTGATCTCACGTGCACCTCTGGGGGGGCGGAGGGAAAGAGGGGAGGGACACTCTTTGATGCTCAGGGGTTGTTCCTGGCTTTGGCTCTGCACTCAGGAATTTTTCCTGGCATTGCTCAGGGGACCATATGGGATGCTGGGGATCGAACTGGGGTCAAGGCAAGCACTCTCCCCACCACACCATGGCTCCGGCCCCTCTCTGGGATATTGAGGCAGAAGCTGTGCAGCTTGATCTGAGCTTAAGCAGGCAAGCACACTGTATTTTCCACCCACTCCTTAATCAAATGGTGGGCAATGGCTAACTTGGGGGGCAGCCAGAATGGTAACCCCCGACTCTGTTGCTGAGCAGTTCGGTTGTTTCTCCTCAGAGCTGCAGCCACTTCTTCGTGACTGAACCAGGCAGCTGCCTCTAGTTCCCTCGAGTTCACCCGGATCTGAAAGACATTAGAGAAACGACAGGATACGATGTTCAGAGCTGCGAGATTTAGAAGACCCAGGGAAAGGCAGGAAAGCAGTTTTAGAACAGAGCGCTCTTAGAAGACAGTATGGGGAATGACATGCTAGAAGATTATTCATTCTAGGTTCTGCTCAGAAGCAAAAATGGTCTAACTCAGAGAGGAGAGATGAATATATATTTAAGTGTTCTTTTTTTTTAAATTAAATCACCTTGAGATAGTTACAAAGTTGTCCATGACTGGGTTACAGTCATAGGATGTTATTTCACCAGTGTACATTTCCCATCACCAATGTCCCCAATGTCCTCCTTTTGGTCATTGTGGTTTGTGGCACAGGTACTGTAAGGTTATGATGTATACCCCTTTACCAACTTTTAGCTCTCAATTACTGTCCAGAGTGATAATTTCCAACTATCATTGTCATGGTGGTCCCTTCTCTATCCTAACTGCCCTCTCCCCTTCCCCAACTCTGGCAAGCTTCCAACCTTGAACCAGTCCTTCTGGCCCTCAACATACATTTAATATTAAATCAATCTCTATTTAATATTAAATAGTTCATTGTTTCCATTCTGGGAACCAAAACATAAAGGGCAAATTACCAACGATTCTTGCCATCTCTGGCACTGCATGGTCCCTGTGCACCGTAGGGAGTGACCTCCAGGACTACTGCTGGGCATGGCCTAAAAACCAAAACACCAAGAAGGGAAGCCTCGGAACCCACCTCTGTCTGCCCGGGCTTCACGGTCGCGTGGCAGCCGATCATGAGGGAGCTGTTGGGGAAGGGCCAGTGCTGGGAGGCAGTGTAGTGCAGTGTCTCCACCTCTAGGCCCACTTCCTCGGCCACTTCCCGCCGCACAGTCTCCTCCACACTTTCACCTACAAGCACTCACATTAATTCAGGATAGCCCTGCAGCAGGAAGGCGATACAGATGCCTGTTTGTGAAAGGAGCTTTGTGCAAAACTGGCTCCAACTTCTCCATGAAATCCTCCTGGGGCAGCCCTCTGCCTCTGGGTCTCGACAGTCAGAAGCAACTGGGGTACTGAACTGCAGTACTTAAACCTACCTGGCTAGCTGTAACACGAAGCACGGCAGTGGGGTGCCAGGGATATTGCTTGGGGTAAGCCAGGGCCTTGCATGTGTGAGAACTCTGAGCCTCAGAGCCACAAAAAAGAAAAAGGAGCAGCAACTGGAGAGGCTACTGCTGTGCTCAGCTTTAAAGAAAGTCTAAATTCATGTTTCACCATTTGCGAAATCAGCCTGAAACATTCTTAGTCTAAAAAAAACAGGCAAATAAACACTGGATTCTAGTTAATATGACGGTATGCATGCTAAAATATTTAGGAAGATGCAAGCATGTTACTATCTGCAATCTATGCATCAAAAACAAATTGCATCTGGGGCTGGAGCAATAGCACAGCGGGTAGGGCGTTTGCCTTGCACGCGGCCGACCCGGGTTCGATTCCCAGCATCCCATATGGTCCCCTGAGCACCGCCAGGGGTAATTCCTGAGCGCAGAGCCAGGAGTAACCCCTGTGCATTGCCAGGTGTGACCCAAAAAGCAAAAAAAAAAAAATTGGGCTTGAGGCTGGAGAGACAGTACAGTAGGTAGGGTGCTTGCCATACACATGGCCGACCTGAGTTCGATCCCCGGCACCCCATGAGGTCCCCTGAGCCCCTGGTACCAAAAGTGAACCCTGAGTGTAGAGCCAGGAGGAAGCCCTGAACACCACAGGGTGTGGTCCAAAATAAAAGTTGGATTGATGGCTGACGGAAGGAATGGACAGACAGAAATGTGAGAGTACAATAAAAAAAATTATAGAATTTAGAACAATGCTTTCAACTATGCTGAGTTAAAAGTTTTTCCTATTAAAACCCTAGAAACTTAGTAGGCCAAAGGCAGTTCCTTGACATAATAAGGGAAACTGTGCCCGAGAGTTCAGGCACTATGGCACCAGAGCAGAGAAGTATCTACAGCTGAGGATCTTCCATGCCTCCATGACCATTGTGCAGCCCTAATCCCTTACCCATGTCACAGAAACCCGCCAAGGCGGAATACATTCCCTTGGGGAAGGAACTCTGGCGGGCAAGCAGGCATCGGGTCCCGTCTGACAGCAGTGTGATCACCACAGGAGCCATCTAGGAAGAAGGAGGGAACAGACCCTCGGTTGGGGACTGGTGGGTGGGATAAAGGAGTGGAGGGTCCAGTTCATTGGCTGCACAAACGTCCATCCCCAGGACACGGCAGCTGGCAGCCTTCCCGGAGTGCTGTCCATCTAAAGCAGTGCCCACCTGTGGGTAATAGATGATGTTGTTGGAAGGGCACACACGTTTGCTGCCTGCCATGTTCTTCTTGGTGGGATGCCCACTTCTGCTGCAGAACTGATGAGCATCATGCCAACGCAGAAGGGCCTGAGCCTAGGAGAACAAAGAGAAGCTTGGTTTTATTTGGAGAGAAAGTACCGCTCATTAACAGCAATGCGCGGCTGAGCTGAAACTCAGAACAATTCAAGGAGACAGACTGGAAAGCAGATATTGTTCATGTACGGAAAACACTTCATTCCTGGGTTTAATGCTGAATTAAAATTAATAACAATAAAATAGAATTCAAAGGTAAATGCCATTCTTTTCCAGCTCACCTACTTTCAATGGTTATTAACTACTTAACTTGAAGATAAACTACCTGAGTATATGCCTCCATCATCTGAAATGTAAATAATAGAAGGTATATCTTTAGGGCATTGTGAATTATTTGAATCACGTAATATATAAAATATCACGATCACGATCATCCTGTTGTTCACTGATTGCCTCGAGCAGGCACCAGTAACTTCTCCTTCGTCCTAGCCCTGAGAATCTAAAAAGTGCGATATTCAAGGCTCTTTCAGGGTTAGGAGAATGAGACCCATCATTGTTACTGGTAATTGCTTTGGACAAGCTGGCAGGCTACCGAATGTAACCTGCCCACACGGCAGAGTCTGGCAAACTCCCCGTGGCGTACCCAGTATGCCAAATACCAGTAACAATGATGGGTCTCATATAAAATATATATTGTACATTATTATATATAATGATAAATATATATTATAATATTAAATATGTGTTATAAGGTTAAGGCAGATGTCTTGCGTGCATCCAGTCCTGGTTTGATCCCAGGTGCAATATGGTCCCCCAAGCATCCTGGATGCAATCCTGGCAGCCCCTGACTGGGGTGGCCAAAGTCATCTGAAGCATCACAGGGCAAGAGCGGCACTGTGCCCTGGGGTCCTTGCACAGAACTCCAACTCAGTTGGTCAAAGATCACCAGAAAGGGCCAATTTTTAAAAATCATAAAATATAGAACAACACTTTCAACCATGCTGAGTTGAAAACGAAACAAACCAAAAAGGATCTTCAAAAGAAAAAAATCAAATGTCACTCAAGCCTTGTGTTACTGTGTTATGCACACATAAATTCCCCGCACCCCACCCCATTTACCACTTTACTAAACTTCCTCCTACCAAACCAGAAATTAAAGTATACCGTGGATAGCAAGGAGGCATCCTTCGCTTTCAGCTGAAAGAGAGCCTTTCTCAGGTCGGTGAAAGAGCCCTGTAGCTCGGTCTCCATTTCAGATTTCTGCAAGGAAGCTGGAAAATTAGAAAAGAAGAAAGTAAAACCAATGCCAAACCTGTATGATCTATTAAGAATAGTTTGGGGGCTGGGGCTGGAGAGATAGCACAGAGGGTAGGGCGTTAGCCTTGCACGGGCCAACCCGGGTTCGATTCCCAGCATCCCATATGGTCCCCTGAGCACCGCCAGGAGTAACTCCCGAGTGCAGAGCCAGGAGTAACCCCTGTGCATTGCTGGGTGTGACCCAAAAAGCAAAATAAATAAATAAATAGTTTGGGGGCTGGAGAGCTAATGGGGAAATTGCCTTGCACATGGCCTACCCGAGTTTGATCCCTGGCATCCCATATGGTCCCCCAAGCCCACCAGGAGTGATCCTTTAGTGCAGAGCCAGGAGTAACCCCTGAGCATCACTGGATGTGCCTCCCCCGACTCTACACCCCCCTCCAAATAAAGTGTTTCTAGGCCTGAAGGAGAGAGCTCAGGTTAGGTAAAGTAGACCCTGAGCTGGAGTGTAGGACCCCATGTCCAGCCTACCCAACCACACAATTGGGGGTATATAAATAAATTAGAAGCAAAAAAGCACAGTATTTCCCACGTTGCATAATAATATTTAATGAGGGCAAATTAAAAATATACTGGCCCTCAAGTCTATAACTGGAAACAGCTGATGTGGAGAGAGGCTACCATGTGATTTTGAAAAATCAACAGGTGATTCATAGGTTTGGGTGAATTTGGAGAACAGGAAACACTTTTTTCTCAAGATTCTCTTCTGGCTAATAAGAAAACTTGCACTAGGCATACAGTATCGCTGGAAAAGAGATAAGATAGGATCTCTCTCTCTCTAGACCTCATTCTTGTATCACTGCACTTATACCTAAATTTACATTTTAGCCCCTGAAATGGAAGTGAAGAAACTTACAGCCATGGGCTCTAGCAAACTGGTTTTCATTTGCCAAGGCCTCTTTATTCGCCTGCAGTGGTAGAGTAGTAAGAATGAGGCCACACACCCGTGCATGGTTGAGTCAACCGGGGCACCCTAGAGTGGGGTGAGTCAGCCCAGTGCCCCCACAAACAGAGCCCCAGCAGCTAATTACGCCCACAATAACCGCCATGCCCCGACAGAACTCCAGTGCCTCAGGATGAGCCTCACCCAGAAATTAACCTGCTGAATAATTCAGGTACTTGGGTTTTGTGACTGAAATATCCAGGCTTTCAGAGGGTTGGGATGGGCTGCCTCTCCCCACCTCCGTGTACTTCTGGAAGCCCCACCAGTCACACACACACACATACACACACCAAAGCAGCCACCGAGTTAAAATTTTAACTCCAGCTGTACTACCCCCTTAAAATTCTGAACTTCCTGGAGTGACACCTCAAACTCTACAACACTGTTAAATCAGTGGTAGCACGCGGATTGGATGGGGTGGAAGGCGGACGGCAACCAATCTCAATTAACAAAACATAAACACAGAACAAAACATAGCCTGTAACAACATCTTAGTAATATACAAGGATCTAATGGCTCCATGGTGACATACAACAATTTCCACTAATTTTCTTCTAAGAAAACATTTTTTGATCACTCTCTTCAAAACTACTGCTAAGAAACAGTATAAAATAATTACTGAGGGCCTGCTCTGGGTGCAGGCTTAAGGGGTGGTTGGGAAAATTGGAGACAACAGTGGAGGGAAGGTGTAATGCTGGTGGGATTGATGCTAGAATATTTAATGCCTATAACAAATCATCATGAACAATTTTGTAAACTACAGTGTTTATGTTATATAAAGTGTAAGGGTAAAATTTACATATGTAGGCCGTACCTATTCCACTTAAACTCCAAAATTAAAAAACAAAATTGCTTTAAAAGTGTCATTAATGACAGATGAGACATGATTATTACTGTAACAAGATCCAAGTGTAAAATAGAATTTAATGTAATACACGTTAGATTTGAGTTGAAAACATACATGTAAATGAGAATAGGCATTTTATTATATTGTATTAAATGCTTTTAATTTTTTTTTATTTACATAGGTCAAAATCATATAGGAGTCACTAACTGGCTCTTACTGATTTATTTTCTGATCATTCTGTTTGCCAGTTCTTAAAGCTTTCTTGGAATAAGCAATATAAAGTAAATTTGTTATGTATGACGGGGCAGGATGGGATTCGGAGGGAAACTAGGGATAATGATGGAGGGAAGGTCATACTAGTGGTGTTGGAACACTAAGTGCTTGAAACAACTGTATAATGAACGTCTTTGTAAATCACGAAATTTGTATAAAAATAACTGAAATAATTTAATTTGAAAAAAAGAAGGAGGTCATGGATTTAAAAACATTTCTTTTGTTATTTAGTTGGATGGGTGGGTTGGGGGCTACCCTGGTACTGCACAGGGGCAATCTCTGACTCAGTGCTTGGGGACCACTCCCATGGGATTGTGGTGCTGGGGATCCAATTCATGGTTCCCGCAGGCAAAACACACACCCCAGACCTCTGAGTCATCTCCTCACTCAAAACATTCTTTATGAATACTGAGATATAAGACCTATGAAAGAGTGTCTGTCATGTGTGGCTCAGTGATACTGCACATGCCTTGCATATAGGAGGCTAAGGGTTCCATCCCCAACACCACAGCAAATAAAATAACATAAAGGTTCAGAGAGCAATACATAAAACATCCTGACCACCTAGAAACATGACATTAATATGTTCTTTGATTTACTTAAGTAAGTGATAATAGATCATAATTCTCTTGTGCCCTTCAGTTTTTAATTTTTATTTATTTATTTGTTACTGTGTTTGGCATATTGAATTTTTGGTAGGGATGGGGCAGTGCTCAGGGCTTACTGCTGACTCTGTTCTCAGGCATCACTCCTGGCAGGTTCAGGGGCCAAAATAGTGTGCTAGGAATTGAACCTGGGTCAGCAGCTTGCAAGGTAAGTGACTTACCCACTTACTTAAATTTTCTTTGAATTTTATTATTACTGTGAAATCCCGGCATCTAAGAGCCATTAGAGGTGCCCATTAGTAGCTGCAATTGTACCATTTAAGGAAGAGGAGCTGTTTAGAACAAGATCCAGAGCAAACCATGCTTCGTGCTGTTCGGAGCATCCAATCAATACAGAATCTTCTACTCTCTGTGCATCCTGTCCAAACTTACCCAGGAGGCTTTTCAACTCTAAAAAGCAGAAAAGGAAAAGGGGGGAAATGAGTTTTAATTAAACCACACAGCCATCGCCGACTTGCCAGAAATCAACTTGAACCAGGAAGATGTCGTTCCAAACTTGTCCTGGAGTTAGTCACATATATAATCAGTTTAACCACTTAACTTTCAAGCCACAATCTTCTTAAGCAATCTGGGGAGTTTAGACAGAAGAAGGAATGTTTTCCCTATTTAATACTGCATTACTCTATGTCTATTTCATGAAGGAACATATCCCCAAGTTCAGAAGACACATGACAATGAAGGAGGGAAGCAGGTGTGCTGGGGAGGGTGTGGTGCTGGAAAGTTCTATGCATTAAACCCGACCATTAACAATGTTTTAAATCATGGTGTCTAAGATAAAATTAAAGTTTGAAAAAAGAGAGACACAGGAGTGAATCCTGGAAGACAGCACTTGCAGGAAATCTCTCCGGACCCATACCAGTTCCATGGGGCATTTCAGATGGAGCAGGCGCGCCCTCTCCACCTGCTCCAGATGAAACCCTGATGGCCACGAGCTTCCAAGAGCAAAACCCAGGTATGCGGGTTCAAGGACTAAGACTCCAGGCCATATCTTTGCGGAGACAGGCTATCCCTTCCTGTATTCCCGCCCGCTTGGGGTCTGGCTGTCACGCCCAGGATCTGCCTCCTGCCTCCAGGCGCCATTTCAGTGCATCAGCGGCCTTGACCCAGAGACTCCCAAATGAATCTCAAAATGGATTAGCTCCCTACGGAAATGTCTCTGGACCCTGACCATTTACAGTTTTAGAATCCAGAAGCGCACAACTGCTTTTGCAGCCACGCAACCTCTCGTGATATTCATTATAAACAACAGTAAATAAATTATCTAGCAGCTGCCTCTGACTTGAATGGTGGTGGGAAAATTCAAAATAATGGTGGTGGGAAGGTGGTGGGATTGAAATATTGAATGTAATCAATTAATGTGAATAAATGTATGAAATAAAATTTTTTAAAAGTTTGAAAAAAGATTCGTAAAAAAAAAAGATTTGTGACAGGAGCCAGAGAGATAGTTCAGCAGGTAAGGTGCTTTCCTTGCATGTGGCTGATCCAGGTTAGATCCCCAGCATCCCATATTGCTCCCTGAACACCGCCAGGAGTAATTCTTGAGTGCAGAACATAGAGTAAGCCCTAAGCATTACCAGATGTGACCCAAAATCCCCTCAAAAAAGAACCCCACGAAAAACCAAACAAACACACAAAAAAGATAGGTGACAGCTTATCACAGGACTGAAAGAAAATGTGCTAATCTCAAAATGACAGAGACCAAACCAGTTTTATTACCCAGATGCTGTTGCTTTCATGGGCCAAGGTAGGGAACACGTCTGCAATTCCAGTGTGTACAAGACAAATGCTGCATAAGGAAGAAAACCTTTTCTTCTCCACAAGAGTTCATAGTCAGTGTTTCTTAATATAACACGTCGTTGCTAAATTGCTAAATAATGTTTAGTGCCAGGGCCAAAGAGACAGTCCAGAGGGTAACGCATTTGCCTTGTGTTTGATCCCTGGCATCCCAAAATGATCCCCAAAGTCCCACCAGGAGTGATTTCTGAGTGCAGATCCAGGAATAAGCCCTGAACACAGTTGGTTATGGTCCCCAAATAAAACAATGGTTACGTGCCATCTGACAGTCTCCTATATTCTTCTGCACTAAAATTACTACTATAGGTCTGATGCAAGAGGGGACTATCCTGGCAGTGTATTTCAAGCCAGTGGGCGCCCATCAGACTGAGAGCTAGTGTTTAGAGTTCCAAATCCTGACAGCAGAGACCTCTAATCATGTACTCTCTCTAACTGAACTCATTTTTAGTGTTCACTCTTTTTTTTTGAGGGTCATATTTGATGATACTCAGGAGTTATTCCTGGTTCTGCACTCCGGAATTACTCCTGGCAGTGCTCAGGGGACTATGTGTGGTGCCAGGGATCAAACCTGAGTAGGCACATGCAAGGCAAGCACCATAACTGCTGTACTACCTCTCCAGGCCCTAGTATTCACTCTTCCAGAAGAAATGAAGTCACGATGCAAATCTTAAACAGGATCCCAGCACTGCAAGTGCAGAGGGAGAAATCACTGGCTAAGGCAGGGGGTGGCAAAGTGTTTTAGGCTCTGTGAGTCATCCGGGCTCCTTCAGAACTACTCAACTCTGCTCAAGGGGTGCAAAGGCAGCCCAGGTAATATGTAAATGATGATTACAGCTGGAGTCTAAGAACACTTCATTTTCTTTGCCAGTCAGGCAGCAGGCTCCAAATTGGACAGTGGTCACCAGCTCCTGGTTTCAGGTAGTTCATATAACACAGTTCATGTCATCACCCAACAAATGCTTGCCCGAGCAACTCATGTTTATGTACTAACTAGCCAGCAGGATTCTCCTCAGGAATTCAAAGCAGTCTGGCTTCAGTGGCCTGAGGCTGGTCTCCCCAAAAGGTCAACGATTCTGTCTGGACTTACCCGCGAGGCTATGCCGGGGCACCTGGTATTTGTGTTCAGATTTTTGAAGCAAAGGAGCGAGGTTATGAAAGAGGTAAAACGCTCCTGTCTGCTGGGCTCTTTGACACGCATCATCATCTTCTTTCAGTTCCAGTAAATACCTGTATTTGGAAATAGCCAAAACATTACAAAACACACTTCAGGACTTTAAAAAAAAAGAGTCATGATTTAAAAAGTTATTGATAATTCGGTTTTAGACATGTAATGTTCTAGCACCAATCCCACCACCAGAGTAAACTTCCCTCCACCAGTGTCCTCTGGTTCCCTCCCCCCACAGCCTGACACCTTGACAGCCAAATTCTAAAGTCTGGTGGTTGTAGTCTGAATGTCACGCGTTCAGTGTTGTTGACTGTGGTTTGAATATAGAGAAATACCCGACTGATGTGCCTGAGGCTCCTGACCCCTTCTCCTTCATTACTTCCCTCCTCATCTTCTTTCTTCCTCCTTCTACTTCTTTTCATGTCTGTCCTCCTCCTCCTCCTCATACTCTGGGATCAAGGATGCTTTAGGCAGCCCCCTGCTTCAGTACGTGTATAGACTTCCTCTTTGCAGGATTTGCTCTTGCATCTCTCTCCTACCATGTTTATTTGATTGTATTTATTTACACCCAAAATTGCTCCATAACGGAGCTGAGGTCAGGCAGTCAGTCCCTCCTCTGCCCTACTGTGTACCTTGCCCATTTCTCTGTGGTTGCACATACATCGTACTTTCATTCAAATTCCTTTGTTTCTCCTAAAACACAATGATCTCCTTAAGGGTAGGACCAGCCTTAGTTCTGTGCCTTAATTAGCATACTGAATGGCTCAATTTAATAAATATTTATTGAGTGGAATTTCAAGGCTAATAAATATTTACTGAATTGAACCTCAAGCTACTTTGCCAATATCACCCTGTGAAGTACGAATTTACATGCTGAGGAGTAAAGAGAAAACCATCAACCACAGATACAGAGAGAGAGAGAGAGAGAGAGAGAGAGAGGTGGTGTGGGGGGGCAGCCTTTAATCACTGCAAAGAGCAACATGACACCATCACCAAATCACACATCTCATTCAGCCAAGGGAACAGAAAAAGCAAGTTTTAGTTTCAATGAACTCTTGTTTCACACATTAGCTATTTATCTCACGACTCAAAGGGATCATTGGTGGGAAAGTGAAACTTCATCTGTTTAATCAGTGCAATGTTTTCAGCAGGTAAAAATAAAACTGTGGAAAAGAGAAGTCCGATAATTAGCTTCTGTAAAAGAAATCGAACTAGAGGGCCTGGAAGAAAGCTCCAAGGACTGGATACAAGCCTTGAGCGCCTGAGGCACCAAGGTCAAGCCCAGTAGACAAGGCTACTCAGGTAGAGCTGCTGAGGAGGGATCCTGGAAACCCCAGGCACTGCAGTACAGCAAGTCAGGGCCTAGGATGGAATCATCTGACTGGTTGGTTGAGTATCACTGGGAGTGGCCCTGAGAGCCCACTGAGCATTGCTTGGGAAGGTACTCCTCCCAGCTGAAAAAAAAAAATTTAAATAAATATTGTTTGATGGAGAAGTTTTACTCTTTTCCAGAAGCTTGCTAAGGATGGCTAAGTTTATCCATTCAAAAATGCTGGCAATAAGGGCTGATGAGATAGTACAGCAGATAAGGTGCTTGCCTTGTACGCAGTCGACCCAGGTTCAGTCCCCAGCATCCCATATGGCCTTGTCAGCACCGCCAGGAGTGAGTCCTGCGTGCACAGTCAGGAGGAGCCCTTGAGTAGCACTGAGTGTGGCCCCAAAACAAAACAAAACAAAATCTTGGCATTTAGATCAAAGGGCACATGATTCTGGATGACTGAATATCGATTCTGCTTCTGGGGCTTTAATAATTACTGTTTTTCCTGAGTGAGTGCCCAACAACAGATGTCTGGGTAAAGAAACTATGGTACATCTACACAATGGAATACTATGCAGCTGTTAGGAAAATGAAGTCATGAAATTAGCTTACAAATGGATGAACATGGAGAGTATCATGCTGAATGAAATGAGTCAGAAGGGGAGAGACAGAATGACTGCACTTATTTGTGGGATATTGAAAAAATAGTATGAGACTAATAGCCAAGGCCAGGGAAAATAGGAGCCAGGAGGACTGGTCAATGGTTGGCAACTTGCCTCGCCACAAGTGTGTGGAGGACAAAGGACAGTTAGATAGAGAAGGGACCAGTATGACAATAATAGTTAGAGATGATCACTCTGGACAAGAACTGAGTGTTGAAAGGAGGGAAAGGGATATATATATATATATATATATATATATATATTATATATATATATATGAGATAGCCTTTCAGTATCTTTAATGCAAACCATAATGACCAAAGGGGGGGAGAGAGAGAGAGAGAGAGAAACAGAGGCAGAGACAGAGACAGAGAAGAAAAGTGCCTGACACTGAGGCAGGTGGGTGATGGGGGCGCAGTGTCAGGAGGGAAACTGGAGCCATTGGTGGTGTGCTGGAATATTATATAACTGAAACCCAATCATGGATAACCTTGTAACTGTGTATCTCATTGTAGGTCAATTAAAAAAATTTTAAGTAAAGAAAAAATAAAGGGGGACAAAGAATTACTACTTTTGCCTATTGAAAGCCCTGAAAAGTACTCTTGGCTAGTCTCTTTTAAGAAGGAAACAGTTCACAGGTATTTTCTGCAGCATCTAGAATGCCTCTAAGCAGAGCTGACCAACAAAGCCATGTGAGAAACACATCCTGAGTCTATGACAAAATAGGTCATGATGAGCCTTCAAAAAACACAAGAGAAAAGAAGCCTGAGATTTTTTATTTTTAAATGTGCACCATGCTTGGTGGCACTCTGGGCTTACTCCTGGCTCTCCACTCGGGGATCATTCCTGATGGGCCCCTGGGAACACCGGGGATGCTGGGGATCAAACCAGCATCAGCTGTGTGCAAGGCAAGGTTCCACCCACTATACTACTGCTCCAGCCCCTGTGGCAGTATTTCTAAAAGCACACGTAGTTTTTTGGGACAAAGACTCAGTGTGTGGCAAAGGCGAGGCATGTCTCACCTAGAAGTTGACAGAAACAACAGAGTGAGCACTGCTGCCTTCAGTTAAGCGGTCAGAGGTAGGGCCTATGCTTTGTCCAAATAATCCCCCAGGAGCAAAACACCTGTGAAAACACCCAACGCAGCTGGCTATGGTTTGACCCCTGAATCACATATGGTCCCCTGAGCACTATGCGGTGTGCTCCCTTCCCACAAATAAATTTTGTTTTGCTTTAGGGTTTCACCTGGCTCAGGGCTATTCCTGGCTCTATGCTCAGGGATCACTCCTGGTGGCAATCGGGGACTACATATCACTGAGATTAGCTGTGTGCAGGGCAAGAGCCTCCTATACTAACTTTCTGGTCCCATTCAAACAAACTCTTTTCTTAGTATAAAGTAAAAAATATTTTTTTATCTAAACCCAGAAAATAAAGTTTTTAAAGGGAAATAAATATTGGTAAGAAATCCTAGCACTCAGCTTGGAACACACTTTGGAATTACCCAAATGATTTATTAATATTATATGTATGCATATACGCTACATATATACATATGTAGGAATATATTTAGAATCATACTAATTTGTGAGCTTGTTTATTTTATTTTTTTTTATTTTTGGGTCACACCCGGCGATGCACAGGGGTTACTCCTGCTCTGTACTCAGGAATTATTCCTGGCGGTGCTAAGGGATGTTGGGAATCAAACCCGGGTTGGCGCTTGCAAGGCAAACACCCTATCCGCCGTGCTATCGCTCCAGCCCCCAATAATTTGTGAGCTTGTTATCTGATATTTTTCATACCATATTCTTTTCGTTTTTATTTTTTTGGTATAGGGCCACACCCGGTGATGCTCAGGGCTTACTCCTGGCTCTGCACTCAGGAATCACTCCTGGCGGGGCTTGGGAGGCCATAGGAATGCTGAGGATCAAACCCAGCTTGGCCATGTGCGAGGCAAACGCCCTCCCCACTGTACTGCTGCTCCAATACCATATTCTTTTTTCCCTTTTTACTCTTTTCTTCCTTTTGGGCCGCCCACAGCAGTGCTTGGGAGTGACTGCCAGTGTGGCACTCAGCTGTGACTCCTGAAAGTGCCTGGAGGGTCATGAGTCCCACCAGAGGACAATGCAGGGGCTCAGCCCTTTGTGCTAGCTCCCTGGCCTCTCTGGGTTTTTGCTCTGTCTTATTTTTTTCTGTTTCTTTCCCTTTGTTTCTGTTGTTATAATGAACTGGGATCACACACGCTTGTTTGTGGCGCTCACATACGTTGGATGGGGAGCTTGCTGGGGCTGCGCACGGGGGTTCACACTCAAAGCTGTGCTCCCCAATGGTACCGCCCACACTCTGCAGAGTAACACTCGTGCACGTTCTGGTCATAGTGCCAGCCCCAGGGCCTTGGTGGCATCCACTCCTGGGTACAGTGCTCACACAGCTCACCAGGGGACACACATTAGAGCTGATGCTCACCTCCACGAGGCTTTGCGCTATGTGTGTGGGGGGGGGGGGGGCCCGGAAGGGGACCCAGACAGTAGAGTTGAAATGTGCTGGGCCCAGGTGGGTATCATAAGTGGTGAACTCAAGGCCTCAAGCCTGCATAGTAAATGCTTTTAGTTTTGGAGTCACTGTTCTGTCATTCCCCTCACCATCCTCTTTATTTTTTTAATTAATTAATTTATTTATTGAATCGCTGTGGGAAAAATTACAAAGCTTTCAAGTTTAGGTCTCAGTCATGCAAATATCAATCACAATTCCCTTTACCAATACTTATTTTTCACCACGAAGAACCCCAATAACCCCCCCCGCCCCCCCCCATGTCTGTGGGGTAGATGAATTCTAGTTAACACTCTGTCTACTTTGACTAGCTTCATTGTTTTGATAAAAGTTGCACTATTATTATTTAGACTTTATCCCCCCCCCCAAACTCAGCCATGCTGATAAAGCATTGTGAAATGATCTGCTTTCTACAGCTGGGTTCAAGAATTAAATGATGGTTTTGGATTTCTGCTATTTTATTTATTAACCCTGCAAGTATTTCTACTGAGAGTCAGATAATTAAGAGATTGGTCTCTGTGCTTCTGGGGCCGTGGCCGTGGCCGTGCCGGAGAGCCGCTCGTGGGGGGCAACTGGTGACCTCGGTCGGGCGTGAAGGACGGGCCGGAGAGCCCCCCTTCCCCCCCCCCCCCCCAGTCCCATGAGGTATCCATCGCGCCCCCACCCCCGGCTCAGACCTGCTCTCCACCAGGCTCCCCTGCGGCCGTCATCTTTCTTTCCCACCACCATCCTCTTTATTAACGGCTTGTCCATCTTTTCTCATAATTGCCATCCATTTTGAATATATTTAAGCTCTTCAACAGACTTTTATTTATTTTTATTTTTTGTTTTTCTATTGGGGCCACACGCACCAATGCTCAGGAGTTACTTCTGGCTCTACACTCAGAATCAGAGCCAAAACTAAGCCCTGCTCGGGGGACCATCTGGGATGCCGGGGATTGAACCTGGGTAACGGCGTGCAAGGCAAACGTCCTATTTGCTGTACTGTCATTCCAGCCCCTCACACTTATTTTATTTACAAGTAGCCTAAATGCCCAACAATATCTAAAATAAAGATTGTAATTCTGTTGTTTTCTTACCTTTGCTCATGTAAGACCATCTGCTTAAATAACACTGAATGCCTTTAGGGTTTGAACCGGGCTCCGGCTGAGCAGAGCTTCCTCGGGAGAGGCTCCTGTTTTGAGCCTGTCCCTCCAGTGGGGCTGGACATTTGCTTTTGCCAAGAAGTCCACCGCTGCTGTCAGTCCAGGAATATCACTACGGTTCTTAGGTTGGGATTTGGGAGAATATACCAATCTGCGCACATTCAAACCCCCAAGCCTATATGAAAGCACACCAGTGGTTTCAAATACACAGATTTCAAATTTTCCCAGGCTGAGACAAAAAAAAAAAAGTCTTGTATATTCTCATACTGATGTAGTTTGTTTTCTGTTTATTTTTTCTAATCAACCTTTCATTGACCTTTAGCCCTTAGGGAAGAAGAGGGGGGGCTGGGTGATCAGTCATCCTTTTTAATTACAGGAAATTTCATGAACTAAGCTGGAGTGATAGCACAGCGGGTAGGGTGTTTACCTTGCATGCGGCCGACCTGGCCAATCCAGGTTCGATTCCTCCGCCCCTCTCTGAGAGCCCAGCAAGTTACCGAGAGTATCTCGCCCACACAGCAAAGCCTGGCAAGCTACCCGTGCCGTATTCGATATGCCAAACACAGTAACAAGTGTCACAATGGAGATGTTAGTGGGCCCGCTCGAGCAAATCGATGAACAACGGGAGGACAGTGTGTTTTAAGAACTAGTATTTAATAATTAAATCAATTTCTCCTTTAATTCATCCATTCAGTAATACTTTGTCTACTCTGAGTCAGACACTGCTGCATGTAGGACTACTACAGTGGGAAACTACAAAGTTCTTACCTCAAGAAAATTTATATTTAAGCACACAGACATTTTAGATTATTTTTGTCTGGGATTTTCCCAATAATCAATTTGAAAGAAAAATTATTATAGGTAAATCTTAATCTTATTCTTAATACTTTATATAGGATTTTAAGATTTCATTAAAATCTTTTAAGATTTTATTTAAGATTTTCTTTACAATCTTTTAGATTTTATTAAGATTATATATTCTTAATACTCTACAGAGAATTTTAAGATTTTATTAAATTTTTGTTGTTATTGTTTTGGGGTCATACCTGGCCATGCTCAGAAATTACTCCTGGCGATGCTTGGGGAACCATATGGGATGCTGGGGATAGGACCCAATTTTTATTTACAAGTAGCCTTCATGCAAGGCAAGTGCCTTACCTGCTGTACTGTTGCTCTTGTCTCTTTTACTGAATTTTTTTTGTCTTGGGGTCACACTTGTTATTGCTCAGGGACTACTCCCAGCTTGGCATTCAGAGGACTAGGTGATGCCAGGGATTGAATCCAGGACTCCTCCTGCAAAGTAGACACTTGACCCCTTTGAACTTTCTAGCCCAATATGTTTGTATTTTAGAGCTTGATGATTCAAAGCTAAAATAATCAAAACTCAGTTTGTTCAGAACTTACCGCATCTTAGTGACATAGGTTGACAACAGCCTATAGCTCCAACAAAATTTTCTCCTGCAAGCAATTCCAGAATACAGAGACATTGTTGGGTCCTTAGAGAAAAGAGAAATTTTTAAAAGCTCATAGTACAAAATTTAAAGTAATGAGGGCTGGAGAGACAGTACAGCAGGTCAGGCACTATAATAAAGTAATGAATCACTAAGAGGGTTATATAGTAAGCCAAGAAAAGCTCTCTTTATTAAGGAAAGAGAAATTAAATAAGAGTCAGACGATCTGGTTCCTAAACTGGCATGTATGTAATGATGCACACTTGAGACTTACAGAATAGTCCCCTGCAATGTTACTCCAATAAGAAATAAATACATAAATAAAAAAAAAAGAAAGAAATACATATAGGGACTGGAGCAATAGCACAGCGGATAGGGCGTTTGCCTTGCCCGCGGCCAACCTAGGTTCGATTCCCAGCATCCCATATGATCCCCTGAGCACCGCCAGGGGTAATTCCTGAGTGCAGAGCCAGGAGTAACCCCGGTGCATCGCCGGGCGTGACCCAAAAAGCCAGAAAAAAAAAAGAAAGAAATACATATAAATAGCATTTTACCACAAACCACCTGCGGGATTTTCAACCTCTTTCCTAATCTACAAAATTGAAGTATGTTCTTTGGTCTCAATATTAAGTAAGTTTCAAACTGAAACTTCAACAGACTGTCATATAGCCATCCACAAAATAAATCCCCACAGAGGGATACAAAAATCCTTCTGTTTTGTATAGTTACTGCTGGAAAGAAGTTAATCGAGATAAGGCCTATATTTCTTCTCCCTGGTGTCTCAGTGGAACCAAATCTGTGTCTTACTCATTGAACAAGAGTAGAAATGTATGGCTCTCATCTTGGCTGAAAGAGTTAAGAAATAAGTGTGAGGCTCTGGATCAGCTCAATGATAGAGTTGAGACCTTTCATGTTGGAGGCCCTGGGTTTAATCTCTGGCACTACAAAAACCACTCTCATTTTTCCCTTCTTGGAAGATGCCAGAATGGCAGGATCACCAGATGGAAAATCTTGAAGAAAAGCTACCCACCAACCAAATACACCCACATCTTTGCCCACCTACACACATCTGTGAGTGAGAAATAAACTTCTATCTGTTAGATCACTGAAGTTTTGAAGACTGTTACAGTGGTAGACATTAACCTAACAGACCAGGTATGCCTGGGAAACAGAACCAAGTTATTTATAATACAACAAAACCAAATTCCCTGTGAAAATGAAGGAGGAGCAGTCCTGTAATAAAATAAAATCCAGCTATTAGGTAGATAATTTAAAAGGTCATGCAAACCATACATAGATCCAAGATATTTTCTATTTGTTGTATCTCGTTTTAAGATTTAAAAAAATCTGTTTTAATAATCTATTTTGTAGGAAGTTCTTTTAAAATTATATATTGATTTGAACTCCATTCCCCATAAAATGCACATTGCACATTAGCCATAAAAAACATCAAAAAGGTTCCAATAAAACAAGAAAAATCAGTAGTTAAATAACCAACCAGCCTTTTAACTATGCCCAAGAGACGCAAGCTTAAACACTAAACCTCCAAGGAATGAGAAACATGTAATGTTTAGGCTTCCTTGGTTGCATAATTATGAATCACTGATGACTAATCCCTGGACTTTTTTGGCTACACTCTATGTCCTTGTAAAGAGTAAAATATATTTAGCCAAGGACATTCACCGAAGTATTTCTTAAGTACTGACTTTAAGCAAGTAATAGGGGCACAAACGTGTACAGGATGAAAATATGCCCCCAAAGGGGCTGTAGCAGGAAAGAGAAAACAAATATATAGTTTCACAGAAGCTATTATGTGGTGTGTAGCTTATAAAGCACTCCAGTGAACCAGCACCCAAATATCTGTATAATATACTGGAATAAATTATGCAAAGCCAGTACTTCCATGTTATATGCACCTTTGAGAATGTAGCACTGTAGCACTGTCCTCCCGTTGTTCATCGATTTGCTCGAGCAAATACCAGTAACATCTCACAACAAATTGTGAGACTTGTTACTGTTTTTCAACAGTAACGTATATCAAATACGTTATGGGTAGCTTGTCAGGCTTTGCCGTGTGGGCGAGATACTCTCGGTAGCTTGCTGGGCTCTCCAAGAGGGGTGGAGGAATCGAATCTGGGTCAGCCGCGTGCAAGGCAAACGCCCTACCTGCTGTGCTATCGCTCCAGCCCTTTGAGAACGTAAATGTATATAATATTTTTTGAAGAAAATTTGAGAATGTTTATCAAAATTTTGAATTCCTTTGATTTTGTTTTGTTGGGGGAACTTTTGGAACACCCAGCTATGCTCAGGACTTACTCCTGGCTCTGTGGGAACACAATTGGTTCTGGGGATCAAACTGAGGTGGGCCACATGCAAGGTAAGTGCTTGAACCCGTGTACTATCTCTCTGGCCCAAGATATTTATTTTTGGCAGGATCAGGGATTGAATCTAGGTCTTATACAAGCAAGAATTGTACTCTACTGCCACATTCCCAGTCATATCCCCTTTTATCTAGCAATTTGACTTCCATAAATTTATCTTAGGAAATAAAGGACATAAACAGAAATGCCAAATGAAGTCTATTACATAAGAAATTAAAATACAGTTAAAGTAAGTAGAAAAAAAATAAAATGAATAGAAAATAGGGCTCAGAGCCCTGAGTGCATGCTTTGCATGTGGGAGGCCTGGGTTCAATCCCCAGTATCACATGTTCCCCTGGACACTGCCAGGAGCAATCCCCAATAGCAGTAAGACTGGAGCAGGTCCAGATATGGTCTCCAAACTAAACTAAACAGAAAAAAGGTAAGAGGGCTGGAGAGACAGTACATCAGGGTAGGCACTATCTACCTGTGTTTGGGTTAATATCTTGCACTTCATACATTCCTGAGTCCCACTAGGAGTGATCCCTGAGCACAGAATCAGGAGTAATCCCTGTGCACTGTCAGGTGTGGCCTCAAAACAAAACAAAACAAAAAAAGAAGATAACAAAAGAAAAAAATATATATGCAGTAATAAGGATTGAGAATATAAATTCTTAATATATTCTGCAGGTATATTCTATATATATTCCATTTGGTTAGTTTACCGTGATCTAATCAACATATAAAGAAAGCATATAGCAATCAGTATATAAATTAGATATTTATTTATATTTAAAATTTTATATTTACATACATATATATATATATAGAGAGAGAGAGAGAGAGGTTTATAGGCCACTTCCAGCTTCTTGGGTCCTTCCCTTAGTGTTCTGGTGACCACAAGGTAACAGAAATTGGAGTCTCAAATGTGCAAGTGCTCAACTACTGAGTCACATGCACCATGACATTTTGTTCATTTTTGTCTATGTTTTTGGGTCACACTCGATTGTGCTCATGGTTTACTCCTGATTCTGTGCTCAGAGATCACTCCTGGAAGAGCTCAGGGACCTTATATGGTTCTACTGTCTGCATGTGAGGCAAGCACCTCATCCTTGTATTATGTTTCTGGCCTATTTTAATGTGTCTGGAAGTAAACAGCTAAAACAGTTAATGGTGACTAATTTGGGAAAGTTGTAAGTAGAGAAAAGGGCACTTGTAATTTTATTTTTATGCATTTATGTTGTGTAGCAGGGGGTTGGGGTGACACTCAGTGGTGGTCTGGGCTTTCTCCTGGCTCTGCACTTAGGGATAACACCTGATGGGCTCAGGGAACTATACAGGCTTCAGGAGACAGAACCCAAGTTGGACACATGCAAGGCACACACACCTTATCGACTGCTGTCTCCCCAGTCCTTTATACACTTATGGACTTAAAACTTTTAGCCTTGTATACAAATTCCCTTAACAAGAAGATTAAGTATAATAAAACAGGGGTTCCTGGGACTAAATGCGCAATGAAGGTACATGCAAGCCAGAGTTCTCAGTCACATCTCCCCACATTCCTGTGAGTCACAGGGGATTCCTTTGGAGTGCTCCTTGAATCCTGAGAACAGTCAGACTATTTGGTTTTATTTACGACTATTGTGGCACACTGAACTTGGCTACCTGATATTTTGCCTACTTTCTGCTTCTAAATTAACCTTAACCAAGAGCAGATTATCGTGGCCTGCTGACTCATGCATGGATTAGTGTGCACAGCGCTTATAGACGATACAGACAAGTTAGTAATGCAGCTTTGAAAAGGAATGCCAGACGTATTTTAACCAAAAGTCATAGCTTCACTGGTACAGTCAGAGACTCAGTGAAAGCTAATTCCTTTCCTAAACGGTCCCTTATATACACCTCTGATGTACAAGTACATGGAGGCTACTTCAGAGTAGCTGGAGCACACACTTTGCATGCAGGAAGACCAGGTTCAGTCCTTGCACCATGTGGCCCCAAACACTTCCAGAAGCAACCCCAAGCACTGTACCTAGGAGTATCCCCTGAGCATAAGCTGGTATAGCTGCCACTCACCAAATCACCACTCCCCCCCCCCAAAAAAAAAGAAAATCTTAAAATTCAACTTAAGCCATATTTCTCTCCTTTCTTCTCTTTTTTAAAAATGTGGGTTGGAGGGCTGGGCCACATCTAGCTGTGCTTAGAATTTACCCCTGGCTCTGTGCTCAGGGATAATTCCTGGCAGTGTTCAGGGGATCATACTGACACTGGGGATAGAACTCGGGTCTGCTGTGTGCAAGGCAAACATCCTATCCGCTGTATTATTGCTCCAGCTCTGGAAACAGTTTTAGGATGTTATGGCTCTGGCCTGTGATGTGTCTCAGTAGCCAAACACATATCTCAATATAATCCCCAACACCGCAAAGCAAAAAAAGGACTAAATAAATAAATAAGATTATGTGTTCTCCTCCACATTGCCAAGGTTCAATGGCTTGGTTTTTGTTGTTATTTGGGGGGAGGGGGCACATTTGGCTGTGCTCAGAGATTACTCCTGACTCTGCACTCGGAAATCACTCCTGGGGTGACTGGGGGACCATAGCGCTGACTGTTCTCAGGATTTAAGAAGCTCATCAAAGGAATCTGCCCCCGTGCCTGACTGTCCTCGCCGCCGCCGGGGCCCCTTGGAGGGGAGCGGGTTGAGCTTTCCTCCCCGCCTCGATCAGGGCTCCGGCAGCCAAAGACCTCCAGGACCAGCCACCACCATGCTGAGACCACTCTCCGCACACATGAAGGTACTGGCAGAGGGACAAAGTCATGCGGGTTCCGGGGCCGAGATCTCCAAGCCTACTCGGATTTGGGCCGAGCATCCTCCACCCAGATCCTCCAAATTCCAGTAGGCGGGGGTCATACCCACCAACTGGCCCCCTGGTGCCGTGTAATCCCATCAACGGCCAAGACTCAGAGACTATAAAAACCAGCTCTCGGAACCGCGCAGCCGCGATATCTTATTATGACATCTTATTATCTCATTCCTACTTTGGACAAACTTGCAGGCTACCGAATGTAGCCTGCTCACACGGCAGAGTCTGGCAAACTTCCCGTGGCCTACCAAATATGCCAAATACCAGTAACAATGATGGGTCTCATTCTCCTAAAGAGCCTTGAATATAATCTCAGGGCTAGGATGAAGGAGACGTTACTGGGGCCTGCTCGAGGCAATCGACGAATAACAGGATGATTTGTGATTTGTGATTTGTGACATGCGAGTTGGCCGCATGTAGACAAGTGCCATACTTCCTCTACTATAGCTCTGCCTCCAATAGTTACTAGAAAATAGCTTTTAAGAATGGAGGCTTAAAAAGAGAAAAGAATTTCCATATTTCATGTATCATAGTTGATCTTGAAAGTGATTTTATTTTGTTATTTTGTTGGGAGCCACATCTGGCTGTGCCCAGGGCTTGTTCCTTGCCTTGTGTTCTGGGATTACTGGCGGTTGTGCATGGGGGAACACATGGGGTATCAGATCGAACCTAAAACTGCCGTATGCGAGGCAAGAGCCCTATCTGCTCTACAATCCTCTGAAAGTGACTTTAAACAGTTCCAGTTCCTCTTTGTCACAGTGTTTGCTGACCTGTCTTCATGAATTCACTTCACAAATAGTGGTTTTTACCATCTGGCCATTCTAGTTGGGACAGGGCACACGTGGTGGTGGTGCTTAGGGTGGTGCTCTCTCTTAGGGGTACTCTTGGCAAAGCTCTGGGAACCCTATGGGGTGCTGGAGATAGAACCTAGGTAGGTCAATTGCAAGGAAAAAGCCCTAGCTACCGTAATATCTCTCTGGCCCCTGTGTGACCATTCTTTTTTGTTTGGGGGGGCCACACCCAGGAGTGCTCAGGGGTTACTCCTGACCCTGCACTCAGGAATTACTCCTAGTGGTGCTCAGGGAACCATATGGGATGCCAGGAACCAAACTTGGATTGCCTTGTGCATCTACCCACTGTACTATCCCTCTGACCCTGATCATTCTAATTTTTAAAGTATTACCATTATACTTTCTACCATATGACCACTGAAGTTCATTGTAGAGACTTCTCTGAAACACGTAGATGTAGAAACCATTCCTCTGCTAAATACTCAGACTGAACCTCATTATTTAAAAAAAAAGCTCTTAAGAGGATATTACATTACTTTCAAGTTGAGCATATAATTTCTTCTAACCTATGGGAAGGTGAACTTGGGTTAGATTCTGATAACCATATATGTTAGAAAAATGCAGGAAAAAAATCACTTTGTTTCTCAGATGGCTATGATTTTCACTATCATTTAGGGGTGTGAGATGTCACATAGTATTTATAGTGTTTGAAACCCAGTGGTTGATATTTGATTTATATTCTGGTAAACAACTGAGAAAAATGCTAGGGAGACTCGCACCCAGATGCTCAAGTGTCACAATACAAACAGAATAGCTGCTTTGGTTTGCACTGGCCTCTGTTACTATATTTTATGTCTGACAGCACCCAGGATAAAATTTTACTTCTCACAAATTAAGTTGTGGAAGAAATACTTTTTGTTGTTTGCCTTATGTTTTTGGGCTACATCTGGCGGTGCCTGGGTCTTACTCCTGGCTCTGCACTCAGGAATTCCTCCTGGCAATGCTCAGGGAGCCAATTGTGGTTCTGGGGATAGAACCTGGGTTCGACTGCTTACAAGGCAAGCGCCCTACCACAGTACATCACTTCGGTTGTGGAAGAAATATTTTTTTAACAAGTTAAGATATATAAACATTATATATGCTCGCAAGGGCTGGAGCGATAGCACAGTGGGTAGGGCGTTCGCCTTACAAGCGGCCAACATGGCCGACCCGAGTTCGATTCCTCCGCCCCTCTCGGAGAGCCCGGCAAGCTACCGAGAGTATTCGATATGCCAGACACAGTAACAACAAAGTCTCCAATGGAGACGTTACTGGGCCCGCTCGAGCAAATCGACGATCAACGGGAGGGCCTTTACCTTTATATGCTCGCAAGAAAATACACTATTTTTTTGTGCTTGTTTTGGGGCCACACCTGGCAATGCTCAGGGATTACTCCTGGCTCTGCACTCAAGAATCTCTCCTGGCAGTGCTCAGGAGACCAGAGGGGATGCTGGGGATTGAACCTGGGTAGGTCAGGTACAAGGCAAGTGTTCTACCCACTGTACCATCACTCTGGCCCCCAGAAAATACACTGTTTTACTTTAGCTACAGCTCAGAACTGCCTTTTATTTTGTTTACAGAATAAATAGAGGGAAGTAAGCACTGGAGAGATTGGGAAACTTCTATTTCTGGCTGTCACGCAGACTGAATTCGTGACCTGTGGTTGTATGTCAGTAACTTGAAGTTCTCTTTTGGGTGGTTGGGTAAGTTGCTTGCCACACTCGTTGGTGCTCAGGGGACCACAGTGGGGCCAGGCATCATTATATATCAATTCATTACCAATCTCATTTTACAAGTAGAATGATGGCTTTTGATCTGAAATCAATTGGAGATTAATCAACCTGAGCACAATCTTGGGAGGCACAGATTTAATTCTTGAGCTATATCTGCATCCAACAGAGAAATATAAGAAATTGATTTTCCCACATTTGCCTACAAAGTATAACATAAAATTAAAGGTAATAAGTACTGTCTTTTACCCTATACTATTAAATGAGGAAAATCCCTTAAAATTAGTAATGTCTCTGCATTAAGAGGGCAGGGGAGAGAGATAGCTTTAAAGGGGTGGAGTATGGGTAGCCAGAGTTGGACCCCAAACACTGTTCAGGAAGTATCCCCTGAGTATCACTGGGTGTGGTCCCAAAACAAAAAAATTATGGTTAGAGTAGTAATTTCTCTGAATTCCCTGTAATAAATGATTCTCATGTTCATCTTAACAGATGTTTTGGGGTCACATCCGGTGGTGCTCAGGGATTATCCCTGGCTCTGGGCTCAAGACTGAGGCGGCCATATGGGGTGCCAGGGATTGAACCCAGGTTGGTCACGTGCAAGGTAAATGCTCTGGCCTCTGTACTGTCTCTTTAACCCCTCAACAGAAGATTATAAAGCACTACAGCATGATCTAAAAAAAACTCATCTAGAATCTGTGATTAAGGTCTAACTCAGAAGATGCCAGGTTGCATAATATTCGAGATAACTCTTAAAATAGTCTGTTTTTCAGGAGGAGAGACAGCAGGAGAGGCACAAACAGCTGCTGGCTCTATGCTCAGGGATCACTCCAGGCTTTGATCTCAGGATCATAAACTGGTGCCAGGGATGGAACCCCAGCTGACCACTTGCAAGGGAAATACCCAATCCACTGTACTATCTCTCTGGCCTCAGAGTCTGTCTACTACTGATGACTGAACTTAACGCAATGAGAAATATGCAAAGCTGAGAAATAAGTGAGATGGGAGAAGGATTTCAATGTCTCAGCCAGTTTATGATTTGCTTTCTGAAAAATAATATTCCTCGTTAATTTAAAAAAGAATGCCCGCTGGAGACATGGCAAAGTGGCTAAGGCACTTGGCTTGCATGTGGCTGATTGGGGGTTTGGTCCCTGGAGTTCCTCTGGGGCTGATCCCTGAGCACTAAGCTGGGCTTAAACCCTGAATGATAACAACAAGAATAATAATACAGGTCGGCAAGACAGCTCAAAGGGCTGGAGTGCACACTTTGCCTCTTAAGCAGTTTTCCCAAAAAGTGTCAGAAAATTACTGGCTACAGTTAATAAGATAACACTGGCTCCACATACTATAAATCAAAAAGGTCATCATTCCCTGGTCTCCTCGAGGAAAAGAGGTCAGAGGAAAATCTAAAATTCTGTTCCGGAGAGCTTTCTCAAGTTCTAATTCGGCTCCCCCATAAAATTCTTTCTGCGCTTAACATCTGAACAGGCTTCTGTTCCGCTGTACTCACTCTGAATTCTGTTGGGGGGCGCCTTTCTGGGCGTCTAGAATCAACAGAAACCAGGAAATTCCAAATCTTCCCAGGAAGTTGGAATTCCCTTCCCCTGAAGGACAAGTGCGGCCCCTGACACACTTCCCAGAATCCTCTCAGAAATGCAATGCACGCTGGGAAGTGTAGTTCGGCTCTGGTGCGGCCCCTAAGTCCTCTTAATTGCAAAGTTAAACATAGTGGTCAAAAGCATGCTCTTCTAACAAAGTAAGGGCGCCACGTGCAGCGAAAACAAACTCTCAGCCTTTGTTTGCAGAACTGAAGTTACGGAAAAAAGGAAGAGGGAGGAAGAGAGGTGCAGGAAGAGAGCCAAAGGGTGAAAATAGATTGCGGTGGAAAACTGCTTATGGGTTTGGTGTAATAACATTATATCCTTAAAACAAACATTTACAGTCTTGTAAAAGATGATTTCACAAAATAAAAAACAAAGAAATAAAAAGCCTCTCCTCCTCCTCCCTCCTCCTCCTCCTCCTCCTCCTCCTCCTCCTCCTCCTCCTCTCTTATTTTTGTTCTTTCATTTTGTTTTATGGGCCACCACCTACTGGTTCAAGGCCTTCTTCACTCTCAGCTGTGCTCAGAGAACTGGATTTGAGTTCCAGCCTTTTTAAAATCTTTCTTTCTTTCTTTCTTTCTTTCTTTCTTTCTTTCTTTCTTTCTTTCTTTCGCAGAATAGTTTGTTTTTAATTTTTTTAATTGAATCACAGTGAGATACACAATTACATGGTTGTTAATGATGGGTTTCAGTCATACAGTGTTCCAACACCCATCCCTTCACAGTGTACATTTCCCACCACCAGTGTCCCCAGTCCTTCCTTTCCCCCCACTCTGTGATAGACACTTTTCTTCTCTCTCTCTCTCTCTCTCTCTCTCTCTCTCTCTCTCTCTCTCTCTCTCTCTGCAGAGAAGAATATGTGTTCAGAGAGAAGGGCCTTGTCCAGAGTGCAAAAACCAGGTTCTAGCCTTTTGAGCCAACCCCCAGACCTCTTGACTAATTTTTTTTTTGTTCTTTTTTGTTTTGTTTGTTTTAGGTCACAATAACTAACGCTGAGGGCTCACTCATGACACTCTCCTCAGGGATCACTTCTGGCAGGGTTGAAGGACCATATGGGGTGCTCAGGATTTCAGGATTGAACCCAGGACCATTTTGATCTTTCTATGTATCTCAGATTCTACTTCTCCCTTGCACACTTTAGAAATTAGCTTTTTCCATCGCGACATTCTGAGGTGAAGCAATAGTACAGAGGGAAGGGTGTTTGCCTTGCATGTGGCCAGCTCTGGATCAATCTCCAGCATCCCACGTGGTCCCCTGAGCACTGCCAGGAGTGATTCCTGAGTGCAGAGCCAGGGGTAAACCCTGAGCACCACCAGGTCTACCTCCACCCCCAAACTAAAACTGAAGCATTTCATGAAACTCTGTTTGTAGGGGTGGATGGCAGGTTATGGCTCAGTGACAGAGGTCTGACCTTGTAGGTATAAAACCCTTAAGTTAATCCCCAGTGTCATCCTGGCAGCACAGCCCTTGATCCCATGCTATCAGCTGAGAAAGGACATTTACAGATGTAGACATTCTAAATCAGACCTAAATGGACATGCCTAAGAGAGAAACTGAATGTTTATTTTGTTAACAACCTTATATTTGTACATTACCTTACTTCATATGGAATAAGAAATAAGCCTTCATAATCTTTGTAAGAAGGTGTTTACAGGATAACCCCTTAAAATAGTAAGCCACTTATAACCAGCTGTATCACTGTCACTGTCATTGTCTTCCCATTGTTCATCGATTTGCTCGAGCGGGCCCAGTATATATACGTATATATACATATATATGTATTTGGCATATCGAATATATCACAGGGAGCTTGCCAGGCTTTGCCATGCGGGCGAGATATTCTCGGTAGCTTGCTGAGCTCTCTGAGAGGGACAGGGGTATTGAACCCAGGTTGGTCAGGTTGGCCGCATGCAAGGCAAACGCCCTACCACTGTGCTATCACTCCAGCCCAACCAGCTATGTATGTGTGTATATCCAGTGATGCATTAGGGTCCTCATGCTTCTCTTAAAAAAAAATACAATAGATTTCCTTACCCTCTGTTTCTCAAATGTGGAGTAGTGCTTAAGACAAAGTCACAACCCAGCTCGGGATATTTTGGTTAAAAGAGAATCGTTAGGTTTTATCAGGATCACAATTTGAATATGTGATTTTGTTAGCATTATGTAGTCACCAGACAAAAGATGTCTATTTCCAGTTTAGTGAACCCATACTCTGATCTTCCTGTTGTCCACCTTTTTATTTCTTTGTTTTAAATGAATAATTCATTGAATGGGCATTTCATTGCAATTACTAACAATGTTATCGAACCATTGGGAGAAGTTTAAAAAAATTTTTAAATGATTTTCATTATCAGTTAAAAAATCTGACTAAATGCTTTCAATAATATGCTAATTCTCTAATTCACTAATCTAATATTTCATATTGTCTCCTTTTTGCTCTAATATCCAGAGGGAGTTGGAATATTAGACAAAGTTTCTACTGCACGATTAATGTCAAGGCAAAATTTTTTTCTTTTACCTAATTGGTGGTTATTTCACTTCTCTGGTCCTCAGCTGGAGATAGTGCTAAATCTTTAAATACTTTATAAAGGCCCGAGCGGGTCCAGTAACGTCTCCATTGGAGACTTTGTTGTTACTGTGTCTGGCATATCGAATACGTCACGGGGAGCTTGCCAGGCTCTACCGTGCGGGCGAGATACTCTCGGTAGCTTGCCGGGCTCTCCGAGAGGGGCGGAGGAATCGAACTTGAATCGGCCATGCTGGCTGCGTGCAAGGCAAACGCCCTACCGCTGTGCTATCGCAAATTATACAAATAATGACTGAAACCCAATCACAAACGACTTTGTAACTGTGATTCTCACTGTATCGCAGTGGTTTAATTTAAAAAAGAAAAAATTATACAAATATATGATCAATGAAATTTTCAATATTAAGTGAAAAGAATTTAGAGAATTTTGCCTGATTTACTTTATTCTTTCTTTATTCCTGCACTACAATAAAAGCTAAGATTTAACTATTACCAGTCATCTGTTATCACAATAATACTTCATAACAAATGCTCACAAAATCATAGAGGCATACAAGAAGCATTTATGGCTCACATATATGGAGTCGTTGACTAGGTCATGCTGATCTTGGTCAGACTCATTTATGTGTCTGGGAGTGGTAAATTATTGGGTAATTTTGGTATAATGGGGTGAGTTGGCTTTGCTCTATGTGTCTCTTATTTTTGAACAAACTAACATGGGAACTTCCCCTTCTGCCCGCTCCCCCTCCCCCGCCACACACTGATTGCAGAAGGCAAAAACACACATAAAAAATGCAAGTCTCTGCTTATGTCACAGACAAAGCATATCATATGGTCAGGATCAGGGCTATGGGAGGTTCTTACAAGGATGATAGAAAGAATGTTGAGAGTGGTTTAGGTTTACTACGAAATAATCTGGGAATAGACCCCATAAGATGTGACCCTCACTTTGGTTACCAATTGCAAATTCAAGGACTTCCCTAAACTACTCTTGGGAGGACTCACAGAACTCACTAAAAGCTCTTTTACTCCTACTGGGTCTTGGTATTGGGAGAGGATGCGAAACGATATCATCCAGAGAGGCGCCTATTGGTTGGCAGCAGGGAAAGTAGCAAAAGTGGGGTTTCCATGGTTCCCTCTGTGGTCAGGATGCATTACCTTCCCTGCATCCACGCACGACAATACAGATTGGATCTTGTCAACTGAAAGGACTCACAGGCATTGGTGTCCAGGCTTCTTATTGGTGCTCCATCACCCAAAGCCCCACCATAAGTCATGTTGTTGGTTTATGCTGTGACCAACTCCAACTCTAAACCTTTGGTGCGGCCAGTACCTACCCTAAATTGCTAAACTGTTCCGTTTGTTGAGAGTTCCAGGGAGACAAGAGCATTCCTATCAGGCCTGAGATCATCTTTCAGAAACCTAGGCATACCTGTTTGGGGGCAAGGTAAAAATTTGGAGGAGGCTTTTAAGCAGTGTCCAGGGAGCTGTAGAGCCACACTCACAAACTGGGCTGAATGATGCAGTGCTTGAACCAACAGTGCTGCTGAAGCCTAGTGTTGCTAGAGGCCCCCAGGCATTTTTGCAAGTACTTGTTGGGGGACATGCAACAAGTACCAAGGATCAAATGCAGGTTCCTGCACACGCACACATATACCCTTACCACTGAGCTTTCTCCCCAGCCTCGTAATTTTTAATTTTTACAATGAAGGCAAAGAATTGGTACTTCAGTATCAATGCAATAAATCTACCACAGTAGCCTTATTGAAAATGTTCCTGGGGTGGGGTGGGGGTAATTCCCAGGGCTAGGGGATAGTACACTGGTTAGGGTATATATGTAGCTTGCAATAGACCTCGGTTCAATTCCTGATACCCCATCTGAGATGCAGTTTTGAAGGTCTCTGAGAAGTGCCAGGGTGGCCCAGGTAGTCCCCAGTACCACAGGGCCCAAACAGCACTAAATTCTTGGGCCATTGCTTTGAACAAGTAGCTGACCTCAACTTTGGCTCTGTGATTGAAAAAAATAAATAGAAAACCCAACTCAAAATGGGCTCAGAAAGAGAGCTTAGTGGACTAAAGTGTATGCTTTGCATGCAGAAGTGCAGATGTTTTGTTGTTTTGGGGCCACGCATACTGTGCTCAGAATTCACTCTTGTCTCTATGCTCACAGATCACTCCTCGCTGGTCTTAGAGTACCATATGTAGTGCTGGAGATAAAATCTGGGTTGGTTATGTGCAAGGTGAACACATTACCCATTCTATTGTTACTCGGCCCTGGAAGTACAGATTTGATCCCTGGTACCACATGGTCCCCTAAACTCTGCCAGGAACCATCCATCCCTGAGCACTGCAAGTCTGGGCCAAAATCAAGCAAACAACCAACCTCCCAAGAAAAACAACCCTCCTCCCCCACAATAAAACCTTGCATGTATATAGCATCCCATGATGATTACTCACATTAATAT